ATTGACATCAGTGACACATCCTATCAATATCCGACAGATCATGGATGATTTTAGATCCAATAATCTGAAAATAGAATTACATAGATTTGTTGCGAATGCTCTGAATAATAATTCCTTTAAATTTACAGTAATTAATCCCAGAATTTTTCTTGACATCAGTCTTAATTAAATAACTTCGTGACTTCGTAACTTTCCTTAAAAGCGAGTAATTACTAATTTGAAATATTTATGAAGACGTAGCTATCTCACAATATTAATTTTATAATTATCATATATATGTATTATTCTTAAAATATTTAATATTAAAAAAAATTAATTCTTATTTAAAATATACATTTTATTTAAAAATATAAAATATATATATCTATGTTTTTTCCGACCTATAAATAATTGTTAAGATATTTGAAAAGAGAAATAATTAAAAAGAAAATTTATTTAAAATTCTGTACTCTCTCTCTCTCTCTCTCTCTCTCTCTCTCTCTCTCTCTCTCTCTCTCTCTCTCTCTCTCTCTATCTCTCTCTCTCTATCTCTCACACAAACACACACACATAAATGAAATATATTTATTCTTTATATCATTGCAATATCGTCTAATATTGTTAGTTCCATCGGAATGTCAACAAAGCATACTTTAAATAGCTGTGGACGAGTCTATTCGCCGATCGGTTTCGTCTGAACGTTAAACAAGATCAAATCAGACCGCAATGTTAAAAATCCAGTTAAAAAGAGACCATACAAATACGATTGAAAATTCCATTCTTGTCACGTTTTTCTCGCACGACACGTGTATCATCCATCACATGGCATTTAATCTTAATTAATCAGCTCCGGAGATGATCGAGAAATAATCGCCCAATATTTAAATGTACATCTTTGCGAAATGTACATTTGACCAACTTGATCTCAATACGCTTCTGCATTTCATAGAATTCCCTAAAAGGGAATATTTATCGATTTGCAACAGATTTTCTCTCTCTCTCTCTCTCTCTCTCTCGGATCTATCTCATTAATTTGCATAAATTAATTACGTGGTGGCAGCTCAAGAACGCATGATTCACGTGGGTCCTCCTCACAAAGCTTCTCATCAGGGACATCTTCCTGAAACAGCTAAACGTCAGATTGTAATTGCGGCTGTGAGGGCGTTTCACTCCGAATGCGCCACTAATTGGTCCAAATTGGCACACTCTCGCCATCGTAGAATCGTTATCCGCGCAGTCTGGGAAATTTAATTAAAAGATTTAGGTCCATACACAAGCGAGAGCTCTTGTTCCACAAGCGAGTAGGGCAGACCGCTCGCTCCTGGGCGAATATCGATCGACTCAGAGATTGTATATATATCGACACCATTCCCTCTTCCAATTTTCGGTTGCACCGTGCCCTCTCGAGCGCCATGATACCTGATCGTTGACCGAAGCACGTGGAGCACCTTGATGAATCGCGCAAATCATGCGATGGCAAAAGTCTTGTACTAAGGGTTTCATGAAATAATAATGACAGAGGACTATAGAAAGATCGCGCTCTATATTTCTTTTCGCTTTAAGATTCCTTGATCAACTTTGTGTTGATATTTTTATAGCAAAAAAAGAACGGATTGAAATATTGGAATCTAAAAATAAAATTCAATATATGTAATTTTGATTGAATTAACTTTCATTAATTTAATCCGATTTGATTAATCGAATTGCCTGCAACAAAATTTTTCATTATATGATATATAATACGCGTCGTTTTTAATATAATATAATCTTAATATAATATAATATAATATAATATAATATAATATAATCTTTCTTTTCTTACAAGTCAAGTAACAATGAAAATAAATAATTGCATTAAGAAAATTTGTATTAAGAAAATTATATTAACAAAATGATTTGTAGATATTTTGTGATGGATCGAAAAAGCCAAGTGTGAGGAAAATGAGAGACTTTAGAACAAATTATTTATTTATTTATTATCTATTTATTTATTATTTATTTATTATTTATTTTTTTATAAAATGCAAGTATTTTATTTATTATTTATTTATTATTTATTTTTTTTATAAAACGCAAGTATTTTATATGTGTGACCTGATATAATTTTGCGTTTATTATGTTCGCTCACGCGATACCTTAAGTCTATAGACGAGGTTTTACTTTGTTAGGTTGTAGACATAAAAACATATCTCTGTCGACAGACGTTATCTATGAATAATTTTTCTCGGTAATGTCACGCGATTCTGATTATTGCAACGTACTCTATTCGCTCAGTACCATCGAATCTAGTATCCACCATTTTAACTCCGAAGAAATCTGGAAGCACGGTCTTTCTAGAATATCCTCCCTACAAATTTTCAACAGCTTCTACGCAGAATGGTAGACTTCAAAAGAATTTCCAGTAAACATTAAATAATAGTTAATAAGTGTTAGTTATAATTTTCCTCTCAACAATATAACTGTGATATGTTATGCAACAGTTATATAACATGTAACAGTTGTATTGTTGGATGGGAAATTACAATTAACAATTATATGAACGTTACTTGGTGTTTGCTGGGTTACTACTCTCGATTAATCACGACTAGTCGATGCAATAATAATAAATCATACGGAAGCTTATCGAACGAAGTAGATCCAAGTATTTCGTGATTTAAATTTAAAATTATTCCAATTTACATTATTTATCTCACACTTTCTCTTCAAGTCATCTAAATCTACTTCTTCAGGAATAATTCAGATTACAAGTTTAAAAAACTCGACAAAATGACCAACTCTGGAGACTCGATAAAATGCGATGCGATGAAGCTTCGCAGTAGTTGGATTGCACTCGCAATTTCTGGAGTCCCTGTGAGAAAATCTCGTTGAAGAGGCAGCGTTTCATCCCTTTTTCTTTCCGCTGCATTGTGCAACGTATGCTGCTCCGATTATTTCTGCGCGAGGAGGGTATCATCATCATCATTATCATCATCATCGTCGTCGTCGTCGTCGTTGTTGGCAATGTCGACGGCCCTGTCGGCTCGTACGACACGATGAAAGAGATAGAAAGAGAGTCCGGGGATGTGCATTCTGGCGTGTGAGCAAATCGCAAGCGTGAGTGCGCGCGACGTAATGTGCATTAAGCGACCCGGCTAACGAGGAACGGCCAGCGCATGCAGGGCAACAAAAAAAAATCAGGGTTGTGCCGATCGTGTCGCGAGGAGCGCGGGGGTGCGCGAACCCCGTATCGGGGGCATCGATCCTCCCGGGTCACCAGCGTGCGGCCTCGCCTGGTGCACCCACATGTCTCTCGCGAACTCTTCTACTCCGTTCCTTACATCGAGGATATCATCCTTGTGTGTGTCCTTTTTTTCTCTTTTTCTCTCTTTCTCTCTCTCTCTCTCTCTCTCTTTCTTCCTCCCTCGCAAACGGAGTATTCGTTATTTCCGGATGAATGCGCGATTAACTCGTCGTGATATTTCTCACGATTATCTCTGTGCTTACGGAGCGAGTATTGTTTACTTGTACTAGGTGTAACGCTATAGTTGGGTGCACTTTGCGCGTTACATTTGAAAATTAGGTCGAATCGATGCTTCTGCGCTTTCAGGCTAATACATTAGTATCGGGATCATTTATGATACGCGATACAATTTGCCTGGTAATTGAAATAGGCAGGCTATTTATTACTTGAACTGTAAAATTGTTAATGTGGATTAAACCAATTGAAATGGAAAACTTGTGATACTAAACAATTGAATCGTAAGAACTTGTTAACATGGATTAAACTATAGATTGATTTAATCCTTTGTATATAATATGATTATTGTTTCAAAAGTCATCGCCCTTGTCGAGATTTAATGAATTTTTAAATTCATTGGACTTTATAAAATATATGATAAAACCAGAGATAATAAAATAATCTTCTTTTATACAATATTTGCACATTTTCTTGATAAAAGATGTGTATTCTTTTCCCTCAAATGGACTTATTTACTTAACAAGGCATGTGATAAATTTTTCAATAAACTTTTCTTAATGTACAGGAGCGATATTAGAAAGAACAGTGTTTATTTACGCATTCGCGAAATATAAATGATGTATAAAAATTTGTAAAATTGCTGTGCGCAATTTATAAAAATTAATATTGCAATTGTGTGGTACTATAGACGTATCTAATTGCACACTTTTTTATATATTTCATGGCTAATGGAGATCTTATCAAGTATAAATAGACTCCTATTTATACGACATATTCTCCTTATATGTGTATCCGCACTAATTAACATCTGTGTGACTATAATTGTATTCAAAGCGCTTGCGTCCAATATGCCTACATATATCTATATTGACATACATGTGCCTATTATGACGTTATACTTTAAGATAGACGTATATAATAGATAATATGCAATTAGTAACAAGAACAGAATTAAAAATGTAAATTTATACATGTCAATGGTAATAATAATTAGAAATAAAAATGATATGAATTTTTTTCGATATGTATCTCTCTCTGAAATGATCAATTTCAATATAATAAATTTTAACATACAAAATATTTGAAAGTACCTTTCTATTTTCATAACTACAAATTGTTATAAATTTTATATTGTTAATATTTTCATAAAAAGAAAAATATTTATAGATATAAATCATATTTTCTTATTGTTATATTTATGAAGATGCAACGAAGATGCATAATTATTTCGATGATTAAACGATACAATTAAAAAAAAATATATAAATCACATACATACATAATGTAAAATAAAATACGACGATAATTACTTCGAAGATCAGACGATATAATTAAAAAAGATATATAAATCACATACATACACAACATATATAATGTAAAATAAAATAAACAAAAATAAATTAAAAATAATTAAATGAGAAATAAATTAATATAAAATTATAGACCACAGCATAATGCGTTTTAGCTAATCTATTATTAATTGGATAACTCCTACACCATCTCGGATAAAAGTTAGCAATAGATGTATGTTTTAATTGCACTCTTATCTTTTTTTGTTTGGCAGGATGTGCCCTTTATAAACCCTGCCAATGTAGTGTTCGTGTACATGTTGGTGAAAGAGCTCGTCGACGGAGACGAGGCATCCGAGAAAGAACTCCAGGCGACGGTGCTGACATGTCTTTATCTGAGCTACAGTTATATGGGCAACGAGATCAGTTATCCGCTGAAACCGTTCCTCGTTGAAGACAGCAAGGATAAATTCTGGGACCGATGTCTCTTGATCGTCAACCGACTTAGCTCCGAAATGTTGCGAATCAACAGCGAGCCCGGATTCTTCACTGAAATCTTCAGCGAACTGAAGGTACGTTCGACTACTAAATTTTTATTCATAAAATCAAGATACTCTTCATTTATACATCAAGTGTCGAAATAAATCTCGTCGATGATTTAAGGATCACATATATTTCTTATTATTCAATTTATTAATTTATTGTAACGCATATATATATATATATATATATATATATATATATATATATATAACATAAGAAAATCTTTATTTGAAAAAATTATTCAACTTCATTAAAAATTATTAATTTGTAAATCATTTATAGCTTAAAGTAATTAAAATAAATATTTTTGTTTTATATTTCCTTCAATTCATTTCATTTTGAATTAGTAGTATAAATGAATCACTGAAATTACAAATTAGTAACCTAATTAAATAACTAATAAATTATTAAATAGCCAATTTTTAAAATAAAGGTTTTTTTCGCAAAAATTAAATAAATAAATATATTTATTTATTTCTTTGTTGTATTTAATATGCAAAATATGTATTTATAATATATATTTATAAATTCAAAATCTACTTTTCAAGCAATAAAATAAGAGCTCATTCATTCAACCCTAATTTGTGAATTCGAACAGGCCTGCGGTTCCAGCGAACGTGGAAGTCTGACTGGCAGCGGCCTCGAACGGAGCCTCGTCGTCTCCGGAGTCGCGGTACCCACCAAGGCAGCTTGACGGAGCTACACACACCTGCTGGTGCGCATCGCCAGGCACGGCTGCGACGTCACGACGCTCTGACGATGGCCGTCGCGACGACGTGGAGCCGCTCTCGCAGCTTGACCCCACGGCATCGACCTCGACTTCGACCCCGACGTTGCCCCGCCAGCAGCAGCAGCAGCCGCGTACTAGTCGCGCCGACGACTTATTTTGTCCGTCGTGCGGCCGACGACGGCGCGAGGAGATCTCATGGATGATCGAGGACCTGGACGCCATCGAGCCGGCGCCGCTGGAGTCGCAGAGGACGCCGACGAGGCTCTGCAGCTGCGAGGAGGTCGACGTCACCAGTCGTCAAGAGCGCGGTTTTCTATGGAAGTTTCGTAGCACCGAGGTGAGATGGGGCACCAGCAGTTTTCTAACGCCCGACGACGCGATCTTGGATCTGAGGAGGCGTACCAGCGAGACTACAGAATTTCGCTGGGAGCTTCATACCTCGAGCACCGATCTGGATCTCGCTAGAAAGATAAAGTGCAGCTGTCACAGCCTGACCCCGGAGATAAAGAAGCCGGAGGGAACGCAACGCGGCGATCTCAGGAAACACCACAGTGCGGAAACGGACAAATGGTCGGTCAGACCGGAGAACCTACTGATGCCGATGCACGACCTAAGAAAGCACAGTAGCGATGATACGAGATTCGCGAGAGATGCAAAGTGGTTACAGGTGCCGGATGTCATGCCCAATCCGAAGCCCAGGTGCACTTGTCCCAAAGTAAAGGCTCCGCCACCGGCGTCACCTGTGGAACAGAAAGTGCCGATGAAGGAACCGGAGAAACCAGTGCAGAAGGAAGAGAAAAAATTGTATTATTCGAAGTCTTTGACACCCGACGAGTCGGCCGTGCTGTGGGAGAAGCCGGAGATGAAGAGGCAAGTCAGCGAGGATCCGAGAGCCATCAAGAAGGAAAAATCGAGAGAGCGACCAAAGCTGGAGCGCTCCGCTCAAGTGAGAAGCGAGAGTTCCAGGAGATGGGGTTTCAAGGATAAGGACAAAGACAAGGAAAAGGAAAAGGAAAAGGAAAAGGAGAAGATTATCAGTCCGGCAGAGAGCAAGAAGCCATTACGAGCAAGATGGGCGATGAAACCGCACGTCTCTCTGCCCGCCGAGAAGAAGGCATCCAAGTGGTACAGGAGCCAGGACGAGACAAAGAGCAAGAGCCTGCGCGAGCGGCCCAAGTACAGCATACGTAGAAGCATGTCTCCGGAACCGGATCCACGGCAAATTAACAAGCTGGAGAACAGGATCGTGCGGCGCCTGATCTCACCGGAGATCAGCATCACGAGCACCAAATGGGCGCCCTACGAGGATTCGTCGCCGTTACCGACTATCGGGATGAAAAAGCGCGACCAAAAGCACATCAGCGATATCAAATGGACACCGTACGACGAGTCGCCGAGCGATATCCCGATTGAGGTGATCGACGATAAGAAATGGTCGCCCTTCCACAATGTTACTCCCACACATTGTCCGCCACCGGAACAAGGGACGCCGCCCAAGAGCGACGATGAGGAATTCCGACAGCGGATTCTTAATCAGATCGCGCCGTTCCCGCTCTACCAGGGTGGCTGGAAGGACGAGTCGCCGGAAAAGACGCCGCCGAAGGTCACTACCCCCGAAGAGATAGGGACACCAGTCTGGTCGCCGATGGTCCCTGTCACACCTACCGGCAAACGAAAAAGCATCGCGCAGCCGGTGGATCAATCTCCAGAGTACTCACCAACGGCACGCAGATCCAGTAAGCCTCGGCTCGTTCGCAAAGGTGCGTTTAGAGCGAAAACCTCGATGCCCTCTACCAATCCGCTGGAAGACAGACTACCCCAAGCCGGGCCTCCGCCGAAGATTACACCGCCACCGACGGTGATGGTGCGCGCCGCTAGCGAGGACTCTAAACGGCAGAGGCCCCTGCTGACTAGGTCCAAAGCCCTGTTGGAGGTGCCCCACATAGACGCTACGAAGAGATCGTTGAGTGAGGAGGGACCGCGCGTACGTCCTCGCGAGCGCCCTAAAGCACCCACGAGAACCCGCAGCGAGGAAGTGTCCAAATACGATGATCCTTGGTTCAGATCCGAATCACCTGAGATGCGCGAGTACGTCACGACGGTGTGACCGTAGCTTCCAGGAACCTTCGCCGATGGCGATGGTTTCCATATTTCGTAAAATCGACGCTTACCAAAGGCAGCTCAGCATCGTGCGAGATTGCACGTAAACGGAGATCGTATTGTACAGCTTATGTGAGAGGAATTATTATTTTCTAATACATTCATATTATTATCGTGGTTTTATAAAGTTGCCGAATAAAAAAAAAAATGAGAAGCAAAATCGAACTGAAGTAGAACGAGGTGAGGATCGTTCGAAGGGAAGCTATTCGGAAAAGGAGGCGTCCAAAGGAATACGCTTGACTGTTCCCTCGCAAGGGCCTCACGAAGAGTACGCATCTTCGAAACCACCTAAAAGACGAGACGGCGGGCCAGAGGGCGAAAACGAACGAGGGGCTCAAACGACGAAGGGCAAGAGGAAAAAGTTTCTAATACGCGATCGTCCGCACGATGGACGCTGAAAACTTCGTTGGCCTACACGAAGACAATGGAAAATATCGAAGAGGAAGGGGGAGGAAGCTGAACAAAAGTCACATCGACGAATCGACGATCATTCTCGAGAGAGAAGGACGAGCTGGAGAAACCGGACGGGAGTCGAGGGGTCAAGGGACTGACTTATTATTTAAATAGCATAATATACATGTGAGTTTTCTCGTCGCGCTCGTCGAGGAGAGATATTTCCCCTCTCGGGCGCGACGCCTGAATGTTCTCAGCTCAAGACGAAATGTACGATCGTGCTCGCGACCGGGCAGACGTCTACAAACTTTAGGGTGCAATAAATAACGAGGGGGGGGAGGGGAGAAGGAGGAAGGGGAAAGAAGCAGAATTTGGTGCATCGCCCGGTGCGCGAAACGACGGTTCAATGTAGCGCGTTGATTGATAGCTCTAACGTAATTAGTACTTAATACTAACGATTAAAATATCGATCTAGGGATAATAACGAGGAGATATGAGTCTGTAGCGACTAAAAGGAGATAGATGTGTCCGATTGAAATCAAGAATGATCCGGGATGGACGCGCGCGAAACGCTAAGTATAATTGGTGTATGTATGCTGCGTACACATATACATATTAAATGTAAAACATTTGTAAACGTTCGCGAGCAACAAGTATACAAGAGAGGTGAGGTAAGACGGAAGTACAAGAGGAAGAGGAAGAGGAAAAGGCAAGAGGAGGAGAGCGAGAGGGGGGAAAAAGGGAGATGCGCCTTCCGAGCGCATCGCGATCAAAGTGATCGACCTGCCTCGTTCCAGGGGTAAATCTGATTCCGAGCTGGGCTCGCTCTCGATCGAGAGCCTCTCCCATTTCGCAGCTCGACGAGGTTACGACTCTCTTTGTTATTCGTTCTTACCTTCTTTTCCGTTCTCTTTATATACATGATATCAGCGAAGAGGTCGTCGAACGAGCGACCGATCGATTTTGTTCGTATGGACGACAATCTAGCGAATAGAGGAAAAATTGGGAACGCGTACTCTAATTATGTATGTGTCCCGTGTGTGCCGGTGTGTGCAATATTAATTAAGGACGGCGGACAACCGCGAATAAATGGGGTACTAAGGTGGGTGTAGACAGCCGACAGATTAGGTATCCATAGGGATGATCGGCTTGCGCGCAACTCAGTCATTCCTCCCTTCATCTTTCGGTGTTGCTAGTTTCTTCCTCTTTTCTTTTTTCTTTTTTCTCGACTCGCTACATCGCCGCTCGCGTTTCTTTGCCCTCTCCATCGAGGGTTGATGCCTCTCCCTCGCGATCCTTCTATATCGCGTGTGTTTCGAGAACGAGAGGACTCGACTCGTAATCACCGCGTAAGGGTTGTTTTCTCTGCTTAAGCGCCATCCGTTAAGCCAGGTGTACGTCGTTGACGAGGCGATAAACACTTAAGAAGAATGCTAATTACACTTGAGCTGATCAGTTGGCGATTATCCCTGGCTGAAACATGTCCTGTCTTTTTCTTTTGTCGGCCAATACATCTCTTGTCGCGCGAATTTAGGCCACCCTTAGGACGCAATTAGGACATGTTTTTTTTTATTTGTTAGGATAACACCGTTATTAATTAGCTCTGCGGTGTAAATTGCTCATCCGATAAGTCTGTGTGCGGAGTTTCGAGTATCTTATTTTTCTTCTCTCTCTCTCTCTCTCTCTCTCTCTCTCTCTCTCTCTTTCTCTCTCTCTCTTTCTTTCTTTCTCTAAAAGCTCCCTTTCGTTTTCCTCTATTTTCATCGATTTCTATAATCAAAGCACCGATCGATGAACGATTAGTGATATTACGACTAGCGATAGAAGTTAACTTGGGTATCCGTAGTGAAGTATATCCGAAGAGGCGAGAAGGGAGGCCGTTACATTCGTTTGCATCTGCATTTCGTTCGCATTTCCTTTCGAGTGCCACATGGTCGAGCGACGATCATGGACCTGGATGTGCGTGTTTTCTCAATAAATGTAAAGGGGAAGAAGAAGGGAAGATTTCTCTTGCGTCGAGCACGATAACACCCAGCAAACGCCAACATTTATGTAATTGTTAATTGTAATTTCCCGCTCAACAATATAACATGTTATGTAACAGTTACATGTATACGTACGTGTATGTTACATAACAGTTATATTGTTGAGTGGGAAATTATAATTAACAGTTATATAACTGTTATTTGCTGAGTAACGACGATATCTCGCGCGATATTTATCGAATCCGATGCGGGAAATTGGAATTTTGTAGAGGGAGGATGTACAGGGAGGAAGGGAGTTGTCAAAAGCGAAAGAGGAAACGCGATGCATTCGAACGAACGCGCAAAGATTCCCGCTCACGGATCAGCGAGAATTATTATTACATACACACACATACATTACATACATGCATTATGCGCTACATAGCCATTTCTCTACGAGAATTACATATGCATATACAGCATCTGTCAAAAATATTGCATCGCTCCCTGCAAAAAATAAAGAAGACGCAAGTAAATGAATATTTTTTCCTTAACTGATGTTCTTCTCGTGCTTATAAAATTATTTAAGCGCAAAATAATAGTAAAACATAATTAAATTAATAAAATATAATTTGATAATATTTCTGTTTTTGTGTTCACGAAAGTGAACCCTTTCTGTTTCCATAAGTGATGAAATATTTTTGACTGGTATTGTACCGTATGTATATATTTATATACATATATACATACATAAAAATATAGTTTTCTCCCTTGTAGGACGTACACATAGCAGTTTATTAACGGCGCGCGCGTACCATTGTATAATATTATATATAGCGTAAAAAAAAAAAAATAATAAACGCGCGCGCGAGACTGCATCCGAAGAAGCGTTCGATGCACCATCGTTCAAGGGCCCGGATGACTTTTGGGCATCATCAGATGGAGTGATACTCGTGTGACTGTCGTTCAAATGGTATAAAAATTGCGAGATGACTCTCTAGAGTTCACGTCTTGTGTGCGAGGACGCTATTACAGTATAAAAACAAAATTGTGTATCCGTGCTGCCATTAGCGTTAAAGCGGGAAACGGAAGTATGCAATGACGTACATGGGGACAAGCCAAAGTATATAGTTAAAAGTACACGAATTTATGTCCACGAAGAGACGACACACTTATATACGTATAGAGAGAAAGGGAGGGAGAGAGAGAGATAGAAAGAGTGGGTGTATGTATGTGTGTGTGTGAGAACACGAGAGAAAGGGAGAGAGAGAATGGGTACACACAAGCGCACGCATACTCGCATATACCTTACGCGCTTAGTTGCGTAAATCCGTGTATACATAAAGAAAATGGAGCGAATAAGAGAGAAAGAGAGAGCGAGAGAGAGAGAGAGAGAGAGATTTTACAAATATTTTTTTTTCTTGTTTCGACAGTAAGCAATAGAGAGGGGGATAATAAAGGATTCGATTGATTAAATTGCGACTTTTGTATCCACGCAATCACACGATATTTTCTATCGAGGATTCTATTTTTCAAACACAGCCTCCTTTTTGCGATCCCGCGAAGCGGTCTAGGACAAAACGAAGAATTAAACGAGGATAGAATATTTGTTACTGTCGAAAAAAAAAAAAAAGCGATAGAACGAATTAAATAATTAATCGGACAGCCACCCTGTTGACCCTTGTGTACGCTCGTTTATATTTTCCTTAAGCTTATATACGGAGTTTCGCGATTAAGTAATCAATATCACACAATCGATAAGCATTCTAATCCAGGAGTGATGAATTCCGTTTCCGCGGCAAGTGAATAAGTTTAAGGGACCTTCGTGTTGAATAATTAGCAATCTCTCATCCTGTGTATCGTATAATCAAGAGACATTCATGCGACCGTTCGTCATGAGCAGTACGTATGTAAAATATTTTAGCGGTATAAAGGACACACACAAACCAAGGAAACCTATAAAGACGAATCATAGGAGCGGTTTCGTAGAGCATGTATTATACATTGTATTGCGATTAATGCGTAAATAATCGAATTTGTTGTCTTGAGTTTCCGAAACTGTTGTTACGTTTTGCGCTTATTAGTACTAATTCCACTTCTTCTTCGACGCGAACGATACTATTATCATCATTATTATTATTACATATTATTATCATTATATTTATTACGATTGTATTGTAAGTATACGCTATAATTAACTACTCAAATATTACATTGTGATAACGTGAGACTCGTTTCTAGCTCGGCTCTTCTAGTCACGTTAAGTATTCTATCAGATACTCAGTCCGATACCTCTCCCCTTCCCCTCCCTCCCCTTCGCCCCCCCCCTCACTCAACCGACGCCCCTTCAACCGCCCCTGTCCCGGAGTCTCTTTCCCCTGCAAACCCTCTGTCACACCGACTGTAATAATGATCTGTCAAGCGATACGACGCGTTGCGGGATACGTAGATCTCGCGTATATAGAAAAAGGCGCATCCTCTTGTGCAACACAAATACAGTATACAATCCGTAAATATGAGGTCAATGTTGATTTGTTTAAATAAATGTAAGTTTGAAAACCCACCGTTGCAATTTCATTTGCGCGTTTGCGCGCGCGCGCACAACTCGCATAAGGCGAACAAATTATGCAAAAAAAAAATATATATATATACACCCAGTATATATATATATATATATATATATATATATATATACACACCCAAAAAAAAATATAGACACCCGAAAAAAAATATATATATACATATATATATATATATATTTTATATATATATATATATATATATATATATATATTATTATATATATATTTTTTAGTTATATTGTTGAGTTGGAAATTACAACTAACAATTATATAAATGTATATATATATATATATATATATATATATATATATACACCCAGCAAATCAAGTAACATTTATATAATTGTTAATTGTAATTTCCAACTCAACAATATAACTGTTACATGTTATGTAACCGTTACATAACAGTTATATTGTTGAGTGAAACTTACAGCAATTATATAAATGTTATTTGGTGTTTGCTGGATATATATACAGGGTGTCCCAATTATCTTCCGTCATCTTTCAAAGACAGATTCCTGGGATCATTTGAAGACGATTTTTCATCAGCGAAAATGTCAATGAAGGCCATCATTTTTTGCATGTTTCCGGTTTTTGTCATCATATATCTTTGCAATTAAGTCTTAAATTAAAACTCAACTAAAGTAAACTCTATTTAAAATTAATCAAAGAATGTGGTTTTGTTAATATTTTATTTCTACGAAGCTTAGTTTACGAAAAACCCCTTATTTCTAATCACTTATAATTCGAAAATTATTAGTGCCTCGACATTTTCGTTGAGGAAAAATCGTCTTCAGATGATCCCAGGAATCTGTCTTTGAAAGATGACGGAAGATAACTGGGACACCCTGTACATATATATATATATATATATATATATATATATATATATATATTTATATTACATTAGTATATATGTATATATATTACATTATATTAATGCTATATTAATGTAATAATTACTGCCTTTTCGCATTTTGACATTTAATTCATAATATTTTACATGCTTACGTAAAATAGATCTGTGTAGACAATTTATGTAATTTTAAAATGGCATAGAAAACCCTGTATGTAACATATACAATCGCTTGCATTACATTGGAAATGTGTATAAAATAACGCAACAGGCGCGATGAAGAAGAGAGTTGATATTTCCTCTTTTTTTTTGTCAAATCGTTGATTAAATTAGAATATTTTTTACATTCGCAAACTCAAGATACTTACATTTCTGTCGAGATATTTATCTGACCGCTGTAATGTGTAAAAACTTGTGGGAAACTCTTTCTTAGTAAAAACACGCACATTCTTGTATTTTTTTAATTGAACTCGACGCTCTTTCGTGTCGTACAAGTGCAAGGACGAACCTACAGATGAAGCGATCGTCGCTTGTCGTCGATAAAGACGGTATCTCGTGGAGTTATTGTTGACAGATAACAGCGATTATAATACACGTGCGCGACAAAATGTCAAAATGGCCGATCTCAACAAGGAGTTGAACGAGTATCTCCTGAACAACAAGAATGAGAAGCAGTACAAGATCGCTATTCCCTCGGTAGCGTTGCCGAAAGCGAACTTTCGCAAATGGTTCGGCAACGATGTTGAAGAAACGAGGGAGGATACGGGATGGATTCAAAGATCGCAAAGAGAATGTTGTCCTGCCATGGTAGTGCATATATTTTTCTCGTAACCTCGGATAATCACATTGATGTTAATCGAAGAGGAATTTTTTTTTTTAACGAAAAAACACGAGATGACTTCATGTCATCCGAGAGATTTGCCTATAAAATATATATACAATTTTTCCAAACTTTTTGATCTATTTCAAATATGTGAAAAACGTCACAAGATGGAATTTTCATTTCACCTTTATTAACAATTTTTTATTAATAATTTAAAGAAATATATGCTTAATAATATATAAATTTTATTTTAACTTTATTACGCTTTATTATTATTTATTTGTCAGAAATCATTCACTGTTAAAAATTGATATGATTGAACAACTTATTGTCTATCATATTTTTGAATTAATTAAAGTCGATATAAATAATAATAAATATTTTGTTTTTATACAAAATATATTTCAACAGACGAGGACGCAAAGACTCATATCCTTTGCTGTCTGTTTTCTTCTGGGGCTATTATGCTTCTGCCTATCGGCGATTTATATTCCTGTGTTGTTACTTAAAGCGAGAAAATTCGCTCTGCTTTATTCCTTAGGCAGTATCTTCTTTCTAATGAGGTATGTGTATATAGAGTATATTTAAAAGTATCGTATACATTAATTGTGAAAAAGATATTTCTAACAAAAGATCTTTTACAGTTTCTGTTTTCTATGGGGATCAAATTACATGAAGTCATTATTCACAGCTGACAAGCGATGTTTTACAGTATCGTACTTTGCGACATTAACAGGCACACTTTACTTTGCCTTGCATTTACAATCAACTCCTTTGACCATATTGTGCGCTGTTCTGCAGTTGATAGCGATGTTATCTTTTTTAATAAGTCATATACCAGGAGGTACAACTGGTCTCATGTTCTTTACAAGAATGTTTAGATCATCAGTAAAGTCAAGTTTACCTGTATGATAGCATTATTTGTTCTTAGAACACTTTGTTTTATAATAAAATTGATAAAAATTAATTTCATCTTTAAAAAGTTTTTCAAAGTATCACACAAGATATTGATAAGATTAAAAATAACAATGAAAATGTCTATACTTGTTACCATTAAAATTAATACACAAAAAACTGCCTTAAATCTACTTTGATGCAAAACAGATAGAATTATATATTATATCCTCTTAATCCAATATTACATAAGACTATTTTTGTTACTGTTTTTTATTAATAATAATGACAAATAATTTTAGTTCTATTTATTATTTAATAATAACAAATAATTAATATTTAGTATTTATTAGTATTAGTGGGAGATATAATATCCATATTTGTATATAATGTAAGATAAATATTTATATAATCTAAATAATGTAAATACATTTATTATATATTTGTTTACCATCCTTTTATTCATTTCTCTTTCACATTGTTAAACATATAGGAAATATTAATTTAAAAGTCTTTAAAATTTCAACATAAAAGAACAATTTATTCTCACTTCTTTTTCTTCTTAGTAAATTTAGTCGCTTTTTCTCGATGATCGTTTCCTCGTACACGTTTTATTTTTAATGATATGTAAGCAACATCATTTTTGCGCTTTTCTGACATAGATTTTTTTACATGTTTTGATGAATTTACACTATTATCAATTAATTTTAATTCATTTAAAGATTGTCCACTATTCTCTTCTATAGTCTCAGATTCACCCTCTTCTTTGCGGATATTTATATATCTTGTATTTTTCAATGTCTTTATAACATTTTCATCATCAGTGGAATCAGGATCATTGCTTAGAGCTATAAATTCATCTGATCGTGTTTGAGAGACTTGAGGACTTTTGTTAATAGTTGGAGGTATAAAAGCTCTTTCTTTTCGAGAAGATCTATATTTATATACATCTGTGAATATAGTAACAGATTTCTCTGATGTAATTGGGTCACAATTCGTGTTTGTATTTCCTGCTTTACATATTACACTTTCCTGAGAATCCTCATTTTCGTTGGGCTTAAAAAGTTGAAGAGAACATTTTGGTGGTTTAAAATTATTAAAAATTTCTGCCACCAATTTGTATAACGCATGAAACGCATTGTCTGAAGATTGTGTTACGTTGTCCTGCACACATACATAATTTCTAAGAATCTGTTTAAAGATATACATTCTTATAAAGACAAAAAACTATACTAATTTTTTACCTTCAAGGCAAAAGCTGCTGTGGCAAATCCAATCTGTTGCAATGTGACTGTTTTTAATACAGGTAATAAAAGAACAGGTATTTTCTTATTCTGAGCCATGACAATAATATGTTTTATCATGAGACGTGGTTCAACATTGGCATCTAATAAAACACAGCATACGTTGTCCTTCTCTAAAGCTCGAGTGACTGCATTAGTACCCAAGATCACAGACTTTCTGAAATTTAAAAATATAAATTAATTCAATTTTGTTTAATTTTTTAAGTCATGGTTGTTTCTACTATCACAAAAAGTATTTACAATATATTCTTATCAAACTTGATGGCTTCTTTTTCTAAAGCTTCTTCCTTTACCAATTTACGTTTTTCTTTTGGTATATTTCTAAGCATAAATCCAGGAATTTTATATTTTGGCTGCTTTATCAAGGGCAATAATCTAAAAAATAAGCTTTAGCTAAAAAGATTTCTCTTGAGAAAATATTCATATTTTTAAATTATACTTACTTATCCATAAGAGTTACTAGTGCTGGATACTGATCTATGTTTACAGTTGGCCTAATAAAGAATCAAAAATAAATATGATTGTAATAAACCTTAAAAAAATATTAATGTTTAAATATTAAATATAAACATTATTATTAATATTCTTATTATGAATCATTAGAATCTCTATATTTCAAGCTTCCAAATTTGATGCATCAAGTAATAGCATACCAGTAATTTTCAGTAGGCTGCGCTAAGATATTCCGTAAACCCTTGATGGGTCCTTTTTTAGCCGATAAGCTCTGTCTTTGCTGCTTCTTCGTTAATATTGGCGTAGTCATGATGATAATTCTAATAATTTTCAATATTTTCTCAAATATTGATACATCCGGAAACTTATATAAAAGTGTAAGGAAGTTGTTTTATGCACACTGGGAAATAGAACTAATATTTAATAAATAATTTCTACGAGTTATTATTTATTTTTTTAAAAGAATCTTCAAAAATATCACTATTAAATATTTTTCCACAACTCGCTGAATTGTAAACAAAACGACATTGGAACTTGGAACTTAGAACTTGTATTCAGCGCCTCTGTAAAACATAGACATTAAACTACATGGTAATTTCTATCAAACTTAATAGGTAACACACTATGTCCACAAATTGTGGTTCTGTTCCATGCTATGTCTAAAGTATCGATAATGCAAATGTTATAATGCAAAAATACAGAGATATATTACACAGCAATAGGGGAGTTTATTATTATATAACAAGGGTTGCGGTTGATGTATCGAAATAATTGTCGAACGTAATTATTTTTAAAAAATAGCATTCTAATTAGTAATAAGCTCATATCAGCTGTTTTCACAATAAAGTATTGCGCTGTTGAAAATTAAAGCACAATTATGTACAAATTATACAAAAATTTATATTGATAACATACGAATTTTATAGGTTGGCGATTAAAAAAGATTGAATTTTACTCTTATCGAAAACTAAATAAATAATTTAAAAAATTGATGATAAAGTACATAATAAAATGTTACAAGGAAAGATTTTCTATGAGTTTGGATAAATTTTTATTTTGACTTGGGACATTATTGAATGTCGTCTTTTTAAAAAAACTAAAAAAATTTTAATTATTCTACTTCATTGTCTTTTTTATTTACTCAAATAAAAATTGTACACTCATGTTTCCTTTTAATCACTTTTGTCTACATGTACGCTTACATATTGTCTACATTATCTCTTATGTGTCTACATAAAACTTTTAAAACTTTTATACGTTTTTATATAATTATATTATATGAAATATAAAATATACTGTTATGTATTTATTCTTATATTATATTATCTTATATGCAAATCCTATTACTTATACTATATAATTATACTATATAATTATACTATATAATAATATTTAATTATAATATAAGAGATAGTATCATTAATAAACATTATTATCTATTTTTATCGTGAAAAAATGAAGAAGTTCGTCAAAACATATAGTTTGTGCAATAGTAAGTTTGCTTACGTTACGCAATAAAAATTATTTCTTTCAATGTGTAATTTTTAATTATAATTCATTTTTAATATGAGTGATATGATAATAACAGAGTTATTTAGCTGAATGATATTACAATTATATTTTAGGAGAATGATACTATTTGATACTATTATATTTCATACTATTATAAACTTAATTATTTCAAAAATTAAAGAAGTCATGAACCTATATCGAATTATATCAATACTACAAAATACCTATATCAAAACTACAATTACATTATATTAATAAAAATATATGTTATATACCACTCTTTGTTTTATAAATGCTTTTGTAGATTTTTAAAAAAGAAATTAAACATGTGCACTTTCGAATACGTTTAAATATCTTGTTAAGTTTGTTACGAATTATTATGAAAGTTATATTAGTCATGTAAAAATAATATATTTAATAAAAAATACTTAATCCAGGACTCTACCTATAAAATATGCCACCAAATGTACATGATTGCACATTATGTACATTTTTATTATATAAGATGCATATTTTTAAAAAGTGCTAGGGAAAGTAATTAATATTTATTTCGCCAAAGCAAATCCCACACGGTCATTTTCCATATCAAATTCGATGTAGAAACGGCCAACAAATGGAATGCCTAGAATCCAATCGAATTCATGCAAGTCACGTTCCACAAAGCTGCTCATACATGTATCATTCTCTGGGAGCTGCACAAAATTAAATATACAATGCAAACTACTATTTAAATAATTTAAACAATTTACCTATTATACTCACCCGAAGAATGTAATCTTCACCAGTAAGATTGAATGCCTTGCCATTCAAAATAAAACTGATTGTAGGCAATTCAGGAATTCGATTGCAGTCCACCTTCAAATAAAAGAAAATTAGAGAGTGAGTAATTAATAAAATTTAATAAATATAAGTACGTTCAATCGAAACGTGGATTAATGTTATTGTTTCATAGAAGTTTATTTGACTCTAATCTATTATATAATATTTATTTTCTAATATTTATCTATCTAATATTTATTTTTATCATTATTATTTTATAACTTTTTTTATTAATCGCTTTGTGCTCGCTAAATGAAATGATCGTTTTCTTACTCTTTCATCTCCATTAACATTAACAGTTCCAATAACAATATTATTAATAAATTGGATATGTTTTTCTGGTCCAATTATTGCCGAATCACCTGTAACAATGTTAGCTTGACAGCCTTTCCCGCAGAGATTTATATCTTCTATTAAGATCCTATAAAGCATTATAATATACGTTATATACGTTAATAATTTGTTGAAATATGATTAAAATAATTTTAAAAAATAACATACTTATCTACGCTAAGTTGCCAGAATCCTTTGCGACTAAGAGGAATATATGTGAAATCGCCTTTGTAAAAAGCAGGATCGGAACCACCCAATATAAATTCGCCACCATTTAATTCTGAAGAGTTTCTACACCGTTTGCATATTATTTATATTTTAATATGTGTGTATATAATAATTAAGATTAAATTATATTTAATATACAAGTATAAATATTACTTTAATTTAAAAAAATATAATAATGCATAAATAATAAATGTAATTTATATTAATATTAAAATAAATATAAATATATGTACAAATATAATGTGTATATATATTATATTTGTATGTATATTTATATATAAATTTGTTTATAATATTAATATTTATTAAAAAATTTTACTTAGAGAGATACGTTGTTCGTAAATAGAGAAGATGTACCTATTTAGATGAAAACTGAAAATGTGTGATGACAATAGACCTTGTTCAATCATATTGTCGAAGACAGTTATTTTTTCATCAGTGACAGATGCTATAGAATAACCCAGGCCCAAGATACCATCGTAGGGTGCAGTATTAAATGGATACTTTGACATGTTAGTCGCTTCTGTAAATATTTGATTCTGAACATCGAGACCGGCAACCTGTAATATAATAATATTAGTGAAACAATATATCGTCATTGTCACGCATAAAAATGATTGCAATATGATTGCTTAAAAATTTAAACTATGATTATAGTTGCAATTGAATTGGATTGTTTTAATGATGACACACTTACATTCACTGTATCAATAGATAGGAATCCTTCTACATTGCTATTAATGTATTTTATATGACTCGAAACATCAGTTGCTATATATGTGCTGGATTTTGTACTATTATATTGATTATGATATACTGTAAAGCAAGATCGATAATATCACAAATTAGCAATATTAGAAAGATTTAAAAAATATAGAGATATTTTCTTATTAATTCATAATAAATGTATAATATTTTTTTTTATTATTATATATGTATATGTGTTTGTTGAGTTAACTCTTAAAACATTTTTGTTTGTCTTCTATTTCCAGAGAGTGAACGTAAAAAATTGTTTAGATTAATTTATGCATAAAAATTCCAAAATTTGGCTTTGTAATATTTACTATAATATTAAGTGTATTAAATTTCTATCTGTTTTATTCAATTTTTTAAATATTCTAAGATTATATTTGAAAAGTAGATTATAGATAGACTATATATATATATATATATATATATATATATATATATATATACACATTTATATATTTATATATTGTTACGTATATCTATTATACAAATAAATTACTTACAACAAATATCGATGTTGCACTTCTTGGACGGAATCCAAAGATATGGGGTGCCGGTATCAAATACCACTTTAAATTGTTGCGGCGGTGTTCCAATGGTAATAATACCATAGTGAGCTACGTTTCGAAAATTTAACAAAAATACTGAAGGAAGATTATTATCTATCACACGAATTTCTTGTATGTCAGATTTTTCCGAAGAGTGTAGAGTAGTATTAATCTTGTGTAATAAAATCCTTGAAATAACATAAAAAACATTCTGCGATACTATATATATGTATATATAATTGGAAACATGTATATGTGTATAAAATGAATATATGATATGACTATCAGACTTTTTTTTTAGAACAAATATAAGTTACGCAAGTCTACACAAATTTAAACATCTCAGAAATAAACTATATATAACTTACATATTTACAATATAAGTTACATTACGCATTTAAATATAAATATATCAAGAACGTTTTTTAATTCGATAATTTTTCCAAATTATATATAATCTTTATATATTGCATATATCTCTAAAGTAATATTTAATTAGTAACACAGTCTTTTAAATAAAATCATTATATAAACTTACATTGATTTATAGTTAACGGAATTAATATAATTTTACACAAAGAAATAATATAAAAACAAGTAACTGTCAAGTATTAAAAATGAAATAGAGAAAAGGTCAAGTGAGCAAATAATATAAAGCAACTCATACCTATAATTGATCTGCTAACACGAAAAAAGAGTTTGCAATTATATGTTTTGATGACTCCAATGTGATATTTACATTAACTGTCAGTCTTTAAATGTAGATAAAAGCAAGATGGATAAAAGTGAACGTTACGAAAGAACAAAGAGTCATTATTTCAAATATATTCTTTTTTTATCTATTTTTTGACTAATAAATAAAATAAAATACGTTTTAATCAAAGAGATTTCATCTAATTTGTATCGAAGCGTTAATTGCACAAACCACGCGTTTAATCCAAGAAATTGAATACGACGAAAAAAAATCGATCTCTATAATCTTGATATTTATCATGCCAATATATAATACAATAAAATATATACTGACCTATGCAAATGTGCGTCGGTCGTCATAAAGAGCATCGTCATTACCATAAAAAGGCGAAACATATTTCCGACTTTATTTATTACTAAAGTCTCGATTTGTGAAAACGTTGAACAATGAATTTCGACACTTTATGAGCGAATATACGGAAAAATAAAGTGTTGTCGCTTGCTAAGACTCCTCTTATTTACGTTGTATGGGCATTCGATAGCGTTATATATATGATCGCGCGTGCCCCTATGTTGAATGTTTGGACGGGTAGAAATCGCGCGAAACATTCGAAAAACTCTGATCGACTTTCTTTCAACTTAATGTAAATAATAATTTACATTAAGTTGAAAGAAAGTCGATAAAATCATATTTTGCATAATTGTATATCCTTATTTAAGAACGTTTATACGTTAATTCTGATCTTTATTAATATTAATATTTATTATACCGATATGTAACGCACACATATAATACAATGTATATATGAATTTATCTTTAGTTTTCATGTCGACCAACGCAAAAAGCGTCAAGATCACCACCAGAAAGCAAAAACGATGTTTTCGAAATTTCTTTCTGTGTTCGATCTTGTTTATATTCGGGTTGCTATCGATCAAGCAAATTTAAAAATATTTTATTTAACATTTTTTTAATTATCACAAATTGTATCAAAATAAATTATTAAATGTATGCGTGATTAATTAGGAACCTGCATTTCGAAACAATACATTGATTATGTCAACTAAACAGCCATGCAAATGAGCTTTGCAAATGATACTTTGGTCATAAAAGTTAGCATTTTAATTAGCAATAAGCTCATATCAGCTGATTTTACAATAAAACATTGCGCTGTTGGAAATTAAGATACATTATGTACAAATAATGCAAAAATTTATATTGATGACATATACGAATCTTGTTGGTTGGCGATTAGAAAAGATTGAATTTTTCTCTTATTAAAAATTAAACAAATAATTTAAAAAATTGACGCTACACAATAAAATGTGACAAGGAAAGAAAGGTTTTTCTATATATTTTGATAAATTTTTGCTTCGACTTGAGACATAATTGAGGATTGTTTTTTTGAAAAATTAAAATTTTAATTGTTCTATAATTTTTTTTAATTCAAGTAAAGATTGTACACTCACATTCATTTTTAATCATTTTTAGCTACATATATGTCTTGTACGTGTATATGTAAATGTATAAAATCTTTATAATTTTTATACATTTGCATATTTACATTATATGAAATGTAAAATATATTTTTACATATATATATTAATAATAAATATGTTATAGATTTATCCAATTAATTATACTATCTAATCATACTATATAATTATATTATATTACATATTAATATTTGTATATATTTTATAATATAACTTAATTACATAATAACAGATAATATTATTGATAAATATTATTTTATTTTATCGTGTAATACTGATGAAACTCGTGTACAATTTGTGCAACATTAAATCTGCTCACGTTAACGCAATAAAAGTTACTTATATGTGTAATTTGTAATTATAATTATCTTTAACTTAAGTAATATGATAGTAGAAAAAGATATTTAATTTAAAAATATTACAATTGTATTCTAAGAGGATGATATATTATTTGATTATTATTATTATTATATTTCACATATAAACTTAATTGTTTCAAAAATTAAAGAAGTTATGAACCTATATCGAATCATTACAACTACAATTACATTAGTGAAAATATATGTTACATATTACTCTCTGTTGTATGAATGCTTTTGTAGGTTTTTGAAAAAGAAATTAAACATATGCATATTTTTCAAATACGTTTAAGTATGTCGTTAAGTTTGTTGCCAACAATTATTATGAAAGTTATGTTAGTTATATAAGAATAATAATATTTAATACCAATTTTTAATCCAGAACTGTACAAAACCCACAAAATATATCACCAAATATATACATGATTTCACATTATGTACATATTATTATGTAAGATGTATATTTTAAAAAAGTGCTACGAAAAGTAATTAATATTTATTTCGTCGGAGCAAATCCTATTTGGTCAGTGTTCATATTAAATTTGGTGTAGAAACGACGAATAAATGGAATGCCTAGAACCCAATCAACTTCATGCAAGTCAAGTCCCACAAAGCCACTTATACATACACTACGACCATTTTTATCTGGGATCTGTACAGAATTAAATATACAATGTAAATTTCTCTTATATATACTTAATAATTTAAATAATTTATTTATATCACTCACCTCAATGATGTAATCGTCAGCGGTCAGTTTAAATGTCATATCATTCAAAATAAAACGAATCATAGGTAAGTCAAAAATTCGATTGCAGTTCACCTTTAAACAAAAGATATTATCAATTATAGTATCAAGTATAATTAATAATATTTAATAAATATATTAAGCTCGAACGTAGATTAACGTCCTTGTTCCATAGTAGTTTCATTTGAACGTACATTATTCGTTTTTATCAACTAACGCTAGTATCAACGTTTTATGATTTTTTAAATCAAAGACTACTGTTTTGCGAAAGACATGATCGTTTACTTACTTCTTCCTCTCCATTAACATTAATAGTTCCAATAAATTTATTGATTTTTATAATATCTGATGTAGGCCCAATTATTACCCCAATCCCTATATTAACGAGAGCTTGACAATTATCCGTGCACAGAATGTTATTATTATCTAATTTAATCCTACAAAGCGATAACATTAACGTTAATTTGTTGCAACATGATTAATATATATTTAGAAAATAGCATACATTTAAAATTTACGTAACATTTAAAAAATAACTTACTTATCAATGGTAAATTGCCAGGATCCTCTGCGAGTAACAGGAACAAATCTTAATATGCCTTTGTAACGAGTCGGATCGGAACCACCCAATATCAATTCACCACCACTTAATTGGCCTGAAGAATCTCTGCACCGTTTGCATATTATTTATATCTTAATATATGTGTATATAATACTTAAGATTTAATTATATTTAATATACAGATATAAACATTACTTTTATTTTAAAAATTATAATAATATTATAATAATATAAATAATAAATTTAATTTATATTAATATTAAAATAAATATAAATATACATATAAATATAATTATATGTATATATTTATTAAAAACTTTTGTTTACAGATACGCATTGTTTATAAGTAGAGAAGAGATGTACCTATTTAGATAAAAACTAATAGTTCGTGATGAGATTAGATGTTGCTGAAGCATGTTCTCGATAAGAGACATTCTTTTATCAAACATTTCGGAATAACCTAGACCGAAGATACCATCATATTGTGCAAAGAGAAATGGGTTTATGTCTGACACGTTAATCACTTCTGCAAATATTAGATCCTTAATATAGTAGTCGTCAACCTGTAATAAAATTGGTAATAAAATAACATAACGTCATTGACGCGCCAAAAAGAAACAATATGATTAATTGAGAATTGTTTAAACTACTTATAGTTGTAACTGAATTTGATTGTTTGTTTAATAATGACTTACATTCACTATATCAGTAGACAATAATCCTTCTATAGTGGAAATGGTGTTATTCATACAAATCGAAGTATCATTTGTTAAATATTCCCCGGATTCTATACCATCATAGAGATTATGTTTTACTGTAAAGCATATTCAATAATATCGCAAATTAGCAATTTTGGAAAGAATTTTAAAAATGTAGAGATATAGTCTTATTAATCTATAATAAATATAAATATATAATATTCTTTTGCAAATCATTATATATAATATATGTAAATATGTTTGTCGAGTTAACGTTTGAACGATCTTTGTTTGTCAAAACTTGTTTATATCTTCCGAAAGTAAACGTGATAAATTGTTTAAATTAATTTATGCATGCAAATTCCAAAGTTTGTCTTTGTAATATTTACACTATAAAATATTAAATTCGTATCTGTTGTTCAACTTTTTAAATATTTCCATGATTATACTTGAAAAATAAATGTTGGTAGAATATGTGTATGTACACACACACACACACACACACACACACACACACACACACACACACACACACACACACACACACACACACACATTGTTATATATATCTGTATCCAAAAAATTACTTACAATAAGAAGGGATATTATGCTCGTTGGTCTTTTTGGACAATATCCAAAGATTTGAATAACCGGTATCAAATGCCACTTTAAATTCTTGCGGCGGAAAACCAATGGCAATAATGCCATAGTAATTTACGCTTATATAACGGGACAAAAGTGCTGAACGAAAATTAATAAGCGAAGGAATATCTTGCGTGACATTGCCATCTTTTAACAAAGATTGAATGGAATCCGTCTTGTGCAATGAAATCCTAGAAGTAACATAAAAAACATTCTGTGGTACTATATATATGTGTATATATATATATATATATATATATATATATATATATGTAAAGTTGCAAACGTGTATAAAATATAAATATGTATAAAATGAATATTTGATATGATTAGCAAATATTTCCAGAACAAACATACAAGATACGCAATTCTACACAAATTTAAACATCTTAGAAATCAACTATATATAACTTATATAATTACAATATATGTACATTACGCATTTAAATATAAATATGTGAAAAACATTTTTTAATTAACTCGACGATTTTTCTAAATTATATACGATCTTCATATTGCATATATACCTCTAAAGTCATATTTAATTTGTAACACACACACACACACACACAGTCTCTTTCTTTCTTTTAAATAAAATAATTATATAACTTAACATTGATTTTTAGTTAACGAAAATTTTACATATAATTTTACACAAAGAAATATTATAAAAACAACTAACTGTATCAAGTATTAAAAAATGGATACAGAAAATGTCAACCGTGAGCAAATAATATAATAATAAGTTATTATACCAAAGTTATTATACCTATATCTGTTCTGCTAACACGTGAAAAAATAGTTTACAATTAAATGTTTTGATGACCTCCTATCGCGATATTTATATTAACAATCGCCATTTAAATGTAGATAAAAGCAAGATGGACAAAGTGAACGTTACAAGGGAACAAAGAGTCACTATTTCAAAAATATTCTTTTTTTATGTACTCTTTGACTAATAAATAAAATAAAATACGTTTTAATTAAAGAAATTTCATCTAATTTGTATCGAAGCATTAATTACATTTGCACAAACCACGCGTTTAATCCAAGAAATTGAATACGACGAGAAAAAATCGATCTCTATAATCTCGATATTTATCATGCCAATATATAATACAATAAAATATATACTGACCGCAATTTCGCTTCGGTCGTCACAAAGAGCATCGTCACTACCACAAAAAGGCGAAACATATTTCTGAATTTACTGAAGTCTCGTGCAAATTTGAACGATGAATTTCTGTCGACACTTTATGACCGAATACGCAGAAAAATAAAGTGTTGTCGCTTGCTCCTCTTATTTACACTGTATCGGCATTCGACAGCGTTATATATATGATCGCGAGAGCCCCTATGTTGATGAATGCTTGAAATGAGGAGAAAAAACGCGCGAAACATTCGAAAAAAGCCTTGGATGAATTTCCATCGATGAACTTAATTTAAATATATCATATTTTGTATATCCTTAATTAAGAACGTTTATTTGCACACATTTATGATTAACAATAAAAAACAATTCTTTCGAAAGAATACATTGTTCATATCGACTAAACAGACAATCATTAATTCTGCAATAGATAATTTGCAGAAAGGAATATATAATTAATTGAATTTTTTTTTATTTAATTAATAATATAGTTATAATATTGAGTTCTATCGATGAACAAGATACTTGTGTTATAATCTTAAGAAAAAATTTACATGACTCTCTGTTCTCTTACATTCTACATATTATAGTTCATACGTTGAGAGTGCCATCATTTATTGATGATTTCTTAAAGCAGAAACATCACAATCAAGCTTACAATTAGACGCTTTTGACGCTAATGAATTCGTAGCTTCAATAAAAAAAGCAAGTTATTTAACAAAATATTTTTATATCTTTCTTCGAATGTAAAGAAAACACATATAGTGTTTTTATTTTTCAAAAGACATTTTTTTTTGCTTTTAAATGGGCACTAACATACTTCTTTTATTGTAAATATTATTTTTATCCTTTACATATGTTATAACTAATATTAAGACATTCAGATATGTATCATAATAGCACTTATTATTTTTACTATAAAAAGATTTAAAATCAAAACAAAATCTTAATGTTAAAAAATTAGTACGTTAAATTTTTCACATTAACTATTAAATGTCTAAAAAATGTTTAACATTATTTATGCTTTCTTTGAAACATTTCTTTTCGCGAGATATACACATCGTATATTGCTTAATTAATTATTAATTAAACGATTATTGTATCATAATTTTTAATTATATTAAACTTTCGAATTTGTAATTTGTATTAATATACATGTACTGTATATATATATATATATATTTTTTTTTAATAATGAAAACAACATTTGTAACGAGTTTGTATTTAATTTGATCTCATATAAAAAGAGTGAATCGTATTTTTCAATTCTTTATACAATATATTAATTATTATTATATACAATTATTATATACATTAATTATTATTTATATACGATATATTAAAGTTTTTTTGCGTTTCTCATAATTATTCCGCGATCGGGAATGCTGTGCAAAGTGTCTCGCAATCGTTTTTATATATGACTACATATAATTAATTATTTGTTCACAAGTAAATATGAGTGCTATGAGAAAACAGTAAAGGATGAAAAAGAAAGGAGAAGGACATTTGGAAAAATATCGGACAGCCAGAGAGCAGAGAGAGAATCTGAAGCAGCTAGAGAGATATGTGGTATTTTATAAAAATTTATCGGTAAATTCATTAATATGAGCTTTTAATATGTTGTTTTCTAGATAAAAATAAAGGACACGTATTTTTTTTATACGTGCCTATACGCGTGTCTAAAAGATAAGATACTCCTTTAAAAAAAATCGGTTTTTTCCTTTCGAGATGAATATTTCAGAAACTATAAGAAATAGAAAAAAATTTTCAAATTAAAAGTTAAATGGCTTCAAGAGTACTTTACAACAATAACAAAAAAATTTTTAATTTTTTTAATTTTTCAAAATAATTTTTCAAAAATTTTTATATAACATTTTATATAACAATGTAACAGTTATATTATTGAGTGGAAAATTATAACTAACAGTTATAATATAATAATAACAGTTATATAACTGTTATTTGGTGTTTGGGTAAATTTATAATATGTTTCCGTACTTTTGATCTACAATTATGGATCTAGTACGGACATAAACCAAATCGGTCGTTTTACCATGGAATGAAAATGATGTAGTCATGTAGTTCCATCAGCTCTCGCTGACTTGACATTTGAACGAAAGATAAATAGATCTTTACTTTACCAACCCAGAATCAGCTGATGAAAGTTTGCAAGATATAATGAAGAAGTGTATTGCTTGAATCTTTTTAAAAGAATATAAAAATCTAAGGAGAAAAACAGATGTATAATTTCTTTCAAAAAAACGAACGAGATAATATTCATCGAAGAGAAAAATTAGCATTTGTAAGTTATTTTTAACAATTAATATATTTTTTCTCTCTTTCAAAACTTATATTTTTACTTCTGGCATCTCTTTAAATAATAAACAAATATTACAAATATTACAAACATATTTGTGCTTTTATGCTATTTTTTTTTAGGTAAAACTTCCTTACATCTATTAACAAGTATAAAGTGCGGATAATATTCACACGACTAGCATGAGTAAAAGTATAGATGTTTTGTCAGAAGAAATCGACGAGTTGCTATTACGTAAATTAGAATTAATGCAAGAAAAGGTGCAAAAAAATGTTCAAATGGAGACATTGTTGAAAGATGGTCACATCGAGTTAGCTAAAGCGAAGTATATCCGTGGAAAAGAGAACATTAGTATTCTACAGGTTCCAAACAACGAAGATACAGTTACATCCTTGTTTGACTTGGAAACTAATGTGAATGACAATGACGAGCCTGCAGTATGTTTTGACATAAGTTTAAAAAAATCAAGCAGCGAGACAGATGAACCAAAAGATCCTGTAAAATGGTTTGGTGTATTGGTCCCGCAAAATTTGAGGAAGAGCCAGAAACGTTTTCAGGAATCTATCTATCTTGCTGTGAAGATAGCAAATGTACAAGCGGAACTTACTTCCGTGCTTTCCAAGCTTAAAGCATTACATATTGAAAAAGACAATTTATGTTCTGCAAATGATGTTAAAACTTAGAAACAAATATCTTTGCAAATTATAATATATATAAATATGATTTATAGTTTAATATTTAAAGGAGGAATGATATACTATACCAAATTAGAAATGAATCTAATATAACAATATAATCGAAAAAAGATATATATTTTTCAAGCGTTCAACTTAAATCTTACAAAGCTGCAGAAAATTTATTTTGGAGATATGCATATATGCAATTTTTATGTAACTGTATATTTTTCAGTACCAGTTTCTTTTCTATATAAGTTTGTGATGCAATTGTAGAAGTCTATTAAAGAAGAAAAAATTATATTGTTAAATTAATTAAATTATATTAATTATATTTATATGTTCAATATTCAGAGAAAAGATTATACACTTCATTGATAAACATACAATTTAATTTAATTTGATAGTCAAATAATTTTATTTGTATAACTAAAGAAAAGAAAATTTTTGTTGTGTATTCAAAGTATGATTAATTATATGAGTAGAAAATAAATTTATAATATTATATTTTACAAAAATTTAGACTAATAAGTAAAATTTTATTTATAAACTTTTATTATTTACAAACTATATTTTATTTTTTATTTATAAACTTTACGTCAAATTTTTATGTATTATTCTTATCTAGAAATTTAAAAAAAAGTGTGTTCTTGGATGCTACGAAGGAAGATTGACCAATTAGAGCGAAGGAATCTTTGCTCCTTTCCGATTGGTCAGTCAAATGACTTGAAGCTTTAGTAAATTGCATAGTGTTTTTTCCGAAATCGATTGGTAGGAGTTAGTAGACTTTTTAGAGGTCTCTCTCGTCGAAGTTTAACGGTCGCGGAAAAAGCATTTACTTTCAAAAACTACAAAGCATACGTTTATTCGCTCGTATAAGCCGTTATTGTTGATATCTTATCGCGTATGCGTCGATTTCTTCGAATTTTGCGCGTTATTGTTGGTTAAGAGGAGATCACCGAGTGACATGTCAGTTGCATAGATACTACGGAAGGAACGACATAATAAGCGTCGCAGAATGACTTCCTTGTCACTTTTAGCAACCTACGACGAGTTGGTGAGATGCTCGAATGTCCTGATAAATGGATCCTGCGAGGAAGGTATTTTTATTTTGACAATCTTAAAAAATTATACACGTTTATATTTTTGAGATTTTATGCAGTAGCGTTTTTATCAAATTTTCTGAAATTTTACTGCAATATTGCTTCTTTGCAGAATTCCTGCAATTTGCCTTAAACCAAGAGGAGATGAGACAGAAATGGTTGGCATCGGAACAAGAGTGTCAACGGCTTCATTCAGCCCTGGACAAGGCTCATCATGAGATTGCTGGGCTGGATAGAAAATTGCGTCACGCTAGAAGAAACTTGGAGGAGGAGAGCCGTAAACGTCGTATCATTGAGGAACAGAAAGATTCATTGGTAGCTAAAATATATTCCGGAACAGATATTCTAAAAATATATATATTTTTTAGCTGTAATAATTTCTATTCATATTTATTTTTCAGGAGAAACAAATCGCTACAGCCAGAAATTTCTTGTTTACTGACGGAGGTAAAAACCTAAATGATGAAACTAGAGAAAAACTGCAGTTTCTTAATAATACTTCTTTGAATCAACAAAGTAACATACATGTTCAAGACACTCACATTGACAAGTAAGTAATGAGAATCTCAAGAAGAAAAGATTGATTTTGACATTTATCTAATAGCATTGTGCTGCTTTCATTTTTAGGCTTAACACAATTGCTGAGTTGGACTCCACAGGCTCAATATTAAGCGATCTTAACTGTCTATCAAAATCGGAAGACGACTTAGAGACTAGCGCTATTTTACATCAAAATTTGAAGAGTGGAAAACGACAATGGAAGGAACATCGTCCCAGTAGCGAACATTCTAAAAAACGTCGTAGCTCGTTGCATAAAGTTACTGAATTAAATTCTTCTGATAGAATAGTAGCCACTACTACTGTAGTTATGCCAAAAGATGGTGCAATTACTGCATCATCAACGATTGAGGCTATTCCTGGTGATGAAAATGCAGATCCACAGATCTCTTCACAAAGTACACGCAAACGACGTAAGAGTAGTGCAGAACGTAACAAATCAAAATCGCACATAGAAGCAAACAAAATACTAATAGATACAGCAGTATGTTATTAAACTTTTTAATTTAACTAAATTGTCGTTTTTTACATTTATATGTATGATTAATATTAAAAACATTTTTATCTTTAGCCATCAGCACCACAGGCTGAGATGCTTACATCAACTTCAGATACAGAAGATGTCTTCAAACCAAGTCCAAATATTGGTGGATATACTATGAATGCAAAAATATCTAGGAATCACCGTTTTGCAGCCAAATATGTCATTAGACCGGAAATCTGCACACCTTGTGGTAAAAGGTAAATATATTCAACTAAGTATAAATATCTAAAGATTTTGAAAAACTTTTTGTCTCTTTTATATCAATAGATACATTAAATTTATAAGAAAAAAATATCTCAATATTCCTCTTAATTTATTAATTATTAACAATTTATTTGTACATACATTTATTTGTATAATATACATTTATTTGTACATACATTTATTTGTATAATTAATTAATTAATATAATATATTTATTTATATAATTTCTCCTTTAATGTATTTATATTTAATTATAATTGATAGAATTCGATTTGGAAACACAGTTCAAAAATGCGAAGATTGCAGAGCTATAGCTCATCCTGAATGCAAAGATTTAGTGCCTCTGCCATGTGTGCCGACAGGAAATACGCCTACGTTACGTGGTGTACCCGTGAGCATTATAAATTCTACATCAGTAAAACATTCAAGTTTATACTTTTACTGAAATCGATTTTTATACAGGGCACTATAGCTGATTACACACCAATAATACCACCTATGGTGCCTTCCATAGTAGTTCATTGCATTAATGAGGTTGAATTGCGCGGAATGAATGAACAAGGTTTATACAGAGTAAACGGAGCGGCTGCAGATGTCAAATCTCTTAAAAATAAATTCTTAAAGGGCAAAGGTGCTCCAAATCTTTCTAATGTCGACATCGCAACCATCTGTTCTACTCTGAAAGATTTCTTCAGGTATATCATTTCATACAATAGATGCACATATATATATATATATATATATATATATATATATATTTATTTATTTATTTATTTATTTGAAGAAACGAAAAAGAGCAAAAAATGTGTATTTTACAGATCTTTACGCGAGCCACTAATCACTGTCGCTTTGATGGGAGACTTTATACGTGCGACAACGTTAACGGATAAACAAGATGCCGATGCCGCTCTTTATCAAGCAATTTCAGAATTGCCGCAACCGAATCGGGATACTTTGGCCTTTCTGATGCTACATTTGCAGAGAGTATCGAGTAGTCCCGAATGTAGAATGCCCATCAGTAATCTTGCCACAGTTTTTGGGCCGACTTTAGTTGGTAACACTTCCAACAAACCATCTTCTATTATGCTCAATGAAATCAAACATCAAGTTGCGGTAAGCAAAATATTCGATATCTACTCTAATTGTACTATTATAAATAGAAATACACAAACACTTTAATATAATTTATTCTAGGTAGTAGAAAATCTGCTCCAAATTCCATCCGATTATTGGGCTACTTATGTGAATCCGACGAACTCAAATGATATCTATACTCCAAAAACGGGCGAATTAAAACATACACCCTCAACAGAATCGCTCCTTAAGCGTAGTATCTCCCGCGGTTTCTTCAATACTCCGCTTTCTTCCAGGTGAGTAAAATGAAGATAAAGATATGATTATAAAGAATAACTTGCTTATATTTAATGTATTGTTTTTTGTTACACATCTTTTTTTTATTCATAGCCGCACTTTTGCGAGAAGAAATAAGAAATACTTTGCTACGCCACCTTCTAGGGCAGGATTCTAATGAGTAAATTTATATTTATTATATTATAACAAAACTTATATTTGTTATATCATAGAAATTTTCTGCACAGAAATTTGTTTAATTTGATCTTTAATAGTATACGTTTTTATATGTATTTTTTTTTGTAAATATGCTTAATATATGCAATAAACATTTCTCAATTTATATTTCATTTCTTTAGAGTAGTAACAATTTTTAGATTTTGTATTGAGTAAATTATTACACATAATATTTTTTTATATTTAAATTTTTTTTACATATGATTTTGTATATCTATATTCCATGGTAGGAACAATTCGATTTCGTGCAGTAAGCAATGTAGTGAGAGTAAAACATGATATACAATATTCAATAAAAATACAAATATTTTAATTTACTAATTTGTAGTAAGTGCCCATGGTCTTGAAATTCTGTTAAAATATTTCATAACTAAAGCCAGCGGCACACGATGCTTGTTTTCGTGCTGGATTGCATGCGAGCATTATGATAATTTGACAATTCTTTAATATCGAAATTACGATTGGTCAATTAAGACGCTCACATGCGATCTAGTACGAAAAATCGTACGGTGCCGCAGGCTTAAGTGATATTCAAAGATCTATGCATAATAAACGAAAATCGAATTGTTTCTCTCATGAACAGAAAATACAATCGAATTTTTAATTTTATTTTTTTTATTATTTTTTTACTTATTTTAGCTTTTTTCAATTTTTAACATTTTTTATTGCTATTTGATATTATTTAAAAAAAATATCAATATAAATATAAATAACAATTTAAGAATTTTCATATTTTTCTCTGTCACATATAAATTGTAAATTTTTTATGCGTATATTTTTTATTTTTATTTTTATGCATGTACTATAAATATTGAAAGATAATCTTAAGACTTCTATAATAAATTAAACTTATTGAAAAAATGTTGACTTATTTTATTGAATATTACAGTGAAACAACTTTTTAAGAAACGTTGAGCTGTCCGGAACGGATAACCAAGTCAAACAAGAGAAAATTATCTTTTGCTTTAGATATTTGCAAATAAACATGTATATCAATTATCGTATGTTTTTAATTCTTTAATGTACAGATATTGGTGATGTTGTGACTACGTTCTGATATGACGCCAGTATTGAAAATATAAGTCTATATACTTGACGTAGACTATAGACTTTCAGTACTGGCAGTAAATATCGAAAGACAGCTTTATTTTTTAAAATGTTATCAGAACTTTCATGATAACATGAATTTCAGTATTCAAAGAGCAGTTGCAAGAAGAACATATATTTACTAACAATTTTTTGAAGAAAACATTTTATTAAAAAGGTATGCTTAGTTTTTATATTTTGAAAAAATTTAAAATAAAATTTTTTTGTATATATTTTAATAAGAAAAAGTATATTTTTATATTTCCGTACTATATAAATAATAATTATATGTATAATATAAATAATAGTTAAATATAGATTTATTGTATATTTATAATAAAAAATTATATAATATATGAAATTAATATACAATTAATATTTTAAATTATTAATGTTTTAAATTAATTTAATTATATTTTATATTACAATTAAATTAATATAATATTAAATCAACGTTAGTACTATAATAATTACTATATAATTATTAAAACAATTTTTTTTCTTATACTGCTATAACTTATATTTGAAACTTTCATCAACTTATATAATTTTTTTATTATAATTATGGTTAGATTTTTATTCAAGTTAATTAATATATTTAGCATAACTTTGTTTATTATAATATCACATTTAATTAATTACCATTTTTACTATATTTTTAAAAGACTTTTTTACTTAAATTTACAGAGATGCAATATGAAGTTATTTATCATCATTTTTGTCTATTTGACCACACTATCAGCCAATGATGATATTCAAACCTCCTTGGAGTTTCCCGACTATGCGAATGAGATTACACATCTGTGCAAAAATGAAATAATCTCTTTTAACTTTGCTAACACAACAATCACCTCTATTGGTCGGGATTTTATTAGTAGTCCTTGGATTACTTGTCTCAATTTCACAAGCACTCAAATTCACAATATCGAGAGAGGCGCCTTCAACAAACTTCCTAATTTGACTCAATTAATTTTTTCTGATAGTAATATCGACTTACAAAAACTTTTCAACTTTGGAGGTCACGAAAATTTAAAGTTTCTTAATCTGAATGATGCATCCTCTCGCATCTATGACTCATATGATGTTTATATTTTTGAAGAATATCCTAACTTAGAAATCTTGTCTGCCCGTAAAAATGATATCAGAGATTTAATTTCAGAAGTAAATACTCCATTTCCAAAACTGAAGATCCTAGATCTTTCCAGCAATCAGATACAAAGTACCGATTTTGTAAAATTGTTACCAAATAGTTTACATGTTCTTGATCTCCACGACAATTCGCTCTCTTCTTTGGTTTTTGATAAAAACCATGTAAACTTATTGGCACTAAACTTGGATTACAACAATCTACGTTATATAACGAATGTGATGACTGGCCTAGAAAATTTGCAATATCTTTCCGTTTCTGGAAACAAAATTGATTCTATTGAATCAAACGCTTTCGAAGACACTAATAAGTTGGTATATTTGAACTTATCCACAAATAAAATAACTCACTTTCATTCAGAAATATTTATAAAATTGCAGTCTTTAAGATTACTCGATTTGAATTATAATATGCTCGAGGAAATTCCGCAAATTTCAAATGAAACAATTATTAGTACTTTATTCCTTAATTGTAATAATATTAAGAGTATAATTTCAAACGCTTTTGTACAAATGCCAAAATTGATGAAATTATTATTGGGAGGGAATCAGATCATCGAAATTAATGTTAAAGCATTCGCTCATCTTTCGCTTTTAGAAATATTAGATTTGTCGAGGAATAAATTAAGTTTCCTACCAGAAGGATGGAGTGAATTTTTAATATCTCTAAAATATTTAAATTTAAACGATAACCAATTTATCTCACTAGAATCTTTATCCCTAACAAACGTGTTACCATTAATGGAACTGCATCTGGCGAATATTTCACTGGAATATTTAAATATTAGCTATTTCGAAAACTTGCCGCAGAATCTTATCATAAGTTTGAAAGAATTTAACTCTGCAAACTGGAATTCTGCTAGATGCAGACCTACAGTACCTACAGTACCACAGACAGATCCCTGGGGGACAGATTCCTTGGGGACAGATTCCTTGAGGACAGATTCCTTGAGGACAGATTCCTGGAGGAGATATGATTTTAACACAGGTTAATGAGGGGTACTGTAGGTCATCACCCGTCATTTGGGGCCGTTTTTTCCTCAACGAAAATGTTGATGAAGGCCATCATTTTTTGCATGTTCCCGATTTTTGTCATCATATATCTTTGCAATTAAACCTTAAATTAAAACTCAATTAAAGTAAACTTTATTTAAAATTAATCGAAGAATGTGGTTTTGTTAATATTTTATTACTACAAAGCTTAGTTTACGAAAAACCCCTTATTTCCAATTACTTATAATTCAAAAATTATTAGTGCCTTCACATTTTCGTTGAGGAAAAATTGTCTTCAGATGATCCCAGGAATCTGTCTTTGAAAGATTCATTATGAGTTTTGGGACACTCTGTATATATAAACTGGAAGAATGCGGAGAACTGTTAGATCCCTCCGTAAGTCGAGAGAGAACACTTTTGTAAATTCAACATATTCAGAAAAGTCTCTTTATAAACAGTCGACTTACAAAGAAATATATATATACACACATAATCTAGCTCTTTTATAAAAAGATAAAGTTCAAGTTAAAGTTCAAGTTTGTAAAAAGATTGCGACAAATATACAAAAATGCTTCTACTTTTATTAGTGATAAATTGAATGATGAATCTTGTATTCACACAATAACTTTGTATAATCGTCGTTTAGTAATTTTTATTAATATTAATTAATCATGTGTATCTTTTTATAATTACGAATATCATATATGTAGCAGAACAATAGATAAAATAACATGTATACACATATCGACAAAAAATCGATCTACAAAAATGTATAAATAAAATAATATAAAAAATAATTTATTAAAACTTTACCCTCCTCTCCCGATAAAAAAAATATTTTAATTTATTAAACTGTGATAAATTCTCAAGATCTTGAAATTTAAATGAATTCTGTCAAAATATTTCATAACGAAGTGATATTCAAAGATCTATATGTAATGGACGAAAATTGAACTATTGAACTATCTCATGAAACACAAAATACACAATCGAACTTTTCTATCTTATATTTTTAATATTTTTTCTTTTATTTTAACTTTTTCAATTTTCAGTATTTTTTTCTTGTTGCTATTTGATATTATTCTAAAAAGATATCATGCATTATCTCGAAAAAAAAATCAAAAGTTTACAAGAAAAATAACGAAATTATATATAAATATAGGAAAGTATGTTTTCTTGGCATAATAAGTATATAGATAATTTAAGAATTTTTATATCTTTCGCTGTCATAAATTTTAAATTTTTTACTTCCATTTTTTATTTTTATTTCTATATATGTACTATATATATTGAAAAAAAAATAATCTGAAGATCTCTATAATAAACTTAATTTACAGAAAACAATTTAACTTATTTTATTAAATGTTATAGGGAATTAACTTTTTGATAAATTTAAGATTGTACTGGCTCGGACTGTATCCGGAATGTATAGTACCAGCGAAAAATATATCACCTTTATGTTTTTAGCTAATTTAATTCCAAGTGCATATATTTAATTAATTTTTTTAAAATTGCTATTTTTATTATCTAATGAAAAGTCTATTATTCAGTAATCTATATATCTACTATTAAAACGAATGTAATTAAATAGAAATATACGTACTTTACATTAAGTTATCCTTAAAAACATAAAGGTGATATATTTTTGACCAATACTGTATCCACAATATATGTGCATGACTAAGTGACTTATTACATCGGCTTAAAATTTTATAAGAACTGACAATGGATTTCAGTATTCAAAGAGAAGTAGTTACGAGAGGAGTGTATATTCACAAGATAATTACTAACAAATTTGGATAGTTTTTTGAAGAAAGCATTTTATTAAAATGGTATGCTTAATTTCATATTTTGAAAAAGTTTAAAATAAAATATTTTTTTGTATAAATTTTGTATATATATTTTATTATTTATATTAATAAAAATTTTCTTACTTATATATTCTTACGTACTATATAAAATAATTATTATAATTTTTTTATATTATATAATTTATATTATAATCTACAATTACATATATTAATATTTTTAATTAATTTAATTTTACTTATACTTTTAATTATATTTTATATAACAATTAAATTAAAAAATATATAGATAAATCAGTTAATAACAGTTAATAACATTATGTAATATATAATTATTAATATTATAATAATTATTATATAATTATTAAAACGGGACTTTTTACTAATATAATTTATATCTGAATTTTTCATCGCGTTATACATATAATTTTTTTATTACACTTATGATTATACAGGCTCTTGACATTAAAGTTATATTAGCATAATTCCATTTATTATAATACATAATATTACATTTAAAAACATTTTTACTATATTTACAGAGATCCAATATCATATTTTATTTTATTATCATCATTTCCGTTGGTCCATACTATCAGCCAATGATGATATTCAAATCTCTTTGGAATTTCCCGACTATGCGAATGAGTTTGAACATCTCTGCGAAAATGAAATAATTTCTTTTAATTTTGCTAACGCAACCATCACCTCTATTGGTCGGGATTTTATTAGTAGTCCTTGGATTACTTGTCTCAATTTCACGAGCAATCAAATTAGCAATATCGAGAGAGGCGCCTTCAACAAACTTCCTAATTTGACTCAATTGATTCTTTCTAATAACGACTTACAAAAACTTTTCGGCTTTGGAGGTCACGAAAATTTAAAGTTTCTTAATCTGAATAATGCATCCTTCTTTGGCTATCGCCCATATGATGCAGTTTATATTTTTGAAGAATATCCTAACTTAGAAATCTTGTCTGCCCGTCAAAATCATATCCAAGATTTACCTTCAAAAGTGAATACTCCATTTCCGAAACTGAAGATCCTAGATCTTTCCAGCAACCAGATGCAAAGAACTGGAACTTTTGTAAAATTGTTGCCATATAGTTTACATTTTCTTGATCTCCACAATAATTCGATCAATTCTTTGGTTTTTGATAAAAAACATGTAAACTTATTAGCACTAAACTTGGATTACAACTATCTGCGTTATATAACGTATAAAAGTCACTATTTTGAACTAGTGCTAGCTGGCCTAGAAAATTTGCAGTATCTTTCCGTTTCTGGAAACGAAATTGATTCTATTGAATCAAACGCTTTCGAAGACACTAATGAGTTGGTCTATTTGAACTTATCCGCAAATCAAATAACTCGATTCTATTCAGAAACGTTTGTAAAATTACAATCTTTAAGATTACTCGATTTGAGTTTTAATAAGCTCGGGGAAATTCCGCAAATTTCAAGTGAAACAATAATTAGCATTTTATTCCTCAATGGCAATAATATTAAAAGTATAATTTCGAACGCTTTTGTACAAATGCCAAAATTGATGAAATTATTATTGGGAGGGAATCAGATCATCGAAATTAATGTTAAAGCATTCGCTCATCTTTCGTTTTTAGAAATATTAGATTTGTCGAGGAATAAATTAAGTTTCCTACCGGAAGGATGGTGTGAATTTTTAACATCTCTAAAATATTTGAATTTAAACGATAATGAATTTATCTCGCTAGAATATTTATCTCTAACAAACGTGTTACCATTGATGGAATTGCATCTGGCGAATAATCCGCTAGAATATTTAAATGTTAGCTATTTCCAAAACTTGCCGCAGAATCTTACCGTGAGTTTGCAGAAAAATTCTGCAAACTAATGAATTCTGATAGATGCAAGCCGAAATAAAAGTTATTACAATACAACAGATATATTTTTTTATAAATTTAACATTTTTACAAAGGCTTTTATAAAAAAAACCAACTTAAAAAATCCAGCTCCTTTATAAAAAGATAACATTTTTTTTATAAAAAAGTTGAAGAGCTTGCGACAAATGTACAAATGTAGAAATGCTTCTACATTTATTGGAGATAAGATAATTTAAATGATGAGTCTTATAATCAAAAACAATAATATGCATAATATAATAAGTCGCGTTATTATAATTATTCATAGTTTTTTATATTCATCATTTTTATTAATTATTAATATTAGTTAATTATGGTATGCATCTTTTTTATAATTATGGATAATATATTTAGTATAATAGTGGACAGAATAATATGTATATAAATATATAAAATGTATATAATAATATGTATATAAAATGTATAAAATAATATGTATATAAACATTTATATATACATATAAAAATCTCTCTCTCTCTCTCTCTCTCTCTCTCTCTCTCTCTCCCTCTATTAAGAAAATGATATAAAAAATTAAATTTATTAAAACTTTGTCTTCCCCTTCTGAATTTTAAAATATATATTTCTGGAATATATATTTGTAATATGAAATATTGAAAAACATTTTCAAAAAAATTTCTAATATGTTAAAATAATTGGTGAATTCGGGAATGATCTAATTTTTTTTACATAACATGATATAAATTAATTTTTACAATCAAACATAAGAAAATTTCACTTATTTATTACGATTTTATTCGTTCCATGAATCAATTCATAAATATAAATGATGTTCTGCTGCATTCAAGACAAAAAATAAATCCATTTAATAAATAGCTTTTGATTGCCTTAGAGTCTTTATTTCTGAACTAATATATACTAAAGAGATGGATTTATACGAGATAGATCTATATTTATAAATTGGAAAGAAAGACAGGAGAATCAAAAAATGCCAATTCAAGAATAGAACAAGATCTGTTTTGAACTAATGTTGGCAATTCAACTAAAATGTTCAGTTTAATAAAAAAAACAGACCTAAACACATTTTTTGTATAGTCAGATAACAGTCAGTTTGGAGTAACTGTCGTACGTATATATTTTAAAGTTAAGATTGGTCATTTTGATAAGTGTTAATGTTTGTATAACTCGCATATTTTCATGCAAGAGATGCAAAACGAAATCTGATTTCTGAAATTTGAAGATAATGATCGATATTGCGTTAACAAAATTGTCGCATATAAAAAAAAATATTTTAATTTATTAAACTATGATAAATACTCAAGGTCTTGAAGTTTAAATGTATTCTGTCGAAATACTTTATAATGAAATAATATTCCAAAAAAATTTATACATAATGGACGAAAATTGAACTGTTTTTCTCTCATGAAACACAAAATACATACAATCGAACTTTTCTATCTTATTTTTTATTATTTTTTTCATTTATTTTATCTTTTTCAATTTTTAGTATTTTTTTGTTTATTGCTATTTGATATTATTCTGTTTGATATTATTCTAAAAAAATATCAAATGCAGTATCTGGAAAAAAATCAAAAGTTTACAAGAAAAATAACGAAATTATACATATAGAAAAGTATATTTTCTTGGCGTAATAAGCTCATCGAGGCGGGAAACAAAATTACCAATGAGATACTAGCAAAAGAGACAGACATAGACCTTCCATATAGTATTTCTCTCTCTACAGCGGGCGCTCGCCTGTCTATCGCGATGCTCAGTCCAGTGCATATATCGAACACAATGGGTTTGTTCGTTTTAGCTGCACTGTTGCACTAGTGCAATTATTTAGAGTGAAAGAAAGTATGTTTGTCTCTTTCTAACTTATTAGTATGTACACTGCGCGACAACGATTCGTTCATTGGCTCCTCTCTCGCTGGGCAAGGGGAGCGTAGAAGTGACCAATCAGCTGACAGCGTGACAGTGGCTGATTGGTCAGAGGCTACGCTCCCCTTACCTCGCGAGAGGGACCAAGGAACGAATCGTTGTCGCGGAGTGTACTGTGTTTTGGAATAGCTGTCGCACGTGTATACTATTTTGAGGTTAAAGATTGATTATTTTGACAAACATTAATAACAATTATTATTTATTTATTTATTTGTATATCTCGCATATTTTCACACAAGAGATTCAAAACGAAATCTGATTTCTGAATTTCGAAGATAATTATCAATAACGCAAGATTAACATCACAAATGTATCATAAAATGAACGCTCATATTTTATTAAAATTATATTCTATTAAATTATACTCTATCAATCGCGTTGATTTGAACAAAACGCGTAGATTTTACTGTAACAGAAATATATTAAAGCTTCATGAAAGGGGCATGTACGAAGATATATTTCCCAATACCAATACGTAAGTATATTTTAAAATTATTTCTTGATAAAAAAATAATAAATTAAATTGCAATAATAAATTAAATTATTATAATAAATTAAAATAAAACATATATATGAGAGAAATAAATTATATAAAATTATATTAAATAAAGCATATATATATATATAAAAGTAAATTATATATATTAAATTATATTAAATATATTAAATTATAATTTTGCGTAAGATTGTATTTTTTGTATATTTCATGATATTCACAAATATATTAATTATATTTACATAATAATATGCATTTATCATTTTCTCAGGAATAAAATAATAGATTTATTAAACAAGTCGCCACAGTGTGTCTATGCTGGCTTTGATCCAACAGCAGACAGTTTGCACATTGGTAATTTACTTATCCTGATGAATCTCTTGCATTGGCAAAGAGCGGGACATCAAGTTATTGCCCTGGTAGGAGGAGCTACTGGTTTAATAGGTGATCCTAGTCATAGAAAGAAAGAACGAGTTGAAATGGACAAATATTTGATGGAGGAGAACTTGAAATCTATCATAAATAATATAGAGATTATATTTAATAATCATCAGACTTACTTTTGGAAAAACAGGCAGGAGCATCTAAAACCGCTGATTATAGTAAATAATTTGGACTGGTATACAAACGTGAATGTCATCGAGTTTGTCAGAAGCATCGGGAAATATTTTAGAATGGGCACAATGTTGGGCAGAGCCTCTGTCCAGTCGCGATTAAACTCGGACACGGGAATGAGTTTCACTGAATTCACTTATCAAGTATTCCAAGCGTACGATTGGTTTCAGTTGATGAAGAAATATAAGTGTCGCTTCCAAATCGGCGGAAGTGATCAAATGGGTAATATTATGTCTGGATATGATCTGATCACGAAAACTGAAAAGCAAGAGGTTTACGGTATAACGTTACCGCTCATAACTGCCGAAGGTGGAAAGAAATTTGGAAAATCTCTTTTGAATGCAGTGTGGTTGTCTTCAACAAAATCTTCGAGTTTTCAGCTGTATCAGTATTTTATTAGAACTAAAGATTCTGATGTTGAAAAATTCTTAAAATTGTTTACATTTATACCACTAAATAAAATTACTGAGATTATGAATGATCATATGAAAAGTTCAGAAGATAGAAGGGCACAAAAAATATTGGCAGAACAAGTTACACTTTTAGTACATGGAGGTAAATTTTTTAAGAAAATTAATATTGTATACTACATATTATTATTTACTACAATTTTTCTTATAGAGGATGGATTGCTGGCTGCAAAGCGCGCGTCCGCAGCATTGTATGATAAATCAATTGAATCTTTTACGAGAATGAATGCATTGGAATTGGCAGATGTGTTTGAAGATGCAACCATAGTGGACATTTTGTCCGAGCCAGGACTCACTATATATGATCTAGCAAGAAAAGCAAAATGTTTTAAGACTGATCATGATGCGCAACGGATCATAACAGCAGGCGGATTTTATGTAAATCATCAAAAAATCACTAATTTAAATGAGGTGGTTGTACCTGGCATCCATATACTAAGTAACAATCTATCTTTAGTTAGAGTTGGCAAAAAAACGTATCATATAATTCGATGGCAATGATGACATTACAAAGGATGCAAAAGATATGTACAAATGTATAATAAATAAAATTAATTATTAAATTAAATTTACCACTTAACAATTAATAAATAAAATACATTATTAAAAAGACGTAATAATGGTTATGAAAAGATGCTGCAATTTTCTCCTTTGTATCATCATAGATACATTAAATCATACATTTATCAAAAGGGATGAGTCTCTTGAAAAATAATTATAAAAAAATTTTTATATTTGTTTTCACATATAAACATCCAATTTATATACATGTACATACTTGTAATTTTTAATTATAAATGTCCCACATCGATATACAACCATCTTTACCAGTAGCTGCCATTAAACACTTGGTATCGTACGCCTCGACTTCACGTTGTGAATAAACAATATCATATATAGTCTCGTTGTGTTCTCTTAATATCGCAAGTGGCCGCAATTTTTTCCAAGAGAACAATCTGATACATCCGTCCCAGCAGCCAACTGTGACTAACTTTTTATCTGGTCGTACAGAAAGGACAGACACTCCAGAAACGTGCTCCAATAGAATTGTAGACTTGTGAGATAATGTATGATTCGGCAATATTTTAAAAATCTAAAAATTTATAAATATAAATTATGTGATATCGATTCCATTTTTTTTTACATGTGTTACTAATTCTGTTAATACCTCCAACTTGTCTGATGCACTACCAAGGATGCCTTGCATCAGAGAAATATCGAAATCAAAGGTCATCGGATATTGCTCCACAGTCAGGGAGCTGAGAACGTCATTCTTTTTCATATCCCACAACAATAATTGCCCACCTTCATAAGCAACCAGAACCAAATCATTTATACCCAATGGCTTCATCGCCATTATTGTGCCCAGTTTGTCATTGTAGGATAATTTGGACGGATCCAACATCGATTCAATGTTATACGTTTTCAGCGACAATATTCCTACCACTGAGGAATCGAGCGGAACTAACATCGCATTCTTCTCAGGCAACAATTGAGATCTAAAAGTAAATATAAAGTTTGAATATCAATCTCGACAAGCTTTCACAATTTTTGTCTGTATATACCTGCCTGCAAAAGCTGCAATATTTATAATTAATACTTTTATTCAACATCCAATTGGATTCACTTGCTTTATATACATCTATTATGCCGTGTCTTCGTTGCACTATTAAATCAGAGTCATTAGTTCTGTGTAAATTAAAGCAAGGACTCTCCCCATCCGACAGTTGATTTTTTATCCTGTTTGTCTGCGAAACAATGAAAGAGAAAATTAATTATGGTCAACGCTTCTTTGAAACAAATTTCAACAGAAAATTTTTTAAATATAAATATAATATTAAATTAAATTTATAATTTAAATAATTTTAAATTTAAATATAAAATCATATTAAAAACATCTCGTACATGAATAAATGATTATTCAAATCCAATATTTAAAACTTATAGAAAATAGAATTCACGGAGAAATATTTACCTTCAAGTCCCAAGTATGAATTGTGCCTCTTCCATCGCCAGCATAGAGATGCTCCACATGAGGCTCAATCCAAAACAGCAAACTGTGCACATTCCCATCCATGTCACCGCGCAATAGAAATCTCGGATCTGGAGGTGCAGGCATCTCGCAGTTTTATTTATTTTTAAAATATAAGATAATAATAATGCATCGAATTTGCTGTGACAGGTTATTCTAGCCTATCGATCAGGAGCGGGGGAGGGGAACGCGAAAGAGATTCTGATGATGAGTCCTGTTCAATTCGGTGAATTATTTGAATAAAAATGAAATAAGAGATAGATTTTCCTTTCGCGTGATTCTTCGTTATCATTCACGAATGGATAGTGTGATTCGCTGCTCGAAGGCGCTCGAACTGTCAACAACTGTCAAACGTCAACAACTGTCAAAAAAAAATATGACTACGTATGTAATGTCTGCGATGTCATAAGTGCTCCAACGAATAAATATGCAAGATTTATACTTTTTTAATATGGCAGTATTGGCGATCATTATTTTACTCGTCGCATTCGTCATAATTGTTCTTAACAGGTAAATATCATTCTTGTGTTTTCCTCAATAATATGTATTATGAACCTTTCATACAAGAAAGAGAGAGAGAAAGAGAGAGAGAGATTATTTTTATTATTTATTATTTTTATTATTTTTATTATTTTCTAATTTCTCTAATCTTCTTTCAGCATTGTATGGATATTTGTAGTGGCCAGCATTTATGCGATTAGCAGTTATTATGCTGTTCAACTGATAAGGTGCATCGACAACTTATTAGTGAGGTTCAATATTATAAATGACAACTTTATCACAAAATTTGCAATCAAGGATTCATGCAGTGTTTGTAGCAATAACACCTGCAAGAGGCACAAATTGTTGTCACATTCGACAAAGATCAAGGTACCAAAGGATTTCGACCATGCGTTAGAACAGGTAATTACAATTGTTAATAAGAAAATCATTATATTTTGCAATTTACATATTGCATTTATTTATTTATCTTTATAGAATTTAATTTATATATATAATAATTTATACAATTATTTTTTATTTATTTTTCATTTATATACATTGATAACAAACATGTTAATTTGTAGCTTTTAGAAGAGCTGCTGCAAATTTATGTCTGCGCATGGTACTCTGATTTCTCGACGAATGAAGCCTTCATACAACAGTTGCGTTTAGCTATAACGACAGCAGCGAAAAATATCGCTATTCGATTGTTACGTGCGGATATAGGGGACATCACGTTCACCGATCTCATTCCCTTGGCTATAAAACATGCTCAGGATTGGAATGCTCTTGTAAAAAAATCAAAAATGGATGCTAAAATGCCCCAAGATTATGTAGAAAGTTATCTGGGTTCCAAGATTCACCCAGCTGCTTACTCAAGAGAAGCTGAATTGAATTATTTACGAGGATTAATCACTGCACTGCTGCCACATTTGTTACCTGCCATACATGTCTCGACAAATAACAAAGTATGTCATTTTGAGATTTACTTTTATATGTGAATTATTTAAGAAATTTATATTTAAGAGCGAAAAGGGAAAAGTTGATTATAATACTTTGCTTCTTTCAATATATATTTTTTTAGGTGATACTTCGGGAAATTTTAGCCAATTGGGTGCTACTACCAGCAATTGATGCACTTGCAGATCCGGAAAATATAAATATGTTGGTGACATTATCCACTCATCATGATGGCTCTCTATCGAATTCAGCAAAAACTATTAATATACCGATGCTGCAATCGTGGGTGACGACAGTGCATCCACATATCATCACCCACAATTGTTTCAAACCATCTTTGAATGAAGTCTTGAGCGATCCTGAGCTGTTATATATGTTTATGCAACACATCAAAGAATCAGGACCTATGAATCTTCTTCAATTTTGTTTAGATATTGGTACATGCAATTCTTTTGATGTGTTATGTTACAAATTTTACAGATAATACTCATAATTTATTGTCTGCCATCCTTTAGATGATCTCAGTAAACGTATGTTAAATCCGGAAATGTCATCTAGCGCTGAAAAAAGCTTATACATAGATGTTCGAAATTTGTATACAATATATCTTGATCCTGATGGTCCAGAATACTTGTATTTACCATTGCATATAACGCAAGGCATACGACAAAGTGCGTAATTCGTTAACTGAATAATTTCTGCTTCATATTATTAGATGGATACATGAATGTATTTATTTTTCCAGTATTAGAAGGTGGACCAGAAAAAATCCAAGAGCTACGAACATCACGACCTTTCTATCAAGCTCATCAAGAAGCACACGCGCTCTTAGAAAGTACCTGTCTACCCTCATTCCATCATAGTTATCAAGTAAATATAATTTCGACTTATTTCCTAATTTCCTATATTATTGTTATATAATAATTTTCTAAATATTTAATCTTCAATATTTAGAAAATTAATGAAATTTTTTATTTAAAAAGCAATCTTTGTGTTTCAGCTATACAAACTTCTCTGTGGTCATTTAGTGTCTGAACAAGCAAAAGCCACTGCAGCCAAGTATGCTCTTAAATAGACACATATTAATTAAATTTGAAACTCAGAAATATTATTTTTCATTTTTAATGTTATTGTATCATTTAGTTTATTATTTATATATCTTTTTCGACATTATATTATAGTTTATATATCTTTTTCGACATTATATTATTATTATTTATATCATTATTTATATTATTATTATTTATATATCTTTTTCGACATTATATTATATTATTACATTTTAAAACATTTTTTGAACATGGTTCATACATATTAGTTTTTAAAATAAAACTTTTAATTTTATAATGATCTTGTAAAAACACAAATGCGTATAAATAATCTATTCATTTGTAATTAGTGCGAGTGGAGGTGCTATCTCTACGCGGCCCAGCAATCAATTAAGCAGGATGGATGGTGTTTCACGTACAACGCTTGACGGTACCCCGTTTCCATTGCAACATGTCTATCCGGTCGAGGAGGTAGATTGCACAGCTCGAGCATACAACGAGATCAAGAGCTTCGGCGATAAGTCTCATCGCGACTTGACGACGTGGCGAGTCGCCATCCCGCACGTGGACGGCGGTGGCACGCAACCAGTGTACATGATCGCCATCCACAGCGTGGCGGAGGCCAAATCGTGGACAGTCCTGCGTCAGGATCAAGATTTCTACACGCTGCGGACGCGACTCGCCGAGTTCCACGGCGACAAGGAACTGAACGACTCGCCCTTATCATCGCGCAAGAATCCCCACTTGCCCCTTGCGGCTAATCGTCAACGCTACGAAGAGTTTCTGCAGAGGCTGCTGTCTAAGCCGATGTTGAGAAGCAGCGAGCTCCTCTACACCTTTCTCACGACGCCAAACCTGAAGCCGTACTTTGCCAACTACAGCACACCCGACATCGGCATCCTCTATCAGAGCGTGACCTATAAATTGCGAAAGGAGAAGGGACAGCACCTCGACAAGTTTATGAGTACTTTTTTGGCGTCCACGAATATAAAGTACGAGCATATGGATATGGGTGTCGAGCCGTTGAGCGAGCACAATCTCGACGACGAAAGCAAGAGAAGTCTACTGAATGGGGCGTTTGGCAATAATCTGAATCTACCTGTCCCTTTGCAAAATGTTCCATGCGATTTGCCGCAGCGTGATCATGTAAAAGGGGCAAGTTTATGCGTCGTGGAAGCCGGTAAGTTGAAATATTTTTCATATCTTTGTGTGCAAAAGATCAATCATCAATGATAATGTTATTTACAGTGGATGGTCTGTTAGATATGCCTCCGATTATTTCGCGACTTTTCTGGATGTTTGCCTCTTTATCGCGCAAGAGAGTCGATCCCATTGTGAACACAATGTTCTACAACATGTTGATCAAGCTTTTGAGTGGGGGTCGTGCTTCTATCGTCGTCAAGCTTTTACATGCAAAAATAACAGGCAGAAATTACATGAAAGATTTCTCCTCGCAAGCAAGATGTCGAGATTATTACGAAGCGGCCAAAAAAGGACTGTACTCCTTGTTACCATGGTGGTTACTTGGGATCTCCAAGTCTTGGAACAGCTTGATGGACTCTTTATTAGATCCTTTACAAAATGCACCATTTAATAAACATCTGGCATACCTTCTGCTGGATCACCTCTTGGTAAATCTTTTCCCAGAAGCAAGAGCGTAATGTCCTTCGACAAAAACACGAACAGTAGTACATATAATTCTAATAAAACAACTTGTACAAACATACACAATTATTTTTTGTGCATATGTAGTACACATGATAATTTCGCGTGAGTAAAAATTCCTATTGAGATCTATAGGATCTTTATACATTAAAAAGAAATGAACGAGAGCATCTTATGATCGAGAATGACTATAAATAATAAGGATCGATTTATTGCAATAAATGTGTATAATTTGAACGCGACGCGTTTTTTATCTCGATCGATAAGGAGAGGTTCTGACATATCGATAAACGGTAAAATCATTCTCTATATCGATAAAAAAAATCTTCATTACCGACTTTCACTTCATATATTTCCTCATCAGATGTGAAGAAATTCTCTCGTGTGTGGAGCTCGAATGTCCTCGATATATAACAGTCTGGAATAATAAACACGAGGTAATTATAACGTGCGCAATTGAATCCGACCTGTGGTCTCCTAGAGACGTTCAAGTCTCTCCAACGATATTCGATCTGCATCTGTGTTTCACGCGATGCAAAATAAATTTCTATCACCGATTTCGCGTGATTACATGATGATGGGGGGAGGGGGTGGACTCGTTAAAATGGGCCTGAAATTTTTCCGCAGATCTCGGGATCTATCCTGCGAGGGATACGAAAAGAAGGGAATGGAAGACGAAACGAACGGAATAGGGATTCCACTCGCAGGCGAGCAGAGTGAAAAGCGGGAGAGAGAGAGAGAGAGAGAGAGAGGAGAGGGGGTGAACGGTAGAAGGGGGAGCACAGCAGCGGCAGACTGGCTGGTGGAGCGAGTCCGAGAACGCGTGCGAGCGAGAGAGATGACCGAGGGTGCGACGAGGAAGAGACGAGTAAGTAATGCGCAGGAACGGACGCTGCGAGATGACGTTCCCGAGAAGGAGAAGGGCCACTTCTTTCTCCTCCCCCTTTGACGGAAGCCAAATTTTCAAGCAGCCATCGCCATCGTTAGAAATAAGAAGAAAATTAGGTATCGTTTAAGGATAATTAAATATGAGTAATTTTCTCTTTTCACGTATTTTTTGCACACATTGTATATTAGAATGATTAATAATTATGTATTAATTAATTAATAATTGTTTTATCAATCTAATTATCAATTTAATTACTATAATTAATCATTCTAATTAATTATTAATAAATCTGATAACAAATAATTAATCTTAATAATTGGAGATTTGGCTCAAATAGTTAAAAAATCAATCATTCGAGTAAAACGTTAAAATAAAAAATATCGAAATAAAAGGATATATAGTAGTGAAAAAAGAAAAATAGAAAAAAATCAATATATCGACATCGAGATCGCGCGACTTATCGATCCTTTTGAACAGGTCCCAGGAGGGAAGAACCGAACGCGAATGGAATGCACTGGAGTCGGACGCGGCGGTCCTGGACGATCGGGACAGGCGAGTGGGGGCTTCCCCTCGCCCCCCCCTCCTCTTCCTCCCGCCGCGGCCCGCTGATGGCGGAGGAGGAAGGGCCGGTGGAACGGAGCGCGCTCCGAAACGGGGTCCGGGGTGCGCACACGTTCGCGGCGCGGCCTTGCCTGGACCCTCGCTCGCTCTCGTCGCAGCCAGCGAGAGATTATCGTGGGAATAGCAGCAGTCAAGTCAAGTCGAGCGGCTTCCCAGGACGTATCGTGACGTGTTACTCGTCGTAGAAGAGGAAGGAAGAGGAAGTGGTGTCTCGTCGTGCTTCGTCGAAAGTGCATCTCGCGAAAATCAGGAGAGAGAGAGAAAGAGAAAGAGAGAGAGAGAGAGAAACGTGGAGAAGCTCTAGGAAGCTGGAGGAAGGAAGCGTCAGCGACGACGGAGAGGATACGTCGTATATATACCGTATACATACTCGGCGAGGCCAGATTCCGTGCGCCAGGATACCTGTTGATAGGTCGCGCAGGTGTACCAAGGAGGGCCCCTTCCTCCCTCTCTTCCCCTCCCGTCTCGTCTCGGAGCAACGACGAGCAGAGAGAGAGAGAGAGAGAGAGAGAGAGAGAGAGAGAGAGAGAGAGAGTGTGTGTGAGCGAGTACGTGCGCACTCTGGGTGTACGTGCTCCTTCGCACTCCTCGAGGCGAGAATGATCCAGGTAAGAATGATCGCCTGAACTGGCGCGTGAGGATCAACGTGCCTCCTACCCATCGGGACCAGACGCCCGGCCGCGAGGCCGTATATGGTGCCGTGGACGAGAGCGCAGTCATTACGAGGAACAACAGTCGTCGGGCAGGGAGCGCGGATCTTGAGCGAGCGGCCGAGAGCCCGCTGTCACCGCAGCCACCGCTGTCATCGTTTACCTCCTCGTCGCCGCCGTCGTCGCCGTCGTCGTCGTCGTCGTTCTTACGTCGCTTATCCTGCATCCTCGGACGACTCGCTTCTTGTCTCCTACCTACCCCCCTATCTCTTTATCTCTCTCTCTCTCTCGAACGCCGAAGAGGAGCGCTGCACTCCTGGATTTCGTGCTGCGAGTCTCGCGCGCGCGCGCGCGCGCGCAAGAGTGGTGCCGGTGGTGAGATTATTACGTGGTGGAGTTGTGCGTTGCGAAGGGAAGACGGGGGAGGGGGGAGAGGCCCCGTTGAGATGCCGTGGCTGCTCGAACTACGGACACGGGATTAGTTTGGTGAGCGACAACAGTCTCTCTATTCATCTCTCCGTCTCTACTTCTCTCTCGCTCTCTCTCGCTCTCTCTCTCTGCTTCACGACCGCGAGATTCCTTCTTCCATTTCCTTTCTTTCCGATCTCGCACTTTCGTCCCACCCTTCTCCCCTCTCTTCCCCACTCCCTCTACTCTCCGACCCACTTCTCCCTCGACCGCCACCACGGCTGCTTATTGTCGCTGGCGCGCTTTCCTCCCCCCACCCCCTCCTTCTCCTTCCCTCCCCCGCCCGGTCCGATTATTTTAGACGATGACGCGCGTCTCCATACGCTCCGCGAGATGATGATGATGGTGACTTCGCGCATATACACGACCTTATCCTTGTATATTCCAGCGCGTCGCATTCCAGCGTCGCGCTGGCAGCGCTCTCCCCCGAAACGGTTGTTTCCGTTTCACGCACAGGTAGAGATCTCCCCCTCCCTTACGCACCCTCCTGCGAAATCGTTGAAACAAAAAAAAAGAAAAAACCGATCGTCCGCGATTCCAGACCAGAAGAGACCGGCTACGACGGTGTCTCCTCGCGCGGGTGGTCTCTCTCTCTCGCGGAGACGACGTATTTCCCCCCTCCACCCCCTCCCACTTGTTCTAATCCAGCGCTCACGCGAGCGAGCGAGCGTGTTTATCACGGGATCGTCCCGATTGCGCACATTCCCGATCGGATACACCACTCATATCGACCGGTGCCTAGGATAATCAACACGATTGATTAATCAAAAGTCTTTATTTTCAACTGGCTAATAAGTACACAGAGAAAAATATTCTACTGCCAAGAAAAGCGATTACTCAGTTTATTTTTCCTTTTTCAAGTAATAGTTTTCTCCAACAAAGAATATATTCTTGATAATAATCTTAAAATATACTCATCACAATTGTTAGAAAATCTCATTATCATGTACTCAAAAGAAGAATTTATTTTCTCTTCAAGAATATTGTAAAGTTGTATCAAAGAAAAATCAAACTTACTTTACGTCAACTCTTGTAGTAAGCAAACCAAATTTTTGTTTTAATTTAATTTTCTTGACTAAAATATTGCACTTATTAAAATTCAGAATATATTCAATTAAATTTAATGCTTGTGGTAAACTTATGATATATTTGCGGATATACAAACTTATGATATACTTAAAATAATTAATATTTACTTGAATACAGTATACATTTTTCTCTGTGTACATTGCAATATTGCCGCAATATTGCTGCAATGTAACAACACTGGTCTGTGCTGTATGGGATTGTGTCCGATTGGGACTCACTCTTTATCTCGGCGAGCGGATACTTTTGCGCGCCCCGATACATAGGTGTATATATGTACCCCCCATAATGCACCTGGAGGAATGCGAGAGCGTCGATGAGGTCGCCTTTTTCCACGCGCGCGAGTACACAGAGAAAAATGTATACTGTATTCAAGTAAATATTATTTATTTTAAGTATATCATAAGTTTGTATATCCGCAAATATATCATAAGTTCATCACAAGCATTAAATTTAATTAAATATATTCTAAATTTTAGTAACTGCAGTATTTTAGTCAAGAATATTAAATTAAAACAAAAATTGCTTTGCTTACTACATAAAGTAAATTTGATTTTTCTTTGATACAACTTTACGATATTTTTGAAGAGAAAATAAATTCTTCTTTTGAGTACATGATAATAAGATTATCTAATACTTGTGATGAGTATATTTTAAGACTATTATCAAGAATATATTCTTTATTGAAGAAAATTATTACTTAAAAAAAGAAAAATAAACTGAGTAATCGTTTTTCTTGGCAGTAGAATGATATTTTTCTCTGTGTAGGTAAAGTCGGGCTGAAATTTGTCCGTCCTTGAAAAAGACGATCTCTCTCTCTCTCGAAGAAAGGATCTTTGTAAGCGCATAGTATTATACGAACACCGTGTGTATATTACTTAATGCGCGCATTCCCCAGAGCCAAGACCAAAAGAGAGAAAGAGGGAGGAGGTGGGGGAGGCAGAGGCGGCTCGAGCGGCTCTGGCGAGCGGGAGGCGCAGCAGACAGCTTGGCTCTGGTCCTACCAACCTCTTTCCGTCCCTCGTTCGCTCCCTGGTGCTGCCAGAGCCGGGAGGAACGGGGGACCCCCCCTCGTGCGGACCCCTCTCTGTTGTATCCTTTAGCGAGCGAGCCCACCATATTGTTGGCCCACTGTCATCTGCGAGCCCGAGGAAACGCGTAATCGGGATTGTGCGTGTCGGATTTCGATCCTTCACGCGATCGAGGAGCTTCGATCCGTCTCTTCTTCTCCTTCATTATTGACATAAATATAGTAGCGCGTTCTCAATTATCGTACGCGTGACGTTACGAGGGACGCGTGGAGGGGGAATGGGAAATTGGATTGGCGGAAATTGAGGAAATGTTGAAATTTCAACCGCGGAAATTGTGTGTATCTCAAATATCGACGGCAGGAGCTATTAATTATCGAACAAAAATAGCACACGTGTCTATAAATTTAGGGGATTCAGTAATTGACAGATTTTTTTATCCTTCTTAAATAAAGATCTATCAAGATTTATCGAGAAATTTGTTTGGATATTGAAAGACAGTTCCCATAGAGCACAAACCATTATTGTTATATTGTTGCAGCAATATTGCAACAAGATTGTTGTAATGTAACAACAATGGTCCATGCTGTATGGGTTGTGTAAAAAATGTTGGAAAATATAAGAGGACCTTTTTCTTCCTTTTTCGAAAAGGATCTCATACTCGATGTTTCTTAGGAAAGAATTATTAATGTAGTAACGCGATATGTATTAATGTGAGAATACCAGAGTGTGCACGAATACCGGGAACTCGAAGTCTGCGTGCCTGTTTTATATAAAACCAAGAAGAGGAAAATATATCGCGGTCAATTACGAGAAGCGGTATTTTGCCAATAATCTCCTTAATACGCTCATTGTGCATGCATGATTTATTTAAGTGCCTCGCACGTTCTTGAATTTTTAATATCGTTTGGACACTTTTATTAAATCGCTTCTTTTCTTTCGGTTTCTTGCGATATTTTTTTTGAAAGATCTGCAATTATCACGATTTCTTAAAATTTCTGAAAATGTCGAAATCGAGTCTACACTATATTTTTAATTGCTTTTAATTTTTACTTGACGTAAAATGCTTTGCTTTATCATAATATTTTTTCTTTCAATAATTACAAAGGAAAAAATATATTTGTAGAAAAATAATTTAATTGTATGTAAATTATTACATACTCACACATAATATTTGCATAGAGTTAGATTATTTTTTTTCTGAAAGAAAATTATATATATATATATATATATATATATATATATATATATATATAAATTTTTTTATTAAATCAAACTTTGTAAATTATGTGTATCTGTAATAATTTATATAAAATTAGATTATTTTTCCACAAATATTTATTTTTCTCTTTTAATTATTTAAATTATTTAAAAAATAAAATATCATGATAAAGCACAATTTATATAGAGTTTGATTATTTTTCTTTAAATATTTACTTTTCTCTTATAGTTAAAAAAAATATGATAAAATAAAACTCCGTTTTATGTCAAGCAAAAATTAAGGTCTGGAAAACATACAATTATAAATTTTTATAATAATAATAACAATAATACACACACACACAATTGTTCAGAATTTGATTATATTTTTTTTCGTTTCAAATATATATATTGTTCATCTATAATACTTATCTTCACTTAAAATACTTCTTTTGAATTTTTTTCGCTCAATGGTTAATGTTACTCTATATTAAAAAAAAATAATATTATAAAAATATTAAAATAATATAAAAAAAAATAATATAAAATATTTTCTTCGTAGAACAACAAAAGAGCGGTTTGTTTTTTCTTCGCATCATCTGGCACTTCTCACACATCTCTCTGCGGCTCGTCATTTGACTCGTTTTAACGCAGACACGCATAACAAAAAAGGATATATATTCGCCGATCTTGCGAAGCATTTTAGCAGCGAACGAAATCGAAAGTCGACGGAAACACACAATATCCGCTTAACATTCATCGATAATACTGTGCATAAATATATTGGTGCCTTCGAGAAACGCACGTTTAAAGTCCGCTGGATAAAACCAGTTTCGTCCGCCCGCGCCCGGAAACTCTATCGTTAATGCACGCAGCAAGTATGTTACAACAACGCAACGCATTGTGTGACGGATCGATCCCGAAATTACCTTAGATAGGATCGTAATACTCGCACGCAAAATTGCGTCTCACGAATTTGACGTTTGACGCTTCAAATGTCACTCGCGATGTCACGTGACTCGCGACCCTCTCTCGCGCGTGTCCTGTCATAAACAGCTGATTCAATGAAAAAAAATGCAGAAACGATGCTTTGATATTCAGATCCATTGTAAAAATCCTTGGATCCGAATTTAGCCTCACGAGATTTTCTAATAATAGAAAGTTCCAGTGTTTTCCAATAAATTTTATTATACGTTCACGTTATTAATTCGAGATCAATATTTATATCCTTTTCGAGTCTGTCATTTATCAATTTTCAATCGCATGAAAAATCTAGAAAGAATTTCGCGCATTATTAGGTAGATACTAATAAACTATTGCATACATTTGCATATTACTATTATTAAATCAAAATATTAAATAAATATTATATCTCGACTTATCAATTCATCGAGTCATTATATGCGATTTTTTAGCCGTACAAGCTATACTTATTGTGAGATTGTTATTTACACGTATATTTTATCATCTTTTCTGCATTTTATATTCGCGATTTTATTGTTACTTTAAAAGAGAAAAAAATATAGAATGCAAATTATTAAATCCAGTAAACGATCACATTCAATTAAACGCGCACTTTCAATTCAACATTGATTTAATCAACAATGTATAAGGTGTCTCGAATGTATTAATCGGTAATTTTAACATTTCTTAATACATAATCACCAGCGTTTTCGAGGATATTTTCGAATCACCATATATAAGATTGTACAGAAAAAACACTGGATGGGTCGAGACTAAGAGAAAGCGATTACTTTGAAACAGAGCCTGATCCGACGAATCCTCAGCATTCATTGGCGGGTCTAGGAACTGTTGACCAATCAAATCCAGATCCTGAGTCTCCGGAAAGATCTCGCTTCTTCTGCTGAGTCAGGGAAATTATGCAGCTGACTAAAATTTCTGATAGCAGGTGAAGTTGAAGAAGGAACGTGAGAACCAAATCGCACCTTTACTATGAATTTATGGAGGATACTTTCGAAAGAATGTCTTCATTGTATTCCCACTGTTGGTCCCTCAATTTGTTTAAAAACGCTCTTCTATTGTCATGCTTTGTTTAAGTATTAAAAAAGAGCTTTATCTGTTGAAAATATCTGAACAAAAGTAAGCTCATTCTCGACCGATTCGTCGGAATGATTACTTTCAAGTATAAAACGCATCCATTTGTGCTTCAGGGATTATGATTTATCTCTGAGAACGGTTGTCCACCCCTCCCACAAATTCCTTCGACCTGGTCACATTACTTAATGAACTCCTCAGTTCTACTATCGCCCTGTTAGGTAAAAGGTGTCTTCTTCAGTACCTTCCGTGACCCCTTCGAGGAAGCCCAGCTGGTAGAAGATAGTGTTAAAGACTCAGAGCAGTGTTGAAAGCGTGTTGTAATTATTTACACCTAATTCTAACGATATTCATTTCGCTAATTTCGTTGCAAAACCACATTTAAAATTTAATCTGTGTGAATCCGTAATCCTCAGTAAGATTTCAAGATACTCCTCTCTCCTTCCCTTGCTCTTAACTTAAGATACATCCTTTCAAACGCGTTAAGACTTAAGGATACAATCGTTTTATACAAGTAATTATTTATTGCTCATTGTTTAATCGAAATTCTAATGTGTTTATGTGTTTTCAGGGAGGTAACGCGTCAAGTGAGTGACGACGTCACGATGCGCATGTCGCCGCTGCCAAGATTAGTGCTCGTGGCAGCAGTCACGCTGCTAACAAGTGCGAATGCTAACGCAGAGACGGGCCTACGCATTGACACGAACACTGTGTCGTCGTCGTCGTCATCAGCATCAGCATCAGCATCAGCATCAGCATCAGCATCATCGTCATCATCGTCGTATCGCTTTGAGACGGTGAATCGCGAGCAGGTAATCGCCGGGATGGAGGCCAGCCTACTCTCCCTCCTAGGCTTTGAGAAGAGACCCAATCCTCAGGGCTCGGCGTACGTCCCGGAGTCGCTCAAGAAGCTCCAGGCCCATCAAAACACCATCGGCATCGCGGATATCGCGAAGCGGGGCATTCATGCGCGATCGGCCAATACTGTTCGCTCGTTTCCACATGTCGGTGAGTGTCGATTCCTTTTAATCACACACGGGAAAAGATATACGAGAAGAAACTCCAGGCTCCAAGAGGTCTATTCTCTGGAAAAATACGGAATTTTTTGAAATTTCTTTTTTTATCTAGATTAGAGAATTCTTGGGGTTTTATTGATCAAGGAATTTTTTTTGAAATATTTTCTTTGATATGAATTTTATCTCTCTTTCGATTACAAGTGATCGATAGTCCGTTGAGTTATCATGAGTTGAATTATACGCGTTTAAATAAATATTATAGATAAATAAATATATTTTTTTATATCTTAACGAAATATCGATTAGTGATTTAATATATTAATTGAATTATTTTCACAATTATTAATAACTTGGGCTATTAATTTATGTAAATGGCTCCTTATTTTTATATAACATTATTACACACAATAAGAAAATTTATTTCAAAAAACTGCCGAAAATTTCTCTAATTTTACTTTGAGTTTGCATACGCGTTATATATTTCAAAAATGGTGCTAAGATTCTTATATAAATATACATGTACAAAAGCCACTTTGATCAAGGAGATCCAATGAAAACGATTAGTATTTTCGCTAGTTTCTTTTCACAGTTTTTTAAATATTCATCTAAAAATTTCAATTTATCAAGAAACATTAGAATAATATTAGTAAAATTAATTTAACTAAATTAATTCAACATTTATGTCTTGCTTAAATATATTAATGTTACATTTAATCTATGTTGCATCTTTCTTTGAATTAGCATTGCTTTAATACTTCCTGAAACGATAATGTGCACAGGATTAATCCTACATGTAATAAAATAAGAGATCTTACACCGTACATTCGTGAATCATTGAACGATGGCTCAAGAACTATCGAGTTGGGATTCGTAATTCTCGAAAACAGGTTGGCGACTCTTTCGACTCTCAGTGAAAGTGCAGTAGTAAATGGAATGCAATTACGCCCGTTATCAATCGTCATTCGTTCTACGTCGTCGATAAATGTGTATGACGAATTTCCATACGACTTGCATTTTGTGAATTCAACATTTTCTTCGTCCATATCAATGCTTTTGCCGATCACTATAATTCTCACGCGATTATCCTGCACACATTGTCATCCTGCATCGGTTTTTGGAAATTATTTGATTTTTTATATAAATAACGATAGCAAAAGTACACATTGTTGTAAGCAACGACATCGAAAATGTGAACAGAAAGATTATCTTGGAATTTCTTATGGACTTCACAAAGTAACAAATTTTGACAGATTGCAAAATATTTATATAATGACAAATTTTGTTTCGCTACTGATATGTAATTTTAGGAAAACATTTTATCCTATAAATTATCTTGCGCACATCTGACGTAATTAATGTAATTGCTAATAGAATAGTAGACAGTAAAAGATTTATTTTGTGTGTTAAATCGCTTTATGCAGGAAATAATTCTCTTCGACAAAAAAGATCTATGCTATCGTTTACTATATATCATAAAAGATAAAACTTCATATTTAATTTTCTTCCAAAAAATTATTCATAATTTATTATATAATAGTTTGTTTAATTTTATCAATAATATATATAAAAATTGCACATACAACATATTAAATTCTCTAATTCAATTCCTCTGCAATATTTGCAGAGATTGCTACAGAGATTAATTGATAAATGAGAATAAAAATTTTTAAACTATCAATTTTTTCGTCAAAACAATAAATTTAAAAATAATAAATTTTCCAAGATTAAAATTAAAAATAAAATAAAATAATATTAAATTATATTAAAATTATATTAATTTATACAATATAATATAACAAAATTATTCTTTATATTATAATTATTATTCTTTAATGTAAAACAAAATTTTTCTAATATATAATACATAAAAAATATAATGTATGTAATATAATATAAAGTAACTTATATATATTATATTATTAATATTATATAATTAATTTATATTATATATAATTTATATTATATATAATTTATTTTATATTATTAATATTATATATATAAAATATTAATATATTATTGAAAGTATATATATTACTAATAATTTTTTAAATTATGTAGATATTACTTTATATAAATTATATAATAAATTAATAATTAATAATTAAAAAAATTATTAATATATACACTTTCAATAAAATATTAATATTTTCTTAATATTATATTAACTAAAATTTCTTAAAAAGGGTCCTTTCCATAGATCTAACAGGCTCTAATATGTTGTGTGTTTACGCGATTCGCAGGAATGGCATCTGAACGATTTCAACCGACAAAGGACCCTTTGGCCATCGTCGAAAGCGTGCCGTGGAGTCCTTCGACAAAAGGAAAAAGGAAAGAAAGAGAAGAGTCAGCTCCTTACATACTTTATCTCGCTCGTGTGGGTTCGCTATCGGCAGATGATGATACCACTTTGGAATGCCGAGGGACCTCTCGGACAGCCCGTCGTTACCTTTCTCGCTCTCGGGAGGTCCATCTTCCGTCCCAATGATTCACATCCGGATGTGAGTTAGGCCCTAGACATTCCGACTCTCCGAGGCGAGAATAGCCTCGCTGTATTCAAAACGATTCCGAGGTAGTTCCGCGCCACTAAAGTGCTAGATAAAGCACTCAAGGGTATGGAGAAAGTGCTACGAGCAATTAAGAAGGATGCGCAAAGGATGGAAAGTGCTGGGCATATCGCGAGCCTGACAAAGGTGTTTATTATCGTGTTTCGCGATGAAAGATACGTTGCTCGTTGAAAGGACATCGCTTCAGATGGAAAGAGAATACGAAGAGATCGAGAACTCTAATATTATCAGCCTCGATTTTATTCTGACATGATTTTACTTCGACGACGTTTTATTTCGATTTTCTTGCTACAAATTTAATATTTCCGACAATCTGAAATCTCAACTCGTTGACATAATATTGGTTTTAATAGAAATGAGTCTAACAAGGGTGATTTGATAGGAACTTGAATTTGAAGTTATTCGAGCCATCAATATCTTGCATAATCATGACTAATTCAGTTCAAAAGATCTCTGATAGATTTAAGATAAAATTTATTTTTTGCAGATGATTTATATTAAATTCAATATATCTGGAAAAAATAGATGGAAAGACTAAGAAGTGTCATAATTAAAGTCGAGAAAATTGTATATGATCTATGAAAGCAGAAGATGCGGAGACTGAAAAATTTATAAAATTACAAAAAAAAATGTAATCAATATTCTGGATATTTGCTAATGTGTATTATTGAAGAGCGTATTTTTGATATAAAATCTAACATAGTTGTAAATTATTGAATGTCTGTTCACTCTTTCTTTTAATTATATATAAATTTTATATAAATAAAAAAAGATTTTATTATTTTCAGAAACTTATAGAGGAAATTTTTTATTAATTAAAAAAAAAATTTAATTGAATTGTACAGAAACTTCTTAATATTTCCGCTATTCGCTTTCCCACAGAAATGGCTAGATTTTACGTAGCATGCTCGGCACGCAACGACGTATGTATGCGTGTCTTAGAAACAACATCGGTTCTCTCATGAAATTTACATACGTATTACACAAATTGCGACTGCAATCCACTGTTTTCGAGTCATCCGAGAAAACAAAACTGCGTCATCGTACATACATTTAACTTTATATCTGCTATTTTCGAAGAAGCGCATAAGTTAAATTGCACGTACGCGTCTCATAAGATATATTTGCGTAGGTCACGTGAAAATTATTCCGACTGATTAATTTATATATGAATGTCGTAAGTTATTAAACACACACATGGTCTCTGATAAATACGACCAGGAGGAGGAAATTTAGAGAATCACCTCCATTGAATTTATGAGCAGGCTTCCTGCAAAACCGGTGATTTATTTTTAATTCGATTGCGACCTATGAGATAATGCGTCTTTAAAAGCTGCGTGGAAAACATCCAGAGACGTGAATTTTATTTTGCGATACTCTTCGTAGAATCAATTTAAAAACCGAGAGAATCCTTTCCTCGCTTTCTTGTTTATTTAACATATATTATATAAAATTCTATATACATATAAGTCAAGAAAATTATTATATTGTATCATATATTATATGCTTTTAATCAATTTTATTTAATTATATTTTATTTCATATTTTATTTAATTAATTTAATCCTTTTTTTTAATTAATTTAAATTAATGTGATTAATTTAATTTAATTCCCATACAACACAGAACGTTGTTGTAACATTGCAGCAATATTGCAACAACATTGTAATATTGCCACAATTAATTAATGTAAATTAATTTGATTAATTTCCCAGCAAACACTAAGTAACAGTTATATAACTGTCAATTATAATTTCCCACTCAACAATATAACTGTTACATGTTATGTAACAGTTATATAAATGTTACTGGTGTTTGCTGGGTTAATACATGAGCAACACATAATCTCCCAATCTATCATATACAACTTTAAATATCTATGCAATAATATTTTCCTTTTCTTTTCAGAGAGCGAGGTGGACGACAAGTTTACATCCCCGAATCGCTTCCGGCTGTCCTTCGACCTAAGCAGGATACCCGCCAGCGAGACGTTGCAGGCGGCACAATTGAGCCTGTCGCGCGTCGCGATGCCGGAAGCGCAGGATGGATCCAATAAGCACGGCCGGGTGATGGTGTACGACATAGTTCGGCCCGGAGTGAAGGGTCGCAGCAAGCCGATCTTGCGGCTGATCGACAGCAAGGTGATCGACACGACGAAGAACGCGACCATCAGCCTGGACGTGCGTCCGGCCGTGGAGAGGTGGCTGCGAAACCAGCGCGACAATCACGGCCTCCTGGTGCACGTGACCGGCGTGCGCGCGCGCGCGCGCGAACACGTGCGCCTGAAGCGGGGTGCCGACGAGCACAAGGACGCGTGGGTCGTGAAGCGGCCGGTGCTCTTCACGTACATGGACGACGGCCATCGCGAGATGGCATCCGCGAAACGGATAATGGACAGGCGTGCCAGACAAGTGGCATCGCGGAAGAACCGGCGGAAGGACGGCCGGGAGAATTGCCGGCGGCATCCGCTCTACGTGGACTTCGCGGATGTCGGCTGGAACGACTGGATCGTCGCGCCGCCCGGATACGACGCCTTCTACTGCCACGGTGATTGCCCGTTTCCTCTGGCGGACCATCTCAACTCGACGAATCACGCGATCGTGCAGACGCTCGTTTACTCGACCAAGCCGAACATGGTGCCGAAGGCGTGTTGCGTGCCGACCGCGCTCAGCTCGATATCGATGCTCTATCTGGACGAGGAGAATAAGGTGGTGCTCAAGAATTACCAGGACATGGCGGTTCTCGGATGCGGCTGCCGCTGAAGCTCCACGCTTCACTTTTATTAGTTGGCGAGGAGGGGGAGTACATTCGTCTCGAGGAATTCGTAGAGCTCGAGAAGCAATCGCCGATGTGGAGGCGGAAACAATGAAAAATAAAGGATATTTATTCCGCGCGTTACTTGGATCCCAAACTCACGTTTTATACGTTAGCGTAATTATTTGATGGATGCATCGAATAAGAATTATACATGCGAGTATAGGTGATATGAATTGTTTATATTGAAAAGAGAAAGAATTATAAACGAGAATAGTATATAATAGAAATGTTGGAATAATCCATTTTTTTGACAGACGAGACAAATGAGGGTAAAATAAAAGTAAACGCTACATATCGCCTCAGTAAACACTAATTTATATAATTGTTAGTTGTAATTTCCCACTCAGAAATATAACTGTTATAACTGTTATATAACTTTCTTAGTGTTTACTGAGGCTATTCAATGACATGGATAAAACTTTCGCAAAATTTATTATATATCGGGGGAACTCGGCTTTTTAAAATTTACGATTTATTCATATAAAATTATTCCATCCAGATCGAGAGATTCACTCTTCGCGATAATCGGATATAAAAGCTGACTTTTGTTACATGCTTGAGATGATAGCTCATTCGATGGATCCCGATTAAGATCTTATAGTAATCCTCGAATCTAATCAGCGATTGATTAAGCTTTTAATTATTAACAAAATCGAGTAGGAGTGATGATTAGAGTAGTTACAGTCAAAGAGTGCGTGTTGTCGAGAAGAGAGTAATTGGAATGACTTGTAATCACCGTATTCAGTTGCAAATTGCGCGGCAACTTGCGATGGAACTGATGGAGTTTCTTGATAGAACACGATAATAAGAGCGACTACCCGGTCATGAACCAAACCTAATTGAAGAAAATGACGGGGGAATTGACTCTCTCCTAAAAGCGATGATCGAGAGGTACAATTTTGCGAATTAACATCCGCCCAATCTCCGTCAAACGCGTCGTTCGAATCTTTGAAAGACACGAGTAACAATGAGTCTTCAGAGAGTTTGCGTGCGTGTCTGTATGTGTAATTCTACTGCATTCTGTCCTCGTTCTTATATACTTTTTATCAGCGGTTCTCATACTTCGTCAGTTGTTTCGCGCGATCGAAATCTTGCCAAGTTTTTCGGCGATTCTCCGGTAATTTAAATATCCAGGCTCCTTCGATCGTGTTCGATTATTTTTATTCGACCACATCAACAAACGCACAATTTTATAGAGAACGATTATGAAGGAAATTGTGTTTGGTACACGGATCACGCGGATTATATTCGTATGCGCGAGAGACGAACCCGATGGAGCATACTTAATTCGCGAATCGGAAATAGAATTCGCGGAATGCGAATGTTTCATTGTACGTCTCTTTATTAATAGACGCGTTGCTAATCAGGGATCATCGAGGAAAACACGGCGACGCACATCGTGGACCTTGAACGGAAGCGTTTCATCTCGACTCGTTTGCTTCCTTCAAGTGGTCGAAGCGACAAAGTGATTGCCTGATGAATGATAGATCCCAGAAGTCGAGTCTCAATCGTTCCATGAATTTGTAATTCTAATGTATCATCTTGACAAGACGAAAATTATGTTAAATGATGAAAGACACAAGATCTAATATTTTAATTTTTTTAAATTTATTTTTATTTTTTCATACGTGTATAAATTGATTTATCTAATTGATATTTATCCTCTTTTTCTTGGAGAATTCGATTAAACTTTGCGAAAATGGAATAAATAGTAATGTGCATGGTAGAAATGATTTCATAATTTCTTCTTCTAGCAAAGAAAGAATAATGTAAATCCATATCGGAATTCAATTCCGGAATCTATCATTTCTTTTCCTTTCTTTCAATTAATTGGCCAACTTTGAGTCTAATCAATCTGGCCATAAACTGATAATAAAGTATTAATCAACAGTTTCTCACATCAAGATCGATCACTTACAATTAGCAGGCAATCACTTTATCGCTTCAAGTCACTCGCCATTTCACGAAATATATACGTTCTTTCTTTCTTTCTTCATATATATAATAGACACGCGAGCGAATATACATCTACATACGATAAAATCCTACCGTCACGAATATAAATTGTACCTGCTTAAGGATTACTATTTATTTTTTTTCTTCTCTTCTCTTTTGCGCCAAAAGATATTTTTGAACACACATGTATATTTGTACAGAAGTGTTATCGATAAGGCGAGCGCCGTTATGTAAAATGTGTAAGATAGATATAAAATAAACGAGAATCTGTAAACATTGTGTAAATAATATGTAAAGAGTATTTTTTGTGCGTATGTATATTCTTATATATTTTACCATGATTTTCCTAGCGTTTCACAGTTGTATGCAGAGAATACGTGTGTAAATAAACTAAATAAATTTATAATACGGCAACCACACACGGATGTATACATTTTATACTTATCTCAGATTGTCTTGTGGCATATTTTCTAACTGAGCGATTATATACAAAATTGAATTGAGCGCAAACACGCGAGAAAATTCATGCAAGAACTGACCGTAGCTTCCAAGCTGTATGTTTATTCAGTTTGATTTAAGAATTATAATTATCACAGTTAAAGTTAGCAAAAACGAGAGAGCAAAATTTTAATGCACAATGCCCGCTACTTATTCGAATATTTTATGTAACTATTTGCCGCATTTCTATAATACATTTAATATAAAAAGATAATTTTAACATAATATCAACACACACATATTGCAAAAGGACAACTTTCACAAATTGCGTGATAATTCTTATTCAATTTTTTTTATAAACGATGTATATATATAAATCCCACATTAGAAAGAGAGAAAGAATGTCTTTCCCAAGACATCTGTAGAATTTCGATTTTACATATTTCATATTACATATAATATATAAAGCTATATGATATATATAAAGCTTCAAAACATTAGGTATATATTTAGCGTTATAGTCCATTGTCTCTATTCTGCGACCCTTCACCTTAGATTTCTCTTTACTAGGCCGATTGTTCTTTTTCTCTAAATTAGAATCCTCCCCTTGCATTGCTCTCTTACAATTTATACTCGGAATCACATCAGAGTAAAGAAACGAGCGAAAAACATTGAGAATATTTTCATTTTGCGGATTTGTTATTAGAATAAGAATAAATATTGAGGGAAAGTCATAGAATAGAGAAAATCGATTGTACTTTGTACAAGAATATTGTAAAATATTGTGTATACTTTCTATACGAGGAAACCTCGATTCTCTTCGTTATGATGTCGAAGACTCGTCAGCTCTGATTCAGCCCGGGTCCGTGCAGCTCTATAAAACTTTCCAACGAACGTGGAACGTGACCATAATAGGGCAGATTGTAAGCTTTGATTGCCTTGGCAGCCATACATGTTAACGATAATTTGGTTTGAGTTCGTAATATTATTTTAGCTACACCTAAAATAGAAATTGAAAATCGGCCAATCGGTTCATGTGAAATCGTAGTAAAATCTGCGAATTTAAATCGAGACAGAACAAGATCTATAAATCTACCTGTGGTGACTACATCGTACGGTGTTCGTCCCCCATTATTTACAGTATCCATATGTGCTCCAGCTTCTATAAGGTCTATTATAATCGAATGTAAAGTCGCAAAATCGCTGAAAAGACATTAAAAAGTTATTGAAGCTACAAAGTTGTGTAAATTATGTAGTAGCAATTTTAATATAGCATACCTGATGGCTTTGTTGTAACTAACGATAACATGGAGCGGTGTGTTTCTTTCATTATCCATTGCGTTTACATCAGCACCGCAACGAATCAATAATTTCGCCGTAGCCGCGCATGGAAATCTGAAAACCAAGCAGGTAATTTTGATTATTAATGGGATACTCTCATCTTATTGATATTACTTTAATATTTTTTTTTTACGTACTTGCAGACATCATTCGTATGAAAATCGTCGACGGGAGTTTCAGCATTCACAGCAAGATGTAATAGGGTCTGCCCGTCTTTCAGACACATCTGCAACGCGCATAATTTGTGCACCAAGTGATATGCCTGTCTCAAATCCGACTCATCGCATCTGTTTCCATTAAGCGTCATAAGTTTCGTCAAAATCGTTAGAATGTATAGAGTCGTTGTAATATTTGATTCCATTTCTTCCTATGCAGATATTATTTTTTAATATGTAAAAATATATTTAATTAATATTTATATTAATATGTAAAAAATATATAATGCTTCAGAAACACGCTAAAGCACACCGGATATTGGATTATATTAAAATACAGTTTGTAGAAATAAGAGTCCTTTTCGTCAAACTTACAACACATTGATCAATGTCATCCTTGGGATCTGGATTTTGAATTTTAATTTTGTTTCTATTCAATTCTGTTATGCTTGCCTCCAATACATTAATCACTTGAGAAAAATCTAAATCGACGCCTACATGTATCATTTGCGAAAAGACTTGTGCAAATCGAAGAAGATCTGTCACAATAGATATATCATTGAGCTGTCTCAGTTTCAAAGCATGCAACCACAAGTCTATACATCTATCAAATCTAGCATTGTCTGCAAATATAGCGCCTCTGAATACTATAGGATGCGGCAGTTCTGGATTATGGAGACCTAATAATAAAAAAAAATATATTTTTCATTAAAGAACATATATTAATACACAGTACTTTTAATGAAAAACATACCTAAAATTCTTTCCCGAATAACAAGCGATTCCATATGTATGGCATTGGGATTGTCTTTGATGCTTTCTAATCTCTCGAGTGTTTCACATTCCCTCCAGTTCTCATATGCTTTTACAGTTGGACCTAGTTGCTTATATACAATATTATTAGTATCACTATACCTGGGGGACACATAAGGAAAATAATGTATAAAATAGACACAAGAATCCACAGTAAAATGAAAACAAACATTTTTCTTACCTTAACTCCATTGCTTTATACAGGTACTTGTACGCCTTAGTTAGACAATAATTATCTTTATCATTAGCATAAGATGCTCCGAGTAATTCATAAGCATCTATTATTTCCTCCTTTGTCACTTCTTCTCTTTGTACTAGATATTCAACGACTTCCGCGCGCGTTCGCTCAGCTGCCGTTATTAAAGGTGTCATGCCACTTACATTTTTTGTCATTTTCGTTCCATACTTTAATAATTCACAAACAATGTTACTATGTCCGCATTCAGCAGCAAAATGCAATGCCGTTGCCCCACAAAATGCCTTCTTGTTAGGATCTGCCCCTTTGTCTAATAAAAAATTAACCTGAATCGTAGAAAAAAATTTAGATGACAAAAAATGGATTAAATCTAATAATCAATCTATGTAAACAAAAGTGGCATAACAAATAAATAAGACCAATAATTTTCTATATGTCATTATATATATATATATATATATATATATATATATATATATAATAAATTTATATAAATTATAATAAATAAATAAGTCTCACAATATCAAGATGTCCTTTGTATGATGCTATCATAAGGCAAGTGTTGTTGAACGTATTGGGAATATTTATGTCCGCCCGATGATCAATCAAGTATTTAACAATATCCAAACGTCCATTAAAACATGCCGCTCGAAGTGGGGTAGAATTAGTTTTCGTTGGATGGTTAACGTTTGCGCCTGCTTTTACAAGAGTTTTAAGAACACTTAAATGTCCTGCACCTGTAATTGAAATATTTCACTATTAATGGAACAGAATTTTTTACTACAATATCTTTTATATATATATTATTAATATGTTATTCTGTTACCTGCTGCGGCCCAAAGTGCACTAGCTCCCTCAATAACATATCCATTAAATTTGACTGTACCTTCTTGTTCTAAATCAGGTTTGAACTTGTCAAGTAACATTCTAACTACCTTATTGTGCCCGTAACGTGCGGCAACTATTAAAGGAGTACACCTTTGTCCTTCGTCTTCTAGGACTTTCTATAAACATAAATCCAAACATCTTAGAGATTATGCTTTGTACATATGAATGAAATAATTAGATACAAATAATTATATTGATAAGAGAAGATTATACATGTCAAATTAATACAGATTAAGAATTTATTTATAACAATATGTAGCTTAGAAAGATTTACAAAAAATTAATGATAATATGAAATATATATAATTACTCATTATATATATAAATAATCTAATGAAAAATAGATCTAAGTGTTATTATAAATAACATCTACATATATATTTAAACATAACATGTTGCAAGTTGTCCTGAATAATTCTTTTTAAATGTGTCACAATTTGTGCACCAGAATTCACACATACAATGACATATAAAATATATATATATATATATATATATATATATATATATATATATTATATATAATGATATAATATTTTACAAACTTAAATTGTTAACAGAATAATTAATTGCTTGCTATGTGAAATTAACTACATAAATCTAATGCACAGTTTCCCTGCTCATGATCGCTAAAAACTATAATTAAAATTTTATTTTATATATTTGAAATTATAATATTTGGAAATAAAGTTAGAAATTGTGAAATACTTTGCAATTTCTGGACAAAGAAGTATCGCGACCAATATTACAATAATGTGTATATATATTTAACCATGATTAATCGAGCAAATGATATTTACAATAAGAATTATTGCGACGCCTAATTAATTTTAAAACAAAAATCTAGTTTCCACCATATAGTATTCCACAAACTTGAATTATATCAAAATAATTAATTGCTTGCTATGTGAAATTAAGTACATAATTCTAACGCACAGTTTCCCTGATCATGAACGCTAAAAATTATAATTAAAATTTTATTTTATATATTTGAAATTATAATATTTGGAAATAAAGTTAAAAATTGTGACATACTTTGCAATTTCTGGACAAAGAAGTATCGCGACCAATATTGCAATAATGTATATATATATTTACCCATGATTAATCGAGAAAATGATATTTACAATGGGAATTATTACGGCGCCTAATCAATTTTAAATCAAAAAAGCTAGTTTCTACGAACGAGATTAGAGTGCGAACTCTAATCGAAATTTACCTGATTGATCAGATAATTGACATCGGCGTCGGATTTATCGCTCAGCAAGGTATAAAGAGCGATTGCCATCCCGTCCCTCGCGGAATAATAAATCCGCTTGACCAGCGATTGCTGGGGCTCGTCTATTATTTCGCACGCGGTGTCCATCCTCGTGAAAGATTCCTTCAGCCGAGCTGCCCAAGCTCGTAAAAACGAATATTCGCGAATCAGCTGATATCACCGTGAATCGCGGTAACCTCAAAAGTCATGTTCCTCGCTCTTTGTTGGGCTCCTTGCGAAAAATACGCCGTCACCGTCGTACTCTATTTTAAGAGCGTTGCACGCCAAAGTATAGCGATTTCGTTGTAAAAATAACCGCACAAAGCGTTTTTGCGCCGCGCGCTGTCCTTTTGTTTCTTGCAGATGTCGGATGCTGGATCAACGAGGAAGACTTAATTCGCGATCGCATGTGTCATTCGGGGAAGAGGATTTACCCGACAATTCATTCATCTTTCGCGATATTCCATCGTCCGAAATAACGAATTCATCTTCATACGCGCACGTATATCGATGCATATGTGAACTGTATGATCGACGACGGTTCAGCTGCGAGACTCGTGCCGATTGACAGTTCCGCGCATGATCAGCTGACGTTAACGACAGTGTTCGTTTTTACCGACGAAATTCGCAGCGGTGGATTCACGCGATCGTTGACATTTTGCGCAAAAAAAAATGATACAGCGATGATCTTCTATCTTTATTAATCTATTTTTCTATCCTTCTTTATTTAAAAAAAAATAAAAACAGTCCGCTATTCTCTTTCTCTTTCTTGGGAAAAATATTTATATTAACAAATACTCAGCTGATTTTTATATGTGCGGCAAAAAAATGAGAAAAATTGCCAATGTGTGTATTTAGGCCCGGTTTCACCAACGTGATTTAATCTAATCGGTCGATTAACTGTCAGAGTTGCCAACTGCTGAACATAATAAAACTGATCGTAACCTATTTTCTTTCTGTGAAGCAAGGTCCGTGGATGGCGACGTTCGTTTTTAAAGTCTTGTTATTGGCAATTCTGGTGACCAATTTAATCGACCGATTAGATTAAATCACGTTGGTGAAACCGGGCCATATTCTTGTAATTTATCTCGAGAGCTTTCCAAAACACTATAATAAAGTATTTTTTTGTTGAGTAGCTTTTGAGTTATGAGGCTTGAAGTAATTTCTTAATTTTATATAAACCATAAAATATTTAATAAAAATATGTATTTTTCGATTATTTTACCTCAATAATTTTATGCACAAAATAATGTAAAGAATCAATTGATGTAAAGAAAACACATAGTTGTTTTTAATAAAAAAATATGTAATTGTTAATTTCAAATTACATACTTTTTTCCTCAAATGTTTTCCTGATGAGAATAGTGAAAACTTTAAAATAGGAGACTGTATATAAAACTTATGATAAATATTCTATATGATAGTGTAATATGAATTAAGCATGTTTTTATATAATTTATATTAATTTTTCTTATGTTTAAATATTTAACATATAAAAACACTTTCTTTTTTCGCGCTCTATTCAAATAAAAATATTGTCTCGCTCTTTTGCATTCTTCTTCCGATTTTTATGATCAGTAATTCATAGAATTAAAAGAAAATTTCGCTGAATTTAAAAGCTTTATAAAATTAAATTTAACGTATGTAAGGATCCTCTATCATGTACAATCGCAATAAAAACGTTTATCCATCAAATATATACGTTCAAAGCTAATAAAAAAGTTATTTTTTGTGTCTTATTCATAGAATTAAAAGAAAGTTTCAATCGACGCAATCGATTTCTCACGGGTTTTGAGCTGAATGAAAATAAATATCTTCTTTTCGTGGAGTAATACACGCATCATATATCAAGGAATCAAGATTGATAGATATCTGTTTCGATGACTAGAGGATGCCACAGTGGATCATGATTGCTGTTTTTATTTTCATCTTCATTTGTTGCAACAAGTTTTCTTTCTTTGGAAAAATTCTTTGGATTAATGGATTGTTTTTTCGGTAGCTATTTTTTTTTCGGTAGCTAGAATCTTTTTTTTCAAAATAATTTTCAATCGACGGAATATATTCAATACAATATTGGAATTATATTTTTATATCTGCAGCAGTTTAAATTTGTCAAGATCGTTAATTAAATTTAATTTTTTTTCTGTTATGCGAAATAATATTTTTATGTTTTTTCCTTATCCATTTTAAATTTTAAGTGGTAAATATTTTAATTATATATTTGAAAGATGCGGTGTATTTATCGTTACATTATCGTACAACTTTAAATTTAATTCCTTTACTTATAAAATATTATTTATATTATATTTGTTCTTTTCTGTGTTAATAAATTCCTTCTTCACATAAATCTCGTAGGAAAGAGATCTGTCGCGTAGATTTACACTTACACACACGCTAAATAAAGAAATAAAGGAGGAAAAGAACACGTAAAACTATATTGAATATTGATAAATAATTTTCAGAATAAAACTATAATACAAAGTATATATAAATATTTTAAGTGTAATTATTTGTTAAAAATATTTTCTATTAACACAAATTATAATTTTTCAGAATAATAAATCGATCGAAAAGATAAGATTTTAGGATGGAAAAATATTACTAAAAAAATATTATATAGAAATTATGTATATGACATATATGACCAAATGAACAGATGTCATGAGATTATAAGGAATAAAAGATTAAAGGATATACAATAAGAATATAAATAGCATAACGGACCAATGAACAGCATATTTGAATTTTAAAATAATAGTTTGCATTTTTATTTGTTTATATATATAATTAATAAATTATCGACTGATAAGAAATCGACTGATGAGAGAGATTTCCAATCGTTTGTGAAAAGTGTGGAGTATAAGTGAAACGTATAATTAGCACCATTTGCGCAACGTGAATATAAAAATATTAAATTTTAATAAATATTAATATTTTATATTTATAAAAATGCAACATACCATATATTAAATATTTATTTTAATCATGTTGATTCTTATTATTAGTTTTAGCATATTACAATTCATATTCACTTATGTTTTGTTACGTTTTACATTTTATTTACCTTACATTCCTATAATACATATATTCTTACAAAAGATATAATCTATTTTTTATTTTTTTTATTTATCTATACATAACTTGTAATTTTAAAGTTGCAAAATTTGTTTGTCTACACACGGGAAATCGACTATTCACAAACGCGATTTTGATTAAAATAACTTTGTCGCAAAGAAATATCTCTTTGAGAGAGCACCATTTCTTTGTCAGTGACCACTTGGTACAAATCACAGCATCATTTTGTTATGATTAAAATTTCTTGATGAGCACTTTATGTCATATCACGAAATTAGATCAATAAAAATGTTATCTGTTATTTCCTAATATCTTACGTATATTAAGTGAGATTCAAATACTAACAAGGTACAAAATTATAACTATTTAGATAAAAAAATGTCATATCACATTACAGTGTGAAGCTTTTATATAATGCTATTGATATGCTAATATTATATAATCATTTTACATATGTTTCGAATGCCTCTTATTATACTTTAAGTATTTTTTTAATAAAATTTCTTCTTCTTGTTGAAACATCAAATATTATAATTTTTATTTAGAATACTAATTTCTTTTATCTGGAATTTCTCTTTTCATTAATCATAAGTATGTTTATAAAACACAAAATAATATGTAAAATTTACGAATATACAGATATATAAATATTTCAGGAATCATTTGGATATTCCAGCAATATTTAAAAAATATTTAACATATCGAATGGAACATTGTATAAAAGCTTACACAAAAATATCCCATACATTTAACACATTGCATACATTTTCAAATCTATTATCTATGTCTAAATCTCGATAATATACATTTTATTTTCGATATATTCAAATGTTCCCGAATCGCCAAGTCCCCTTGATATTCTGTTGATATAACTTTTCCACGTATCTTCGCGCTTTCCTACGAGAAAATACTCTTCGAAAATATCAATCGGCGCTACGCTACCGTTGCGCGTAAATATATGTTTTTACCCTTTAAATTTTGATGCGTAGTGAGATAGAAAGGTAACATAATTAATTTAAAATAAGTTATTTGATCGCTGTGCATGACCGGTCTTGTAATTTGCATCTGAGTAAAAAAAATCGTGCGACGGTAAGTCGAAAGTGAATTTGAAAGGTGCAAGTAAGTAGGGGAAGGTAACACCATTATAAAAATAATAAGCTCTTGAGTAGAAGAACAGTATAAATACAAGCTTCTTTTATTATTAACTTGCAGATCTGTTGAAGTGACTTATGCACCTATTTAACGAGATTTACAATCCTATCTTAATTATTTGAGTTATGTGTTTCGATTGATCGTTATATCATATGGAATCTATCAGGTAATCTTTATAAAATTTTATAAATTTATATAAAATAAAAGATTTTATAAAATTTTATAACACATTCTATTGCAAAATCTCAATATTTAATATCACCTTTAGTATAAAACGAGATATAATTTTAAAACAAATTTTTTAAAATATCAAGTTGTTAATTTTATTTGATTGTTATAATTGTATTAAATTATTATTATATGTTGCAATATATATTTTATGTTATTGTCTTATAAAATGTACGTTATATTAATTTTGCGAAAATATTTGACATAATAATTATTAGATATCATATCGAAATATTATAATTAGATAAACAAAAAGAACAAATAAAATAAATAAATAAGCTTTTAAGCAATAATTATATAGTTTATATAATTATATTATTTATTTAACTTATTTATTTAACTTATTATATTAAGATAACTACGAATTTTGTTGAAAATCGAATACATACGAAGAATAAAAAACAATAAACGATTGGAGCTTAATCAAATAATCAAGAAACATCAAAACGGTTAAGAAATGATATTCATTATTATATTGATATTATCTATGTTTATTTTATTGGTATATAATTATTATGTGTATTATGAAAAATACGAGCGATTTCTTAATCTTATACCGGGACCATCGGGTTTTCCGATTATTGGCAATATACTCCAATGCTATGTGTCAGCAGGTAAGTACAAAATTGCTAATCTATTTACATTAATTGATAAACGAAATCTGTCAAGTAAACAAGCAAAAATTTATAAATCATTTATTTTGAAACATATATTTATCAAGTTTGTTACATGTAGATTATTTCTCTTTGCAATAACAATTTGCAATCCATGTTCTTTATTATCTGCTTTCAATGTATTTATGTATATGCACAGAAGTGCACATTAATATTAAAAATAAAATTAATCCCATAAAAACATTTATGTTATATTGATATTTATAATATAATTTTTAGAGGAACAATGGAAGCTCTTCCGTAAATTATTTGATGAGTATTATCCCATTTTTAAATTCGGAGGTTTATTTATACATGCAGTGTGTATTCGTCATCCAGATGATTTAAAGGTAATAAAAGAAATTTCTCTGTATACATTACGATTGAATTAGATTGAAGAGTCTTGCGATTTACAGAAAGATATTCACTGATAAAAAATGTTTTTTATGAGAATGAAAAGCTAAATATCGATACTCCATCAAGATTAGAATAAAATACAGAGATGCAATTAATAAATTATTTGTGTATTTAAAATTAGTGATATATTAAGTGAATAATATATATTTTTTCCTGTTTCCGATTATTTCAGACGATACTAAGCAACACTAAGCACATCGAAAAAAGTCGTTTGTATGACGTGTTTCATCCTTGGTTAAATACAGGTCTCTTCACTAGCACAGGTAATATAACGTTAATATATGTATAAGTACATACTTTTCTGTTACAATTTGTTGTCGATCTGTCACAGAAAATCAAATAAAATGTTAAAATTAGACTTGAATATTATCTTAAATGGTGAATGTATACAACCTCTTTGTTAAAAACTAATAATTTAAAAAAAAATTTATAGATGAGATATTGAGAGATAATTTCGCCGTGATGCATGTTCATATTGTCATAAATAGAAGTAAGAGAGATAATATAGTTATAATTTAGTTAGTATTTAAATCAAAGATCATCACTAATAGATTGTACTATTAGTAATAAATTTAATTAATATTAATTTATATATTATATATTATACATTTTTATATATTTATATATTATATATTTATATTATTATTATATATTCTATATTTTTTTAATTTATTTCTATTTAGTAATTTATAAAAAGTTAATTACAAAATAATAATTACATCTACTTGATACTTGCAATTCCTCTTTTATAGCATAATGTTGCTTTATTTTGTTTCCGTTTTAGCGATTAAGTGGGAGTCGCGGCGACAAATGTTAACACCTGCATTCCATTTCAATATATTGAATAAATTTGTTGATATCTTGGTCAAGGAAGGCGATTGCATGACAAAATCGTTGAAAGATGTCGGAGAACCAGTTGTAAAGGATTTATTACCATTTATTCGTAAACATACGTTAAACGCGATATGCGGTAAGGAGTTCTTATTTTACATTATGTACATGAATTTTATTTTAAATTATTATAGCTTAAAATAAAAATAAAATAATGTTTCTATACGAAGTATTACTGCTACACACGGTAAAAAACATTTTGTACTTCTGTTAAAATTTTCTCGTGTAAAAATTTTTGTGTTAAATTTTTAACATACTCTTATGTTAATGTAACATATTATCGTTGCGTTATTTTTACATTTCTGCGTTGAGTTAATATTCACGTTTCTAAGAGTTAAAACAACACAATTAATATGTAAATGCACAAATTTTTTATGAAATATGTTATATGTTAAAATGAATAGATAAGTTGTGTTATTTTTCTGTCTATAACAGTTTTCTGTAACAGTTTATGTTAGATCGACATATCTCTTCTATTATTTATCATAAAAATGTAAGAATAACATTTTCTTTTAATTAAATTTAACATTATAAATATGTACTATAACATAAACTTTATTTCCAAATAAAGTTTAAGTGTTACACTTTTGTATTAATTTTTAAACATATTACTTGTGTTATTTATTTACATACTTGCCTTCTGTTAAATTAACATTGAAATTAGAGTGGATAAATTGGGACATGTAAAATTTGTTAAATTTAATCCAAAATTTTTTACTGTGCAAGTAAAGAGATAGATAATATCTAATATTATAAAATTATAATAAGAAGATACCCGCAAAATATTTCCCTGAAAATAATCTTTGACTGTTTTATTTAAATGCATTTGTAGAAACTATTATGGGCGGTTGTCTGCACAATCTTGACGAGTTTCAACAACAGTATCGAAATGCGATTCACGATATAACCAAATTAATAATTTATAGGTAATTCACGAATATAGAATATAATTGTATGATCTTTTAACTTATAATCCGTTTTTTAACTTATAATCTCGTTTAACTTTGATACTTTACATTAAACATTTTGCAAAATAGATTAATTAATGTATAATTATGTAAAGGTGGAAATGAAAATGTCACTTCATTTAAAGTCGACAATTTTCAATCAAAATCTGTTGTCTGTGTATCACTAAATGTTTCATTACATAATTGTTTGTAATCTTTAAAATGTTGAAAATATTAGAACAATTAAGGGAAAAATAAATTGTGTCGAAAATTTATAAAGAAATTATATTCCATTAGAAATCTATAGCTAACATAAAATAAAAAATTTTTAGAAAATTCTACTTTTTTGTAATATATATATATGGATTTAAATTTTTTATGTATTTTTTACAATCAATAATTATTAAAAATTAAACTGATTTTATGATGGCTTTAATTAGGGCTTTTATAAAATAACATTATTGGAATTATATCATCATTTGAAATTATGTGATTTTATTGAATTTTGGTTTAGAGGATTAAGACCTTGGTTATATAATGATTTATTATTCTCATTGTCACCACAAGGAAGAAAGCAAAAGAAGGTCTTGAAAATATTGCATGGATTTACGGAAAAAGTACGTTATCACATTATTTTAAATCTTACAATACTTTTATGTGTAAAATAACAATAAATCTCGTAATCTTTGTAGGGTTACATTATTTATTTTAAATATTAATATTATGTTATAAATATTTACTATATAATACAATACCATTGTTATTTAATACAAAAAATCTTGTCAAAAATTAAATATTGTATTTGTATAGATCATCGCGGAAAGAAAACTTTATCACGAACGCACCAATGACCGATACTTAAAAAACCTTGAAAGTAACGAAGAGACAGAAAATTTTGACGTGTTTGAAAGTACGTAAGAGATCAGAGCTTCTAATTATGTTGGCTGCGCAATTAATTTAATATTATACATGGTTATATGATTGCATTATTTATATTAAGCACATGATCACATGTAATAATATAACATATGTTTGCTGTAAAATTAAATTATTATTATTTGTAATAGAGTTTGAATTTTAAATAAAAACTGTTATTGTATAATTAAAGTGTGGCATGTAAAAGGGAAATTGATATTAATATGTTTTTTTTCAGTTAAAAAAAATAGGCTAGCTATGTTGGATCTTTTAATAGCGGCATCTCGAGAAAATTCTCTAACTGATTTGGATATCAGAGAAGAAGTCGATACTTTTATATTCGGAGTATGTATTTGTCACCTTTTTCCATTTTTTTATAGATGATATATAAATATGTATAACAATATGATGATGATTATAGGGTCATGATACTACAGCGACGAGTTTAATGTTTCTTTTACTACTCCTAGCTGAACACAAAGATATCCAGGTACCTATTTCCCGCAATATATTGTAATATATTATTTAAATTTTTAAAGATTTTTCTTCAAAGTAATAAAGATATCAAGTTCTTATTATACGATATATACGATATATTTTTCCTAGATATATTAGATATTCGGAAGAGATTTAACCGTATTTAAAATAAATGGAAATTTTGATTTATTAACAATTTATTTTTATCTGTGCACTAAAAATCAGAATTAAGAAATACATTTTCATTATATTATTGATGACACAGGAGCGTGTAAGGGCTGAAGTCGATACTGTGATGCAAGAAAACGAAGGAAAACTTAACATGAGATTATTACAAAATTTATCATATTTAGACAGATGTTTAAAGGAAGCGCTACGTTTGTATCCGAGCGTGAATTTTATATTACGCAAGACTGGGAATGCTGTAAAATTACGTAATTAGTCACTTTTTGCTGCATATATTTTTAAATATGTTACATAAAATGGAGTAACATAATATGGAGTTACATAATATGGAGTATATGTTATTGAATGTAAAGTAAGATTAATTAGTATTTTAAGAATACAATATTGATATATTTTATTTTTCTCAAAGAAGCTCTCATTTTCGTAAATTTTAATATTTTTCAATTTTATAATAATTTTCAGAATCATATATCGTACCCGTTGGAACGTCCATATGTCTTAATATTTACGGAGTTCACAGAGATCCTAATTTTTGGCCAAATCCAGAAGTATTTGATCCGGACAGATTTTTACCCGAAAAGAAAAAGAATCGTCATCCTTATTCTTATATACCATTCAGTGCAGGATCAAGAAATTGCATAGGTGAATTGATCGCGATTTTCGTTTCTCCTCGTATCAATAATATTTATCATAAACTTCGAATTGTAGGTCAACGTCTCGGTTTGCTGATGATGAAAGCTATGATAGCCCCTTTGATACATAATTTTTATTTGGAACCTATTGAGTATTTAAAAAATATTCCTTTATTACTTGATATAATAATACGTCCTGCTCATCCAGTTCATATAAAATTCATCCCGATCAAGTGCAAACAGCCATTTAAAAATAACGTGGATATTACAAGAGTGTAATAAAATGATGCAGTGGGTAAAATCGAAGAAAATTGTTATGTATATTATACGTTCAACATTATGAGGAAATATTATGTATGTAAACATTACGTTTAATTATGAAAATATTCACACAGAAAATCTTAGAAAACAGAACCCTATATATCCTATATATTAACTCTATATACCCTATTATATATACCCTATATTATATAAACATATTATATATACCTCTATATATCCTATTATATATTAAATTTAACATATGTAAGAATCCTCTATCATGTGCAATCGCAATAAAAACGTTTATCCATAAAATATATGCGTGCAAAGCTAATGAAGCAGTTATTTTTGCGTCTTATTCATAGAATTAAAAGAAAGTTTCAATCGACGCAATCGATTTCTCACGGGTTTTGAGCTGAATGAAAATAAATATCTTCTTTTCATGGAATAATACATTATATATCAAGGTATCAAGATTGATAGATATCTGTTTCGATGACTAGAGGATGCCACAGTGGATGATGATTGCTGTTTTTATTTTCATCTTCATTTGTTGCAACAAGTTTTCTTTCTTTGGATTAATGGATTGTTTTCTATTTTTTTCGGTAGCTAGAATCTTTTTCTTCAAAATAATTTTCAATCGACGAAATATATTCATCGTATACTTGAATCGATTTACAATATTGCAATTATATTTTTATATCTGCAGCAGTTTAAATTTGTCAAGATCGTTAATTAAATTTAACTTTTTTTTGTTATGCGAAATAATATTTTTATGTTTTTTCCTTATCCATTTTAAATTTTAAGTGGTAAACATTTTAATTATACATTTGAAAGATGCGGTGTATTTATCGTTACATTATCGTACAACTTTAAATTTAATTCCTTTCTTCCTACTTATAAAATATTAGTTATATTATATTTGTTCTTTCTTATATTTGTTCTTTATTTATATTATATTTGTTCTTTTCTGTGTTAATAAATTCCTTCTTCACATAAATCTCGTAGGAAAGAGATCTGTCGCGTAGATTTACACTTACACACACGCTAAATAAAGAAATAAAAGAGGAAAAGAACACGTAAAACTATATTGAATATTGATAAATAATTTTCAGAATAAAACTATAATACAAAGTATATATAAATATTTTAAGTGTAATTATTTGTTAAAAATATTTTCTATTAACACAAATTATAAGTTTTCAGAATAATAAATCGAACGAAAAGATAAGATTTTAGGATGGAAAAATATCACTAAAAAAATATTATATATGTAGAAATTATGTATATGACATATATGACGATGAACAGATGTCATGAGATTATAAGGAATAAAAGATTAAAGGATATACAATAAGAATATAAATAGCATAACGGACCAATAAACAGCATATTTGAATTTTAAAATAATAGTTTGCATTTTTATTTGTTTATATACATATATAATTAATAAATTATCGACTGATGAGAGAGATTTCCAATCGTTTGTGAAAAATGTGGAGTATAAGTGAAACGTATAATCAGCACCATTTGCGCAACGTAAATATAAAAATATTAAATTTTAATAAATATTAATATTTTATATTTATAAAAATGCAACATACCATATATTAAATATTTATTTTAATCATGTTGATTTTTATTATTAGTTTTAGCATATTACAATTCATATTCACTTATGTTTTGTTACGTTTTACATTTTATTTACCTTACATTCCTATAATACATATATTCTTACAAAAGATATAATCTATTTTTTATTTTTTTTATTTCTCTATACATAACTTGTAATTTTAAAGTTGCAAAATTTGTTTGTCTACACACGGGAAATCGACTATTCACAAACGCGATTTTGATTAAAATAACTTTGTCGCAAAGAAATATCTCTTTGAGAGAGCACCATTTCTTTGTCAGTGACCACTTGGTACAAATCACAGCATCATTTTGTTATGATTAAAATTTCTTGAGCACTTTATGTCACATCACGAAATTAGATCAATAAAAATGTTATCTGTTATTTCCTAATATCTTACGTATATTAAGTGAGATTCAAATACTAACAAGATACAAAATTATAACTATTTAGATAAAAAAATGTCATATCACATTACAGTGTGAAGCTTTTATATAATGCTATTGATATGCTAATATTATATAATCATTTTACATATGTTTCGAATGCCTCTTATTATACTTTAAGTATTTTTTTAATAAAATTTCTTCTTCTTGTTGAAACATGAAATATTATAATTTTTATTTAGAATACTAATTTCTTTTATCTGGAATTTCTCTTTTCATTAATCATAAGTATGTTTATAAAACACAAAATAATATGTAAAATTTACGAATATACAGATATATAAATATTTCAGGAATCATTTGGATATTCCAGCAATATTTAAAAAATATTTAACATATCGAATGGAACATTGTATAAAAGCTTACACAAAAATATCCCATACATTTAACACATTGCATACATTTTCAAATCTATTATCTATGTCTAAATCTCGATAATATACATTTTATTTTCGATATATTCAAATGTTCCCGAATCGCCAAGTCCCCTTGATATTCTGTTGATATAATTTTTCCGCGTGTCTTCGCGCTTTCCTACGAGAAAATACTCTTCGAAAATACCAATCGGCGCTACGCCGCCGTTGCTTTCTGCGCGAATTAAATCTGCGAGAATGAAGAGTATTATTTGTTAAAGATATAAGGATTAGAATCTATAGTGCCTTAAGTATAGCAAACATATTTTTTCAACATAAGAAACTTATATCTGTACTTATATCTTATAAACTTATATCTTATATCTTATTATTTGTTTCTTAAATTTTATTTTTCAAATTAATACCTTTTATTATCGCTCTGCCAATCCATATTTATATAATCCTGGTTATTTTGCTTTGTTACGCGGCTGTTAAACGACTGCTTAGATTTATGATAATCATTAAGATGCTCCGACATACGATTCTTAATTTCATTCCGAGGGAGTTTCTTCTTTTTTCGTTTTATATTCTTATCATCATTATTAAGAATCTTTTTAATGGAATCACTCGATTTAAAGTGATCCTTCTGTTTTGGTTTATTCTCCTCAAACAAAACTTTTCCAGAATTTTCATAATCCAATACAGATTCTTTACTATTTGTATCATGTTTGTTGTTAGAATTAGCAATACAATTCTTTGTTTTACACTAAAAAAATTTAATTTATATTAACATGTAACTTGAATGGAAATTACATATGTGATATTTCTCTAAATCTTTCTCTCTCTGTAAATGCACTATTTTTATATATTATATCAAAATTTTTGCATTCTTCTCTTCTCTGTTTCTTTTTCTTCTTCTAATTTGAAATTTATATATATAAGAAATCAATAATTTATTATATAGATTATATAGATTTATAACTTACACTTGATGTGATAGGCATTACAGGTACATCATTAACATTATTAAATCCTGGACAAGAATTGGTTGAAAATGGACATACATCTTCTAATAATTGTATTAAAATATTATCGAAATTATCCTTTGACATGTCTTTTTGTATTCCAATTGATTGTAAATAATCATTCTCTTTTATACACCAATTAAATGACTCTTTATTGTTTTCTTCATTTTCTATTGGTTGTTCTAAGAATTTACTATCTTTATGATGCTTATTTTTTAACCATGCATTGTGTCTCTTTTCATTATATTTAGTGCATATATGCTTCAACATTTTTCTATTCATTTTTTCTTTCAAGTCTGATGGAAATAGCTGAGAAGTATTATGTATTTTATCACTAGCATTTTGGGAAATCCTAGTATATAATACAATAATTTAAATATACACAATGATAATTATAATGTGAATTATAATGGAAATAAAAAAAATGTTATTACTTACTTTGTGATAGTATAATGTTCATTCTTAACTTTTTCATTACTTAAAGAATTCTTTCCATCATAAATTTTCTGGCTCTTCTCTTTATCGTATTTTGTATGAACTATATTATCGACTTCTTTGATTTGTTCCTTCCCTGATCTATTCTTATTTATTTTTGTGTTCTTTTTTTCAAACATTTTTGGATTCAATTTTTTTGATAAATAGTTTGAAGAACAAGATTTATCATAATTTTTGAAAAGCTGGTTATTTTCGGTTAATTGTTTCAACAATTCATCATCAGGCAATATATTTTTCAAGTCACATAATTTTTTAATCAATTTGTGTCTTTGTTTAGTATATTTATAGCGCACACTTAAAGTTAAGTCGTTCATTTTTTTTATCAAATTAGAGAGAAATAATTTAGAAGCAACATATATTTTGTCACTATCATGTTGCAAAATTCTGAAATATAAAATATAATAATTTAAATGTACAAGAATTTATAATTTAGAAATGAGAGAACTTTTGTGAATTTCATTATTTTATTACTATTTTACTACTTACTTCAAGGCCAGAGAATTGTACTCGTTTTGTGTATTATTAAATAATAGCAAGTTTTCATGAAATGCATTTGTACCGTTCACAATATCCAGTATTTCATTTATTTCGTTTTTCAAAGAACTATTTTTATCATGAATAAGTGCTAATGATGATAATACATGTAGAGATACTTGAAGTTGAGACACTTGATCCAACGAATGTGGATCAAAATTGAAAGATTCTGCTGTAATAGAAGGTTTGTTATTCGTTATATTCGCAGAATCTTCCTTAAAAAGCAGTTCTACAAAGTGTTCCATAATTTTCTTATCAACTGCAGTACGTGCTTTAATTTCATTCAGCGTAGTATTCACTGGAAACAAGACACCTGATTAAAATATAAGCAATAAATTGGAATATAGATTTTAATAAGATCTTCTATGAAATTATTGATTTTACCTTCTGTTAGGGCTTTGCAAGTATTAATAATATTGTGACTTACAGTCTTAAGACTTTCAGTATTAATCCCATTTGAGATTGGATCAGTTTCAAGAGTTACAAAAAAATAGCTAAGAATGAAACCAACAATGATACCAATTATAAAAGCCAGAAAAACATTCCTATTTGCCTATGTAAACAAAATAATTATTTTAGATAAGATAATTCTATTACATCCAGAAAATATAAACAAAAATAATTATTGCAGATCAATAATAAAATGAAACTTATATATGCATATATATATGGTCTTTCTTAAAATAACTAAATTTTTTAAAATAAATGACACTACAAATTGTATTAGAAAAATTATATTTTATTTTACTCAAAATATACTCCTTCAAAAATAGTACAATGGTATGTATACTCAACCATGTAAGTCAACTTTTGAAGGTAATTTTTTGGGATGTTATTGAAGATGCTTGTCACACGAGACTGCTTGAATGTTAGAAATGCTATAGCAATGATGTCTTTTCATCAGAGCTTGTTTAAAAAATAATTGCATCGAGCTATATCAGGTGAATATTAATATAGCAATTTGATTTTGAGCTAAAAATAAAGAAACAATAGTATTTCCACATTGAAATAACTATAAGCGTCCTCAGTAATTTTTCAAAAACTTTTATCCTCCAACTTGGTTGAGTGTGCAAATCACTATATTGCTTCTCAAGGAAATAAAACAATCATTTTGACACAATTTGTAGTTTTTTCTATTTTAAAAAAGCTTAGTATTATTTAGACAAATCATGTATATATAAAGACATTTATTTAATACTTGTTTATTTATTTGTATTTCCATCATCTGCAGAGGCTCATGTATTTTATCCTTAATTTGGCTGATTTGGAGCGTATTTGTATTAACAATCTCTGCATCGCTTTCTGTTATGACAGATATACCATCGGATATATCCTCTGGTTCTGCATTTATGAACGAGATTTTACTATCGCTACTGCTTGTCTGTGCAGTCTCAGTAATCTCAGTATTTGAATCCTCCTGAAAATTAAGAGTGTTCAAGTTTAATATTCCAATATTATTCATACTTGCCCACAGTACCAAAAAGTTTCATACGTCAACATTATTTTGCACATTAGAATTCTCATTCTTCTGTACGTCCAACGATTGACGGGTTTCATTGTCGCTGTTTTGTTTACCAATCCAGTTCAATTTGATCCACTTATCCTCGTCTACGCTCATCTCCACCTCTTCCACATGAGGGCAAATTTCGTTGATGTTTACATCATCCATTGTTCTCGTTAGAGAACAACCTAACAACCTCGCGTTATTTTTCTCCTTCCTCTAAACTGACATTTCCCCTCACCCGCAAGACGATTAAATAAACAGATCCTTCTATGATTAATCTCTTTTCCTCTTCCCCCCCTTTATTCTATCCTTTATTATATTCCAAATCAGTTGTCTACTTCTATTCTGTCCCTTTCTCCTTTATTCCGAATCAGCTGTTTTCTTCTACTAACATGACACTTGACACTTCCCTCCCCGCGCGACTCAGCTGTCACGTGACAACAGCTGTCACGTGACCACGTGGAGTGAGAGAGCATGACACCTTCCTTTTACGTTCGACGTTTCTCTCTTAAAAAGTATGTATATATGTATATATTGTAGGAATTTTATATATATCATACAATTACAATACAGTGTAATAATAAAAAAATTTTCCATAAAAGGAAATCGCAGGACGAGGGACGTACTAGACTCGGGATTCGAAAGGACGCAGGAGAGAATGATTGAGCATAATTTTCCACCCTTGAAGAATGATCGCGTCCTCAGAGCGGCACGTGGGGAGCCGGTCGACAGGGTGCCGGTTTGGGTCATGAGGCAGGCCGGGAGGTATCTTCCCGAGTTTCAGGAGGTCAGAGCCCGGTACGATTTCTTCGCCATCTGCCAGACCCCGGAACTGGCCTGCCAGGTGACCCTGCAGCCGATAGAACGTTTTGATCTCGACGCCAGTATAATATTCTCCGACATCCTGGTGATCCCTCAGGCGATGGGCCTGAAGGTCGAGATGGTAGCGGGGATAGTGAGTGAAAACCTCCTGCAAACTTATGCATTTTGAAAGCAACGTATGTCATATTGTACCTTGGTGTTTATTCTCTGTAAATAAGAGGTGTCTTTTAGGGTCCGGTCCTGCCACAACCCTTGGCAGATCCTAGTGACTTGGCTAGACTCGTGCGACCAAACGTACAAGAGGCTCTGGGATACGTCGGGGATGCTATAACATTGACCCGGCATAAATTGGATGGAAGAGTGCCATTGATAGGCTTCACCGGAGCACCTGCAAGTACTTTCATAGAGAATCGTGCAAAATTGAGAATTATTTCAATACAAGAATACGCACATTGTAGATTTTTCCTGTGTTATAAATTGTATAAGTTGCACATGTATTAATCTTTACTTTTTAGTGGACTTTGATGGGATACATGATCCAAGGAGGAGGCAGTTCCACAATGGCAAAGGCAAGATCTTGGTTGTATAAGTATCCAGAGGACTCTCATAAATTATTGCAGATGATTACAGATGTTATTGTGGATTATTTAGTGATGCAGGTGAAGGCTGGTGCTCAGGTATATTCAGAATTATATAATTTGACAAACATTAAAGAACTTTTTTACATAAAAAGAATTTTTATAATATATATTGTACAATACAATAATAGTATAAATGAGAGAAATGACATTATATTATCTTTTTCCAAGTTACTTCAAGTATTTGAAAGCAATGGCGATTACTTGGATGATGCATTGTTTACAACTTATTCTTTCAAATATCTCAAACAAATAAGCGAACGTGTACGAAAGCAATTGAAAGAAGCAAATATTCCAGAAGTGCCTATGGTATTTATTAGAATTATCTTGAAATGAACAAAAATTACTTAGAAACATAGAAGATAAATCTTGAACCTGTTTTTTATAGATTGCTTTTCCAAAAGGTGCAACCGTGAATTCTTTAAAAATTCTCGCTAAAGATAAAAGTTACGAAGTTATAGGCCTTGATTGGACTGTAGATCCTGTTGAAGCCAGAAAACAGCTTGGGCCTGATGTTACGTTGCAAGGTAACATGGATCCTTGCGCACTGTATTCTCCTCAGGTATGTTACATATATTTTTTTTTAATTTATAAAAATTATACTAATTAGTGATAATTACTGGTACATTTACAAGGATTTTAAATATACTTCATTATTTTTTTAGGATAAAATTGTTGATCGTGCACACAAAATGATATCAAATTTTGGTAAAACTCGATATATTGCTAATTTGGGTCATGGTATTTTACCGGATACTCCCATTCTATCTATGGAAGCTTTCATTAAAGGGGTACATTCTGCATAAGTATATCTTTACAATCATAAATACATATATATATCCTCCTGAGTCCTTTGCTCGATTTTTCGAACATGATCTCTCTTTCATATATCTATGTTATGCATCAGATTATCACACGTATATATATATGACTTATGAATTTGTATAAGTTGTTGATTTTGTTATTCATTAATATATAAATTAGTATATAAATTATTTCATAATTTTATTAAATACATTGCATTGCTTTATACTTTCTCGTTTATATTTATTGGAATTTTACAATATTTCCAAAGTTAAAAGTATTTTCTGAATATTATTCTTCAATAAAGGAAAGTCTTGGCTCGTTCGTTCCATTACATATTTCAAATAATCGTGAAGAATTTGTTCATTTTGGAATTCTTCATTTATTGCTGCTTCATTTTTAAAAAGCATTTTGTATCGGCCGCTTTTAATGTCTTGAAGCATTTTAGCTTTTCGTTGTTTAAAAATTAACGCTTGCAAATTCTGCAAATTAGATTTCCTGATTATAACAATAATTAAATTTCCAAACAAATAACAATTCTAAACAAATTCCAAACAAATTCATAAAATTAAAGAAAAGATAATTCACACAACATACGTGATATTTAACAGCTTCTGTTTGTATTATTTCCTGATCTACATTTGGGATAACATCTTCTATCGTTTTTAATACCGTTTGCGATTCCTTACATTTGTCGAGTGTATCTTTTATTTGACATTCTTGTTCGAATATTCTATTTTCAATTTTCTTTGTATCCTATAATAAATAATCAGAATGATTTATTTTTCAATTAAGTCTTGGAACAAATTGATAGTAATTACCTTCGCGATTTGTTTTATTTTCAATTTCTGATCAGCAAGACGTTTACAGAATATAACTTTTTGATTGTGTTGTCCTTTCGGATCTTTCTTAAATTTGCTCATAACTTTATCTAATATAATGTCTCTCCGCGCGACACAAAATTCCATATCATGAATCAATTTTTCTTGTGCCCTGCGCAAATGTGACAGACGCATTTCCATTTTATGAATTTCGCTTTTCATCACAGCAATGTCACCACCATTACTACGCTCATCTTTTAACTTCTTTGTTGTTTCTTGCATTAACTGTACCTGAAGATATAAAGTAAATTAAACGATATTTTAAGTTTATTTGTTTGAAATAAATAATTAAATATTATGTAATATTATGTGGCAAATGTTCTTATCCTCTATTATAATTACACATTATTTTATTATCACATATATATTTAAAATTTTACTTTTTTCTCCCATGATAAACTCTGTTGTTGCACCGCATCCAGATTATCTTTCAAAACTATCTTTTCCTCGTACATCTGTTTTAAATCACTTTGCATCTTTATTAGATTTAATTCTGCATCTTCGAGGGATTGCACTCCCTCATTTTTTGTAATAGAATTTTTGTCTTCTAGCTCTTCCTTTAATCCTTTCTGTATAACTAATTGTGCATTTATCTGCACCAATCTTTGTTGCAATAGATTTAATATTCTCTGCATATTTGATTCTTCCTTATCGAGCATTTCCAAGGTATGCTCTAATTTCAAATTCTTTTGATCCATAATCATAATTTCCTTATTGAGAAGATTAAGTTGTTGCAGCTGTAAATCTCTTTGTTGGCTCAACGAAATCATGTATCCTTCTTGTCGAATCCAGAATTGCTGTGATTTTTTATTATCTTGCTGTATTTCTTCTATATTTTTTTCCAAAGTTATTATTTTCATGTCAAGCGGATTAACTTCTTCACCACCAGTATGTGATAATATCTGTTAAAAAAAATATTATCAGGGAAAAACTCTTTAACATTCTCATATTTTAATAGAATTTTCAATCGATAATATTACCTCTTCAATAGTTTTATTCAAACTAATAATTTTTATTTGTTTCCTTTCAATTGTTGTATCATGTTTCTTAATTTCTCTCTGAATCTCATCTATTTCTTTTCCTTTTACATCATTATTTTGCAAAAGTTCTTCCAATTCTGCCTTTTCATGAGATATGTATGCATTGAGTTGTTCCAATTCTAATAATTTTTTGCCATAAAAATTTTCTGTTTCTACTAATGATAATTCTTGTTCTTGTATTCTCTCTTTAGAATCCACTAATAATTTATTTAAATATCGAGCTGCTTTATCATGTGCAACTTTCTCTTCCAGTTTGCTATATATTATATTTTCCAACTCATTTTGCTTACTCAAAAATTTTGCAAATTCTTTATCAACTTCTTCCTCTTCATGTAACAAATATTGCCATTCCTAAAATGTGAGACATGCATTAAATAATATAATATACAACTATGTAAAAAGTATAATATAACATGTATATTTAAATATATTTTTTATATGTTAATAATTTGATAGCTTTCAATAAATATACAATAATATTTAACGTACATTATTAATTAAATCAAATTCATGCTGTTCATGTTCACTAAATTTTGCCATTTTTACTAATTCAGATTGCAAATTATTTAGTTTATCATTTTCCACCTCCATCAGTTTTGAAATAATCTGTATATTGTTTTCTATTCGTACATGCAATGAAGTCAAATTCTCATTATTCTCTACTTCTTTATGAGTTTCTTTCTTTAATTTCTCTATTTCTGTGTGTAACGTGTTGAAGGACTCGCATATTTTCCTGAAAATATATTGTACTACTTCAATCTTTCCCATTTAGCGAATGACAGTAGAGTTTCACTGAAATAATTATCTCTTTAAATCAATAGATGTGATTGTTTATGATATCATCTTCTGTTAAAAATCCATTCATTCAAATCCTTAAAGATTATGGAGATATTACATACTCGCGTTCTGTGTTCAATTGCTCGTAAACTTTATTCCGCTTAGTAATATTCAGTACAACAGAATTCCAAGCATTGCATAAATTCTTATGTTGCTTATGCAACGCTTCTAGATCGGCATTAACGTCAGCAATCATCTGGCTAATCTCAATTTTCTCTTTATTTTTCAATTGTAACTGTATATCTAGATTGGCTATCTCATTCTTAATCTTCCATATCTCCTCCATGAGTCTAAATATTATAAAATCTTTCTGCTGCTTCTGAGCAATTAGATCTCGTTGAATCGCCTTATCTTTCCTGGACACTTGTTTGGAAATAGCTAGACTATTTTCGAGCTCCTTTTGCCACTCCGAAAATTGTGCTTGTAAAGCTGTAAGTTGTTCCAACTCCTGCGCAAGATTCTCCTCTTTCGTTTTCTCATCTAGCAATTTAGCATGGGCGATCTTACGAACGTCTCGCGCCTCCTTTACACGCGCATCTTTCTCTTCGCGCAATAAAATTACATTTGTTATCATGTTTTGATATTTCTCGATTGTCATTTGCTGCTGTGCTATCTCTTGCTGGGAATAATACAACTGTAAGCTCTCTGCTTCGTGTTCTTTTTCTATAGATTTTATTTTGGCCTCCTGTAAAATATAATTGCAGTTAATTATTAAACAATTATATATGTAATATATTAGTTTTATTCATATATGTATTGCATTTGATAAATTCTTTTTAAATCTGGAAAGGAGAGTAAAATCCTTACAAGCTCTAATATCTCGCTGCTCAACTTATTGTCAACACGGACAAGATGTTCCCGCAGAGCATTTTGGAATTTCTTCATCAAGGAATCATCTGGATCCAGAATGTTTGGCACATTTAAGGAGTTTGGGTCTATCCATAACTTTTTCTTGAATCTAGTCCCTAATTGCTCCATGCCAGTATTGAATTCATCATCAGGAGGTGCATTTAAAGTGTTGCTTTCGGCCGGGGTATCCATCGCAGTATTCTGGACCGCACAATATTTTATAAAAAATAAAATCTTTCTGAAAAAAACATACACAAAAGAACTCGCTTTACATTAAATTGATCTGTGTGATCCAAACTGTTGTTGATTCAAACTAGATATGTAACTAAGGAAGCATGACATCATGACATTGTCATTATAGCATTATAGCATTGTAGCATAATCAATATTTAAATTTATTTAATACATCAGAACCGATTTAATTAATATATATATATATATATATATATATATATATATATATATTAATTGATATAATTAATAATGTTTAATTGTTATTAAACAAATAAATTAATTTTTATTAATTAACAAATATAATAAATTTTATCAATTATATTAATTAATTCTGTTATACTTATTACAATAATTAAGAAATATAATAAATTAATTTATTAATAATTAACAAATTAAATTATTAATTATAATAATTGCTTAATTGTTAATTATTAATTATATTTAATATCACATTTAATAGTCTTGATTTTATTTATAAATAACGAAAAATATATAATTATGAGATTAATTTTTTACCACATATTTTATATCTTGATGACAATTTATTAGTGGAATTAATAATACTTTATCGATGGTTGGTAATTAAAATTTCCTGCTAACAAAATCAGCAACAATATCGACGCTAAATAAAATTCTCATACTTTATTATCGCAGAAAGATGAGTTACTAGTCGTGGGACGGAGAATTTCAATTATACTGGTTGTCAATAAAATGTAATTCACGAATATATATTATATACGGAAGACTTTGTGCGCCTACAGTTTTTACGAAACACTAGGAAATCGAGATTAATAGTGAATCATGTAACAAAGACTCTCTCCCCAGACAGGCATCAAGCTGACACGAGCCCACTATTGGTTTAGCGCTGTCACCTGTCACCTTTGAACGCGACGCACGTTGTTGCTCCTTCGTTGACAGTTCGAGTGAGAGATCAGGCACGGTTATGTCTGAATAAGAATATACGACGAGAGTCTTCGTGCTGGGAGAGAATGCGTTGCATTCGCGGTGCTCGTCGTTGAGTGTCTTATTTTAGGCAGCGATGCAGGACATGCGCCTCGTCGATGGGGATATGGAGGAAAGTTGGCCGGAGAGGAGGACCATCAGGTTCAGCGGTACCGACAAGACCAAAAATCATGTGTCATCCAACGATAAACCGCGGGTGGAAAGCGTGGATCCCCCAGATTATAGGTCGGGATTGTCGGACGGGCAAGATGCGGAGAAGAAACGAAGTATATATACACGTATACAGAGTGTCAAGGCAATCTCTTCCCAAAAAAAAGCTCTTGTAGCTTACCTCGAGAGCTTTTCAAAACACTATAATAAAGTATTTTTTCGAGTTATAAGGCTTGAAATAATCTCTTAATTTTACCAAAATTAAAATTTCCAAATTAATTACTTTAATTTGCAATTAACAATTACATATTTTTTTTTTTTAAACAATTAAGTGTTTTCTGTACACCAATTGATTCCTCTCATTATTTTGTACATAAAAATATTAAAGTAAGATAATCTAAAAATAAATATTTTACTAGATATTTTATGGTTTATGTAAAATTGAGAGATTATTTCAAGCCTCATAACTCAAAAAGTACTCAATGAAAAAATACTTTATTATGTTTTGAAAAGCTCTCGAGGTAAGCTACAAGAGCTTTTTTTGGGGGAAAAGATTGCCCTGACACCCTGTATATGCGAATGATTGTTGGAATTTATTTGGCGAGGCAGTAAGATGTTTGCGAAATGAAAATCTGCTAGGGAGGAAAACTGGCATGATGAATTATGTTTTGTTAAATGTAAATAGACAGGATGATATCTATCCTTCTGTATAGATGCATCATAACAATATTACAATTCTTGCAGGATTCACATGGAAAAATAATGTGAATGAAACAGTCATTAGTTTGATATTTGACAGATTTTCATTTGAGACATGTCGTGTCATCAATTTGATTTATACTAGAAATTCTCATTTTGACAGTAAAATTTTTATATTATTGCATAACTTTGCTCTTGTAAGCTTGATTAAATTGAGTATATTTAATGTTTCAGGTGTGTCATTGATGCAATTTCTAAGAGCGGAATTAACCAGAGATTATCAGCTGGAACATGACGAGGAGAGATTCTCTGCCAGAAGGGAAAAGGTTTACTCCTTTATAAAAATTCCTAGAGAGGTGGAAAACTTTATGGCATATGGTTTTTTTCAGGTATATACAACAATATTATATCGTTATGAGAACAAAGTAATTGTCAAAATTATATGATATTTTTAGAATAATTTTCATTACTATTGTTCTTGTTGTAGTGTGCAGATTCCTTTCTCTTTGTGTATACATTTTTACCAATAAGATTTGCAATGGCTCTATGGGCAGTGATTACGAGGCCTTTACGACATTGCTTGAGGTACCTGAGGAATTAATCAATTAGTACGATATATATTCATTTATTCAAAAATTTTCACTTATCCTACTTTGTAGGCGCAAAGATGGAAAAGTTGGCGGGAGAAATACAGAAATGTATCTAAGCCCAGCTGAGATGTGCGATTTATTAAAGGGAATTGTAGTGGTAGGTTGTTGGGCAGCCACCTGGAAAGTCGACACCTCCATGATGTATCATTTGGTTAAAAGTCAGTCGGTTATAAAGTTATATATATTCTACAATATGCTAGAGGTGGGAGATCGCCTTTTCAGTGCTTTTGGCCAAGATGCTATAGACGCTCTACTTTGGACCGCTACCGAGCCACGCTCGCGTTCAAGTTCCACTCGTACGCCACATCTGGGTACATTGCCACATCTTTTTTTCGCCCTCACTTATGTGTGTATCCTTTATATATAATTATATTATAATTAATTTAATCCTGACGTGATAACTCTAAGTCATAGAACATGATATATATTCTTTGACTGTGTTCTCATAAAGTGTTGCATAGCATATTGGTATTATTCCAAGCAACGACGTTAAATGTAGCGATCAACAGCAGTAACAAAGCCCTCCTAACAATTATGATGTCTAACAATGTAAGTATACCATGGAAAGTGTGAAGCATAATTTTGCGCATCTAACAATAAGAAAATATAGCAAATTTAACTAAATAAATAAAGTAACAAATATAATATACAAAATATAAACGAACTTAAAAATATATACCAAATGTCTTTATATATCACATAATCTATATATATGTCAAATATATATTAAATAATGTCTAATATATCAAATATTTTTAGTTTGTAGAACTGAAGGGTTCCGTGTTTAAGAAGTTTGATAAGAACAACTTGTTCCAATTAGCTTGTGCTGATGTCAGAGAAAGATTTCACCTAACTATGCTGCTCCTTGCAGTGAGTCTACAAACAATGAAAGAGTATGCATGGCACAGCGATCGTTTTGCCGTTTTGCTGCCTGACTGTGTCTTGCTGTTGATTGCAGAAATTCTCGTTGATTGGGTTTGTATTGTAACATAAATTATATTATTATATTGCGTACAACATGTTAAGAAATATGTTAGATTATTGTATTGATAATCGAACTTATTATCGTATTATTCTTATTACAATTTTATAACTCAAATCTTGTGTACTTTATTAATCTTTGCTCGTTTATATATGTTGTTAACGTTTGTCACTGACGCTAATATTACCCTATATGTCTGTAAAGGTGAAACACGCATTCATCACACGTTTCAACGAGTTGCCTTCAACCGTCTACAGGGATTATACCGTGAGTTTGGCTTATGACATGATGCAGGGACGTCGAGAAACAGCGGTCTCGGATCCCTCGGATCTGGTCGCACGACGAATGGGTTTTATACCTCTTCCTCTGGGAGTCGCCATGGCTCGTGTTCTATGCACAACCCTTACGCCATCCGCGAGACCCGCTAATATTATACTTCTACTATTAGCTTATCTTATACTAGTGGCTCTTCGCATATTAAATAGTTTAATTATTCTCGGTAAAGCGTGCGACATAATATCGCACACACAAAATACCGATAAAGACGACATAGGCATGAAATCTCCGTCGCATAAACGTGCTAATAGTACCGACATGAAGAATCCAAATCTTGGACCGGCCATCCTCTCCAACAGCGCCGTCAGTTTGAATAACGTCTGCTTGAACGAGGTATTTCTAAATACGGAAGAGACGCAAAATAAAACTGAGAAGCTTCAGTGTAACGCCGACGAGTTTACAGTTGCCGCGAAAACTGTGCTAAGGACAGGAAGCGAACCCCTTCTTCCACAATGACAAATCTTAATAGCGCAATTAAAGTACAATGGTTTTTTCTTATTTATAAATTGTACATATTTTCCGTTGTACATACATATACATGCACAGATATTATATATGGATGCTTTTTTGCAGTAATATTTATATAATGTATCTATGTAAGGATAATACATTTTTGGTTATTGTTTATTCGCACGTTTTATTTTTAAACGTCTGCATTTTTGTATGCAAATTTATATGAAGTCTCCTTTGAGCGAATTTTTAGTAATTGTGTTTTAATAATGTATATATCACATACTTAATTTAGCCAGTATTTTTACTTAGATTTTTTAATTCTTTTGAAATCGATTTTTTTCTTAAAGATATTAAAAGTAAATATCTCCTATAAATATTTTATATATTTTTAATGTTAAGAATAATTTTTTAAAAGTATTTTTCAAATTTATAAAAAATTTACTATCTATATGACTATGTATTTTCAATATGTATAATTTGCTTTGGATCTAGATATATATTCATTTATCGCAATTTAGTAATAATGGCTGCATCAAAGTTTTATAATTATAGAGATATTGTTACTTAAAAAATATCAAAATTCTTTAAACTAAAAAATATCAAAATTCTTTAAATCAATGCTAAACAAAATTTGGCTTTCTTTAATGAGAAAGCCAAATTTTGTTTAGCATTGGTTTAAAGAATTTTTAATTGTATATTTTGATATTTTTTAAGTAACAATATTATAAATCGAAATAAGATAAAATGTAAAGATTTGACGACCGGTAACATTAATTTTATCGGAAAAAACGATTTTGCACAATTACTTTCATTGATAAATTTACTTTACAAATAATGTATTTTTTTATTTTTTAAAGAAACTTTCAATATGTAAAAGTTATTAAAGAAGATAAAATAATGCTTTCATCAAAAATAAAAACTGTTAGAAAATTCAGGATTATAAATAAAATAATTTCGCGCACAAATAAAATAGCAAAATTTTTTTTCATTAAAAATAATAAATCAAAATCCTGTATAAAATATTTAAATGCAACGCAGGTGCGTCTAATCGAAAGTGTAAAATTGAATAAATACTGAAGTAAAATTGAATAATTTTTTGTCGGAAAGAGAAAGAAAAAAAAGATATAAAAAGAAACAAACATATCTAATCAATTATAAATTTCTAAATTTACAATTTACTAAGATACAAATATTTAAATATTATTAGTTAAAGTCAATTAAAAGTCTTTCAATAAAATCAATTTAATATTTTTATAAAATTAATTAAAAATAGAAAACATTTATTTTTAAATCACTTAAGAATATTTTAATAAAATGATTTAATAATATTTTTATAAAACGAATTAAAAATATAAATATTTTATCAAGACCAATTAAAACCAATTAAAAACCGTATATCTGCCTTTTCGATAGACGCGCGAATCCAGTCGATTTTCAAAATTCATCGTTACGTCACAGCGACGCGACGCGCGAGCCACTCTCCCTCTCGCTCTTCCCCCTTCCCTCCCTACTTCCACCAATCCCGTACTCGCTCTCTCGCTCCTTCTCTCGCGCCGTCCTTTTTCCCCTCCCCACCACCGACCGCACAAGCGCGCACGCGCGCGCGCGCGGGACGACACAACACGAACGGACGGTGGAGAGGAGGCGGTGGAGGAGGTCGGTCCTCCGCTCTTCGGGAGCGCGAATCACGCGAATTCGCGCGATAGTAACGTAGATCGACGACGTCCTCGTCGGGTCCCGGTCGCGTCGCTCCGAGTCCTCTTCCCTCTCTCTCTCTCTCTCTCTTTCGCGCGCGCGCTCAGAACAGGAGTTGAATGGACAAGGGTACCAAATACCGAGTGCCAATCGGCGACGCCTGCGTGTCTATGCGCGTGTGCTTCGACTCGCTGTGCTGCTCGTCGACGCAGGACGACGCTGCCTCGTCGCAGCTGCCGTCGACGCACGGCGCTGCCGCCGCCGACGTCGTCGCCAGCAACAGCGCGACCACCATCACTACCACCTCCAGCGCGGCGCAAGTGCCGTCGCCGCACATCGTCGTCGCCGCCACCGCGGGAGGTAGTGCGTCTCACCACCAAGCCGTAGCCATGCCGAGCCTGGGGGAGCTCCTGGAGATGCTGCCCGCCAAGGACCGTCGTATCCTCGAGCTCCAGCAGCTGCTGTGCGACAAGGATGAGCGAATCACCGATCTCCAGGACCTGTTGCGCGCCAGCGACAAGCGGCTCATCGATCTCCGGGACCTGCTGCACGCCAAGGACGAGCGAATCGCCGAGCTCGAGGCGGCTGTCTGCTGTCGCGACGCCGAGATCCAGGAGCTGCGCAGCCATCTCGACAAGTTCCTCAGCGTCCTGCCCTTCAGCGCGGCGCCTCCGCTCACGCCGACCAAGCCGCGCACCCGCGATCGCGCCCAGGGGATATCCGCGGAGCCACCGCTCCAGGAGCTCGCGCCTCTCGCGGTCGTCGACAAGAGCGACAGGTTCGTACTCCACGCGTCTGGATTATTCAATGCTCGCGTATATGCCCGTACAGCACAGAATATTGTAGCAACATTGCGGCAATATTGCGGTAATATTACGGCAATATTGCAATATTTATTATAATGTTACAAATATTAATAATATTGCTGCAATATTCTGTGTTGGATGGGATGTGCATGTGTACATATTTGTCACGCATACATGTGTGTGTGTGTGTGTCGTGTGCACGCCCGTTCTCCTTTTTTATCCTCCTCCCCCCTCCTCCTCCTCCTCGCGCGCACCTTGCGCTCCGACCTTGCCTCGCCGACCCTCCAATTTCCCGCATTAAAACGTGGATATTTTTAAACATCCGTTGAATGCGCGAGCGCGCGCGCGCCTTCCTCAGCTGACGTTTCTCGATTTTGACAGACGTGTAAAACGCGATCGACCGTCAAGAGTGCGTACATGTATATATGCACCGTCGATAGCCGGTGATAATAAAGTACAGTGCGAGGCAAAATGATGGCACGTATACACACGCGTGTCCTATATATTGGGCGCTCGAATAAACACAAATGTCTCTCTTTCTTTCTCTCTCTCTCTCTCTCTTTTTCTTTTTATCTCTCTTTCTCTTTGCACGGAGTATATTTTTAGAAAGTTGTTGCAAACGTGAAAAAATGTAGGAGCTAAAAAATTAGCAATTCCTACTTCGTAGGAAATGCAAAGAAGATTGTAACGTTGATTATTTAATAAGATTTATGTTCCGCTCGTGACATTCACCGGGTGTATTAGAAATTATTTGTACACTTTTCGTTTTTTATTCTCTTTGGCAAAGCTTGTCCTCGAGAAGATTTGACATCCTAATTCTTCTACATTTATCGTAAGAGAATGTATAATGTATGTATACAGGGTGTGCAAGATATTTTCCTTTTCGGCGATTTTTCAGAGACGAAAACATTAAGCGGTTCATTTTTTTTTTGTATCAATTTACAATCACTTTATACGAATGCAAAAAAATACATCTTACTAATTATAGCATCGAAGGTGAGATGAATCTATAAATCATAGATCGATTTGATTTGTATGTTTTATAAAGTTAGATCAGATTTATACAAAGTTAGGTTTATCAAAATTTGCGACTAATTTCGCGCGTTAATTAACGATGAAAAAAGTTGTTATAATTTCGGCAACAATTTCTTTATTATTACGAGTATGCAAAAGTGATCCTTGTCCATTGATTGAACTCACCGACTTTGAGATCGTTTTTTTTTAAACATCTTTTTTTTAATTCGTCGTCGCTAGTATCATTAACAATTTATATTTATTTTCGGACATCCTTTACCTTCACGAAATTACACTTTTGCTGAATTGTAACTAATATTTTTTTGCTCGGGTAACCGATTACATATTTTTCTAACGGGTCTTTTTGATAGTTTAGAGATAAATTGATTGAGATAATTTTCTTCTATTGTTACAATTAAATGCCTTTGATTGAATAATTAAATATCTCTTATTAGATCTCTAATTAAAAATTTGTGGAAATTATTTTTAAGATACGATTCAAAAATAATTAAAAAATGAAATTTTGCGATTTATTTGCTAAAGATTGAGATACGCCAAAGTCCTTTAAGTCTCAATTATTAATTATATAATTATTTATTATATTAGTAATTATATTATAAAACTTTTTACTGATTTAATATCATAATTTCTTATGATTTCGAATCAATTCGACATGTACTTTGTAAAATCTCAATAATATCAAATTACAAGACACACACAATATAAATTCGCGTACAAACAAGACTGAATTTAAATCAGCACGAATGTATATTAAAGTAAAAAGAAAAAAAAGAATAATATAATGCCGTATATTAATTATGTCTATCGATATTCCGGCCATGCCTACGGATTTTATTTTTAGTTTCTCCAAAAAAGAAAAAGTTTAATACAATGAAATCAGAAAAAAAGGAGAATAATTTCGCAATTTTCTCTACTTTTGTTTCATATTATTTCAATATTTATTTCAATTGTGTTCGATTTATTGACGCCTATGATAATTCTGTTTTATTTATCAGGTGTACACGCGACTTGATACGCGCGTAGGTGCTTAAATATTAACACACACACACATGTGCGCGCGCGCGCGACGCAAATATTGAAGCCGGCGCTAATAAATGTTCGGCGGGGATTTGCATTCCGCATGTTCGAAGGCAGTAGACCTATAGGTTACGCCATGAAAGGTGGAGAGATCAGTATAATGTTTTCCCTTACGAGAAACTTGCAACTGACATTTAATCTTTTGCGGACTGGTCTTTTCCCTTTTCTTTAGATGAATAAAATTTATTAAATTACCGCACGATTGCTATTTAATAAAAAATTGGTTTTGATTCTGGCATGCAATTTATTTAAAAATTTACGTTTATTGTTCTATAACTTTTTTTTCAAATAATTATCGAATATCTTTCATAATCGAGATACACTAAAAGTTGCTAATACATTTTAAAATTTCGTGTATTTGAGGTTCTCAAAAAAAGCTCAACTACTTTTAATTATTATAAATTGAATGGAATGCAAGAAATAAATAAGCACAAGAATAAGAATTTTAAATGTATTGCGCGCACTTTTATTTCAGAAAATTTATCAAAAATAAGAAAAAATGTGATTCTGAAGATTAAAAATCGGATACAGTGTCGCATTCGTTTATTAGAAAGTTAATCT